CTTATCAATCAGGCGTTATCAAGAATTTATTCTTTAGGGACAAATACCTAAAGAAAAAGCCACTCTTGCTTTACCACTTTTGGCAACATTTAAGTCAAATTTAAGTTGTAATATGTTGTAATATGCAACAAATGATCAAAAAGAAAACATTAAAAATGTTTTGTATAACGCTTGATTGATCAGGAATAAGCTTATCAAGAAATGGATCTTGATAATTCTTTATAGGAAGTCTTCCTATACCTACTTAGCGAACATCGAAAAAAGAATTGTTTTCTTTTTTGAATCACCAGTCTTTAATATTTGTTTTAGGGACCCCGAAAAGCTCGAGAGGCGGAAAAACACTTTGGAAAAGCCCCGGGAGTTCCACACAGTCATGCTAAACCTTTGGTGCGCGCGAAAGGCCGAAAGTTTGAACGTGCTCGAGGCAGAAGGGCATCAAGAGGATACAAAGCCTAAAACTTTATTTATCTGTTTTGTTGTTTTATTCAAATGGATTGTTTATAAAGTTGTTCATCACGAGTTCGGTTACATTAGCCTAAAAAGTCACAAACGCTAGAAAACATTCACGAATATTCAGTGTATATGTCGTTAGCCGATTCAGATTTTCAGCCGCTAACGATTGAATCCTTAGCGGGTTATTTTTGGGCGGTTGAGGGTCGGAATTCCTCTTTTCTTTTCAAAACCAATCCATTTACGCAAGATGTCACCTTCATTTCGTCCGTTTCGCCAAGACCACCAACTTTATTGTGAAGGCCGTTGAACTGAAAACTGGCTGAAATTGAGAACTCTGTTATTTGAAAATATTCATTTACTCACAAATAAAATAATATGTTTGACGGAGTAAATATCACCAATTCGGCACGCGTTCCTGAAAAGTGATATGTTTGGATTATAAAGCGATATTGGTGGATTGGTTGGTTACGGTAATATCTGTTTAGTAAGTAATACCAAATTTTACTTGTTATAGTAACCGTTTTACTTATCATAGTAACCCTCCTTCAATAGTTACGGTAATATCAGGTGTAGGCATAAGTTCTTTCCGGCTCACGAGATTGATGTTCGAAATACAGATTGCGTAGATTCTAACACTTGAACTAAGTACATGACTGCGTTTTGGTGTGGTAATTTCACAAGTTAGCAAGCATTTTCACGTCTCGGCAATGCTCGCATTGTTTTTAGCAGTCTTGAATACCACCAGGTGATCAAAATATCTCCGGGAGTAAAGCGGATTGATCGGCGGCGAAATGACAAAATTATCTTTTTCCCTAATGCGGGAAAAAAAACCCCTTATGACTAGGTTTATCCTCCCCCAATAATAACTACAAAAATTTCTCCCAAATCAATGACTATTGATTTGATCAAGTGCATTGTCATTCCTCTGTTCTCAATAACAAATTTATTCTTTAAATGTAATCGATTGATATGAAAAGAAGGTAAATTATTGGCTGTTTGCCATTGGGAAGCCCTTTTGCAGAGGTTTTCGGTGCGGGGAAATGAATCGATTCTCCCTTTTTTAGTCTCTTTTCCAAATACGATCACTCATCGAAAAGAGCATCACAAAATGAAGAGTCTTTTTGTGATTGATCGACCCCTTCACCCCTCGCCTCTTCCCCTCCTTCCCCCACCCGTTCCCTATTTCCTTCATATCAGTGCCGATCGCCACAAATCTCCTCCTTTCTTTCCTCTTTCTTCCATTCTACCATCAACATCTCGTATATGTTGCGCGTTTTGTGACCCTCAAATACTTTTTTTTAGAGAGAATAGAGGCCAACCAATCACTCTCAATCAATCAATCAATTGATTATCATTTAGAATTTGACGTTTTTGACGTTAAACAAATCAAATCAATTCAAAATTTCAATATTTCTATTTATTTAATAGTTATTAAATGTTTGATTTGATAAAGATTGATTTTTCCATTTAGATTTGCTTTAAACATCGATTTCACTCAGACTATTCCATAATTGTCCTTTCAACTTTTAGACTTGACAACAAAGAAATGCAAATTGAAACCCTCGTATATGTTGCGCGTTTTGTGACCCTCAAATACTTTTTTTTTGTCGAATAGAAACCAACCAAACACTCTCAATCAATCAATCAATTGATTATCATTTAGAATTTGACGTTTTTGACGTTAAACAAATCAAATCAATTCAAAATTTTCAGTATTTTCAATATTTCTCTTTATTTAATAGTTATTAAATGTTTGATTTGATTAAGATTGATTTTTCCATTTAGATTTGCTTTAAACATCGATTTCACTATTCCATAATTGTTCTTTCAACTTTTAGACTTGACAACAAATTGAAATTGAATTGAAAATTGAAACCAAAGCGTTTGCTTTAAACAGTTTTCATATCGTTTTTGTTATCGTTATACTTTGAATCATTTCCATTCTTATTTCCATAATAGCTATCATTCTATTTTCTTCTTGAAATGCTTACTCATCGAACTGTTGATTTCTTCTCTTCACCTTTCCCGTTCCTTTATTTCTATTTTAATGTCATTGTTTTCCTCAATTGATTCATCCGATCTAAAGCTCTCATTCTCTATCCAAGAAATTTTTGCTCAATTTGTCGCTGAAAAAAAAACGGGGAAATCTGAGAGCAAAGTTCTCTTTTTTGGTGTTTAGGGAATTTTGTGCGCTTTCCTTCTGTTGCAGATAACAGGAGAGGGTTTCCCGAACACCCAAAAGTTGAAATCGAAATCGATAATCTTTTCGAAAGCGATTATTTTATCGTTTTTAAAGACGGTAATTGTCTAGCTTGTTGTAGCTTGTTTATAGATATTCTATTTTCTATCAGAAGTACTAGAAGTACTGTTGATCTCTTCCGTCTAGCTTGTTGTATGTATTTATAGATATCCTATTTTCTATTAGAAGTACGAGGAGTACTGTTGATCTCTTCTCTTCACCTTTCCTGTTCCTTCATTTCTATTTTAATGTCATTCTTTTCCTCCTCCTTCATCCGATCTAAAGCTCTCTTGTTGTCTATATTTTTAGATATTCTATTTTCTATTAGAAGTACTAGAAGGATCGATCTAATAGAGGAAATACGGTATCTAAATTAGCACCTTTTAGTACTTTTAGTACCCCCAGTACTCTTAGACAAGCTTTGTGTGCTTTCTGATAATCCTTTATGCAAGGAAGCTATCCAGTTGTATCCTCAAGCTCTACCAATATCTTTGTTTTCCTCTAAATGCCTTTCTTAATGATTGAATTTCCAGGTTTACTCGAATCACCGGTTGTTGTCCTTTTCTCTTTTCGGAAATCCGTCTTCTGACGGATCTCCCCTTCAATTTTTCTTTTTTAATTTTCTCTGTTTTCTCTCTTCTATTCAAATCAAGAAGAAAAAGAAGAAGATCGATCAACAAAAACACAAAAAAAAACAAAGAAGGGATCATGCTTTAAAAATAAAATGTGGGTCTCTCTTCTCTCGAATCAATTTAGAAGGAAATATTTGCTTGAATGCTTTATATGATTGGGGTTATCAAGATTGAAAATATTCATTTTTTAAGGGAGTGGGACAAATGCGACCTTTTTTTGCGCACACATTTGCGCACCTTTTTTTCCGCACTTAGCCCATTAGCGCACCTTTTTTCGCGTTTTAAAAAAGCTCTAAAAGCTAATATTAACCAATTTCTATTCCAAAAGTTGTTTTTCTAGGTAATTTTAGGGTGTCGAATTCAAATTTTGACATATGAGAGTTTGTGAAAGTAATTTGAAAGATAAACTGAAAGATAAACTCACAAATCCCCTTTCCCCAATACATGAATATACGGGCTACTTGAAAAAGTAATAACACAGAGGTAGTGTTTTTGTACGAGCTCGCCTGAAAAAAGCTCTGCCGTTTTCGAGCACTTGAAGCTATAAATAGGCATTTTTAAAGTTTTATCTTGGCAAATTGAAGGATCAATTGAATAGCAGAATATCGTAACTTTGGAATTCTTATATTTAAACTTTGTTTTCAAACTTGTTCTCTGGTCTTTCGGGAGTGGGACAAATATTAACCAGTTGCTATTCCAAAAGTTGTTTTTCTGGGTAATTATAGGGCCTAGAATCCAAATTTTGCCATATCAAAGCTTGTGGAAGCAAACGGACGGAGTTATACATAGGAAAAACGACAATTTTCCGTAATTTGACCTACCTGTTTTCTTTCAAATTACTTTCGCTCTGTATGTCAAATTTGGTGCCCTAAATTACCAAAACAATTTTTGGAATAGAATTGGTTATATTGCTTTTAAACGCGAAAAAGTTGCGCTATGGGCGGGGTGCGCAGTCCCGAGTGCGCAAAAGTCGCATTTGTCGGACATTTGCGCCTTGCCCATTAGCGCCCTTTTCGCGTTGCCTAAAGCTATATTAACCAATGCTATTCCAAAAGTTGTTTTTCTGGGTAATTATAGGGCCTAGAATCGAAATTTTGACATATCAGAGCTTTTGGAAACAAACGGACGGAGTTATACAAAGAGAAAAATCAACAATTTTCTGTAATTTGCCGTTTTGTCTTTCAAATTGGTTCCACAAGCTCTGATATGTCAAAATTTGAATTCGACATCCTCAAATTACCTAGAAAAACAACTGGAATAGAAATTGATTAATATTAGCTTTTAGAGCTTTTTTTAAAACGCGAAAAAAGGAAAAAAGGTGCGCTAATGGGCAAGGTGCGGAAAAAAAGGTGCGCAAATGTCCGGGTGCGCAAAAAAAAGGTCGCATTTGTCCCACTCCCTTTTTTAAACATTTTTTTTTAAACACCTCAATCATATCGAGCATGAAACTCTCAATCAAACAATTCTTATCCCTTATCAACAGTTTTTTTCCCTTTCTCGTGCAGTTCAACCGAGAGGAGAGAGGCTGAAGTGGGAACATGTAGAAATGGATGAGATTTTTGAGAATTTTTGAGCATTTTGAGAATTTTCTTTGCTATTTTTTCTCAATCAATCATTTTATTTAGATCTTCTTTTTTTTGAAATCTTCTTTGCAAAAAGGAGAGAAACAACAGAAAATGTTGCCAAATGAGGGCTTCCAGAAATTGCTTTATGATTTGTTCTGTGTCTGGCATGATGTGAGAAGGTATGTGAATTTTGTTTTCAATTTAAAGCTAAATCTAAATACAGACATTATGATCCACCGATCACGGATACTGAAGAAGAGAAAATGGCAAAGGTTTGATGAAAAAAAATAGAATGAAATGAAATAGAATGAAATGGGGAAAATCGGGAAATCGCAAATCAATTACAATAGTATTTCAGGTGAAAAGTATGATTTGTCGTCTTCTTTCGGAGATCGATGGACGAGTGAATCGAATCAAAGCAAATCAAGGAAATGAGCCAAGAGAACAAGTAATACTTGCCTTAGAGAGGATTGAGTGGCAGTACGGGGGGTCGAACTCGGCTTGTGCTGTCGACAAGGGTGGGTTGTAGACAAGCGCGCTCCCGACTGCGCCACGGCGACCGGAAAGGACCGATCCTCCAGAAAAAGCTGCCCTTAAGGGGTGAAGCTGGTAGCAATATGTTATTGATCAAAAGAAACTTTTTTGCCACATTCTCAGCACATTTTTAGGCTTTGACTCAGGCTTAGGCTTAGGCTTAGGCTCAGGCTCAGACTTGGACTTAGTGCGAAGGCTAGCGGCTAGCGCCTAGCACTAAGTCTATTTGGGTTTGTCAGGCTTAGGCTTAGGCTGAACTGGGAAAAGAACTGGAATTGCACTACCATAGCTGAATCCAAGTGTTCTTCGAGCTCTAGTAAACGCAAATCTCTTCGCACACTAGATTTCCCTTTTTTTCTCAGAATATTTGCTATTGATGCTATTGATCAAAGAAACTTTTTTGCCTCATTTTCAGCACATTTTTAGGCTTTAAGGGGAAGAAAAAAAAAAAAGCCCCCCCCCCACGGGGGCGGGGGGTGGGGTTATAGGGGAAATTTCGCCTCCCCCCCTCCCCTGCTACGAGGAGTGGACGATGTTGACGTGGAATGTTTTATGTATTACTTCTCGTTTACAGAATAGTCTACAAGTATGTTGGGAAAAAGAAAAGAATGTTTCCATTTTCTTTTAAGGTCACTGTACGATCGGCTGAAGATCGGGCACTTTTCGATCGTCTAAATCAAGCGCTCGTCGAACTCGTCAATTACGCCAGGTAGGGAAATGTTGAGTTGATTGATTTATTCAAATTATCAAATTTGTTTGCTTTATAAAACCCAATTCCAGAGATTACCTCCCAGCAATGGGCGATTTCAGTGATCCATCGTATAAATACCTCAAAGAGACAATGGACAACACAATGGTTTATTTACATAAATTGTACAGGTAAAGTTTGTGATGATAATACTATAAAAGAAGAAGAGATTTTAAAGAAATGTGGAATTTAGAACGATAGTTAAAATGATAATACTATAAAAGAAGCAAAGGGATTCTAAAGAAATGAGCGATTCAGAACGATAGTTTAAATAATAATACTATAAAAGAAGAAGAGATTCTAAAGAAATGTACAATTTAGAACGATAGTTTAAATAATAATACTATAAAAGAAGAAGAGATTTAAAAGAAATGAGCAATTCAGAAGGATAGTTTAAATGGCAATACTATAAAAGAAGCAAAGAGATTCTAAAGAAATGAGCGATTTAGAACAATAGTTTATGAGATAATACTATAAAAGAAGAAGAGATTCAAAAGAAATGTTCAATTCAGAACGATGAACACCGTGGTTTTTAACACAAACGAAGATATAGAAACATTCCGACAACATCTCACAAATTTTGGTGAAGAGACACTCATTCCATGCATTGAAATGTTCAAGGTATTGCTTAAATCTCTTTGATTTTAAAGAATATAAGACTTTAGCAATACTGTAACTCGAATTGTGAACGTTTATGGAGAGAAGTTCGAGCAGCACAAGTAAGGAATTGAAAATGAGATGAAAAAAAAAAGAGATTGAAGCTGTTTTATTGGAGCTATAACATTGACAGTAATCAAGGCTTGCTTTGATAGTTTTTAAGAAGTAGAAAAGTTGTATTGAGTCAGGTTTATGATTACGTTTAAGCATATTGAGTATAAAGGGATTTGTTTGGAGTTAAAGGTTCACTTGTCAAATGTTAAGCTGTTCAGTTAACCTGTTCAGTTAACCTGTTCAGTTAACCTGTTCAGTTAACCTGTTCAGTTAACCTGTTCAGTTAACCTGTTCAGTTAACCTGTTCAGTTAACCTGTTCAGTTAACCTGTTCAGTTAACCTGTTCAGTTAACCTGTTCAGTTAACCTGTTCAGTTAACCTGTTCAGTTAACCTGTTCAGTTAACCTGTTCAGTTAACCTGTTCAGTTAACCTGTTCAGTTAACCTGTTCAGTTAACCTGTTCAGTTAACCTGTTCAGTTAACCTGTTCAGTTAACCTGTTCAGTTAACCGTTCAGTTAACCTGTTCAGTTAACCTGTTCAGTTAACCGTTCAGTTAACCGTTCAGTTAACCGTTCAGTTAACCTGTTCAGTTAACCGTTCAGTTAACCTGTTCAGTTAACCTGTTCAGTTAACCTGTTCAGTTAACCTGTTCAGTTAACCTGTTCAGTTAACCTGTTCAGTTAACCTGTTCAGTTAACCTGTTCAGTTAACCTGTTCAGTTAACCTGTTCAGTTAACCTGTTCAGTTAACCTGTTCAGTTAACCTGTTCAGTTAACCTGTTCAGTTAACCTGTTCAGTTAACCTGTTCAGTTAACCTGTTCAGTTAACCTGTTCAGTTAACCTGTTCAGTTAACCTGTTCAGTTAACCTGTTCAGTTAACCTGTTCAGTTAACCTGTTCAGTTAACCTGTTCAGTTAACCTGTTCAGTTAACCTGTTCAGTTAACCTGTTCAGTTAACCTGTTCAGAAGTTTTCAAATTCTTCAATTAACCCAGCTATCAAACTTTTATATGGTTAAAAGTAAAGATCAATATCTTATCTTAAACTAAAAACAATGGGAAAATGTTTTATTTTGTCAAGTTTTGATAAAAGAAATGATTGAGGAGATGAAAAGAGGGAAATTTTATGTTTTCGATAAGTTTTTAATTAGAAAAAAGGCATAAAAGAACGTTTTGGTATCTGATGATTCTAAAAAATCGCAAATAAACTTGCTAATAAACTAAGAAACTTGCTAATAAGCTTAATTAAAACTTGCTGTTTATCGTTTGAAATCATTTCAAGAAAGCTCGTTCATTTCAGGTTCTCCGAATGAGAGATCAAACAGCTTTACCCGATCAACCAATCACAACACTCGTCGCTTTTTATTCAAATATGATGTTCACATTGGCTGTGTTAGCAGCTCGTTTACAAGTTCACTCACAAAGAACTCACATCATCATCAACATTTTCAGGGTTTTCGTTACGATTTGACGATAAACAAAAAAATGTTTGGTCATTTTGGTGAGTTATTTGAATAGTGAAGTCATACAAATTGTCTAAAATGTCTAAAATACAAAATGCACTTTGCAAATGCAATTAAGTACTTCAGATCCAGTGGTTCATCTCTCCGAAGCTGTCTTTTCGGCTCTCGAGTTACTGATGAGCGATTGTGTTTTGGTTTGATTTGGCAATCTCTTTTGTAAATCTCTTTTCTTCAGGCAACAGAACCATCAACAAATGCTATTCTCGTCACAAATAACTTGTTTAGGTAAGTATTGAATTGAAATTGAATTGAAATTGAATTGAAATTGAATTGAAGTTGGTGAATTGAAAACTGCGGGACTTTGAGCTAAAATTTATTCAACATAAAACCATGAATTCATTCCAAATAATTTCCATTATTATTGACGACTTCTGCCCATTTTACAGGCAATTTGCGGATTTCTCTTTCGTTGTAGGATTTTGGTTTGTGTGTGAGACAAGTGTGAGACTCAAAAATCGAGGACTGGAGATGTCGAGATGCCCCAGTTTGAGGACTTTCTTCAAAAGAAACCCATTTTGGTGTCAATAGAAAAGTTGTAGAGAATCAAAAATTAGGCTTATAGCCAAATTTCCAAAAAGATACACTTAGTAGTTTCGCTTAAAATGCAAGTTTTGTGAAAATTCGTAAATTTGGCATTTCTTGAAAACCAGTTTTTGAATCGTTTTGAAAATTTGGCTATAAGCCTCCTTTTTGATTCTCTACAACTTTTCTATTGACACAAAAATGGGTTTCTTTTGAAGAAAGTGCTAAAACTGTCACATATGACAATAGCCTGCAGTTTTCAATTCACCAACCCAATGATTTTAAAAAAAACCCCACTTAAACTTTCTTGTTCAGTATGAACTGCGGTGCACTTGCTCGTGGTGTCGTTTTCAAGGATTTTGAGATACAAGTTGTATCGGAAGAAACAGCAGAACATATACAGGTTTAAGAAAATATTATCTTATTAAAATGATATTTAGAATGAAATGAGAAAGGCTCGTTTACTGCAAGGAGCCACATCAATCGGCACTCCACCGTCAGCCGCTCTTCTCGCAATGAAACCAACTTCTGGCACAAAGAGACCACAGCCGACTTCTAGTAGGGAGATTGAAATCAAAAATATTTGATTACAAAAGGTATATTAAAGGCAAATTTCCCCTTTCAGCAGCACCTGATCAACCAAACAACACAGCGCATAAAAAGAGTGATGTGAATAGTAAAGAATCGGTGAACATCTATCCAATCTATAATGCAAAGAATCGATACTGGTGAGTGAAATGGATGGATGTTTTACGAGATGATTCAGGGCAGCCACATATCCTCATTTATTATGCACGACAAGGCAAAAAGGGAGAACATCAACGCATAACTCTTATCAAGTGAGTAGATGAAGAAATTAGAACTAAGGGACAGTTTTTCCACAAAAATGTTGTCGGGCAGGGTCGAACCCGGGAACCAGGGCGGCACCTTCGGAGTGGTAAGCGAGAGCTTAACCACTTAACCATGATGGCAGCTGTGGCCGACGTTAAGCTGCTCGCTATCCTCCAGGGAGTTAACTAAACAAGGGGGGGCGGTTAGTTAACTCCCTCTGGAGTAAGAGGGTACAAGTCCGTGGTGGTGTAATGGTTAGCACAGTTGCCCGCTAAGCGAAAGGTCGTGGGTTCGAGTCCCGGCCGTGCCAATCTGTCCTAGTTTCAACTGATTTTCTGCACTCTAATCCCTAGATTTTATCCATAGTGGTACAGTGATATTTTTTGAGGATCTCTCACCGGGTGGTGTCTATGAGAAAACGTCAACCGGAAAGCGTCCTCTCTTCTATTTTCATATCAAAGCCACTCTATTTTCTCCATCAGGCCGTTTCTCTTCAGCTCACACTTTATCACTTCCATTCACCATTGCGACAAGAAGAAATCAGGTATAAAAATGATTGGAAAAGGAAAATTTCTAGAATTGCTTTTTAGGATTGTCAAGTTCAACGAATGATGTCTTCATATACAGCAACAATATTCTGGTTGTATGGATGTCATTTACAAGATGGACTTCTTTTGCAATGGTCTGATCAAGGTAATTGAGGAATGGTGAGTGAAAGGCGAAAAGTTCTAGATTCAGGAATGCAATGGGAACAATTTAAACAACTCTACAAGCAGCATTTTAAAACAAATGCTGAAGTGACAAGGGGATTAGTTGATTCGGATTTCGAGTTGTTGCAGTACAAGTTGCAATGTCAAGATTGCAAGAGTGGCGACTCGGGAGCGAGGATTAACGGGGCACAACGTGGGTTCCCAGTTTACAATGCAATTTACCAGAATCCTTGTTTTCGATTACAATTGTTCGGCAAGCAATAGTCAAATTCTGTTTCGATTTTCAGAAATCGTGACTTTCAAGAATATTCTTTGTCCTCATCTTCGATATGAATGTGGATCGGTGAATGTTCGCTTCTCGGTTTGGAGGGGAATGCTCGAGTTATTGCAAATATTTCACGATCAACGGAATAACGTTCGAAAGTTATGGGAAAAGGGATTACTACTTGGATTCTTTGAATTTGACCAGGTTAGATCAAAAGAAGAGAATTGAAGCTGTAAGTAGACTTGCTTAACAAGATAGATCAAAAAAAATCGACATCGCGCAACTTCAGGCGCTTGATCTAGCCTCCAGAGTATCGGATTTCAATGAACTTTTTTAAAATTTAAAAGCCAATATTTTAGCTAATGATACTCATATCTAATGATACTCATTACTTATGTTTTTCTTTTGAAAAATGGATCAAAAACCTTATCGAGACTTCACGAGATAACGAGGAATTGTCTTGCTAAGTTTCGATAAGGTTTTTGACCCATTTTTAAAAAGAAATGAGCAGCTGAATACCTAGGTCTAGGCTGAATACCCAACCTACACGAAATACCGTAATCCAGTTAATGTAGACTGAATACCATATTCTAGGCTGAATACCCAATCTAGACTAAATACCGTAATGCCGCTAACATAACTAATGAGTATCATTAGATAGCTTAAAATATTGGCTTTTAAATTTTAAAAAAGTTCATTGAAATCCGATACTCTGGAGGGTAGATCAAGCGCCTAAAGTTGTCTCGTTAATTCTCGTTAAGCAAGTCTAGCTGTAAGTATAAAATGTTGGTATTTGTGATGATTCTGTTTAAAACTCCCTTTACCGATTCACTTACGATTTTTTCTATCAAAAAGCTCTATTTCTTCTCTATAAAATTGCTTTTTAGAGTTTCTGAAAATCTTTTTTTTTATGGTTTACGAGAGGTGATAAGCAAAGTAGTCAAAAATGACAATATGTAAACTCAGGCTCAGGCTTAGGCTTAGGCTTAGGCTCAGGCTCAGGCTCAGGCTCAGGCTCTCATCACTAAACATTTCTAATAAAACAAATCGAAAGTGAATCGGTGAATTAGAAAGTTTTATACAGAACTATGACAAATAACGATAGTTTATACCAAATATTTCAGAAAAATCTTATTAAACAGACTTCAAGGTTGATAAATTACTGGAGAAGCGTCAATCCACTCTCATCATGCGTCTTTCCTTTGTGACTGGAGGTGAGGGAGACTTGACAGATTTGTGTTTTTATCTTTCTATATCCTTCTATATCCTCCTATATCCTTCTACATCTTTCTATATCATTCTATAACTTCCCATATCTTTCTATATCTTTCTATATCTTTCTATATCATTCTATATCCTTCTATATCTCTCTATAAACTGATTGCTTTGTCTTGTCTATGCTTTGTGCCTATTTTATCGTAAAGAAAAAGTAAAGAACAAAGTATCAATTTCTAGGCACAATCTGTTTCACGTTGAAGTCGAATGCTCACGCAGTTGGCGCTGGGGACACAAAACCGATCCATTTGGAGCCATTGGATTTGAAAAAATTACAAGCAAAATGTTTAAGAGATTATCTAAGAGATATTGCTGATGCGGAAAAGGTTTACATTTGGGATTTGAATTGAAAATTGAAAATTCTAGGTGAAATACATTTTGAATTCACAATTGGAGTTGGTTCGAATCTGGGAAGTGTTACAAGAGATGAAAGATGGCGTGAATGAGCCGGGAGCACAAGAAGGACAAGACTCGAGACATATTTCATCGAATGTCACTCATTCGGGAGATCTTGACGCTATGCAACATATTAGGTATTGTATGAATAGCTTTCATAGCAGTTACTATTACAGTTACTATTCATTCATTCATTATTCATCGATAAGAGAATATTGTAAGTAAGTAAGTCAGTAAGTAAGTAAAGTAAGTAAGTCAGTGAGTAAGTAAGTCAGTAAATAAGTCAGTAAGTAAGTAAGTAAGAGTAAGTAAAGTTTGTGAAAGAATGTTTTCCTATTTAGATTTACGGCAATGCGAATCGCTGTCGTAACATGCAAAGTCAAGCCTCCATCTGCCGATTTTCCGCAAGAGGTTTATCACAAAAATTAATACGCGCAATCCAACTTTCAGCTCAAATATCGCGAAAAATTGCAGGTTGAAGCAGCAGCTTTCGGGGGTCGTTTATCGGCGCTTCTCTCTCCACACGATGATTTCGTCCGAGAGCTCGTTCAATTGTGCAATTTTCATGGAAAGGGGAAACAAGTTAGAGAAGATTTGATTAAATCTAATGGAATCTAAACAAATAAATAGGAAGCAATGGATATTCTCGATTCAGTGGCTGATAATTATTTCATTCGACAAAGCACAGTCTCTTCATCAAATGCTTCCACTCCATTCTCGATGAGGTTGGAAAAAGAGATTGAGATTTGATGGCAAAAAAAGTGGATTTTAGTTGTAAACAAAAAGGTTATAAGGGTTTAAAAGAAGTTTTTTTTTTTTTAAAAAGAAATGATTGTTATGTAAAGTGAAAGTTTTTTAAAGGTCATCTGAAGTCTGAATCATATGAATCATCTGAATCATCTGAATCATATGAATCATCTGAATTCTGAATTCTGAATTCTGAATCATCTGAATCATCTGAATCATCTGAATCATCTGAATTCTAAATTCTAGAAGATTTTTAAAAGTAAAAGTCATTTTATAAAGTAAAGAAATGTTTTAAAATTGATTAACTAATTGAATTAGAATTTGTGAATAATTTGACAAAAGAAAACAAAAGAAAAACAGGGGGTGGGACAAATGCGACTTTTTTTTGCTGGAAAAGGCCTCAGGCAAGGCCGTAGAGCTTCGAAAATATTTCCATATAAGGGAATCGTATGCGTAGATTCCGAATTTCGACAAATCAGACCTCGCTGACACGTCAAATTTGGACTAAAAGGTAAAAATTGCGGAAAAGCGTTAAGTTGCGTAGTTTTTGCCTTTTAGCCCAAATTTGACGTGTCAGCGAGGTCTGATTTGTCGAAATTCGGAATCTACGCATACGATTCCCTTCTATGAAAACGTTTTTGAAGCTCTACGACTTTTCCTAAGGCCTTTTCCAGCAAAAAAAAGGTGCGCAAATGTCCAGGTGCGCAAAAAAAAGGTCGCATTTGTCCCACCCCCGAAAAACAACAAAAAAAAATAACAAAAATCTTTCCCAGACCATATGACGATCTTCGCGGTTCAACGCCAAAAATCGAATCACCAATCTCAACCGTAATGATGTCAGCTCCGATTTCTTCATCGACATCAAATCCTATTGAGGAAATGGACACAAATGGATATCGATTTGATTACAATGCTTATTAGAATCAATGTATTAGATCAATGTATTAGAATCAATGTATTAGATTCTTCTTAGATATCTATTAATAACCTCAATTTATCTATCTCTTAGGTTAGAATTAGTTCATTGAAAAGAGCTATAAAGTGCTTTTTTTGTGCTATAAAGTGCTATAAAGTGCTATAAAGTGTTTCAGTTTATTCTTTTTTCTTTTCTTTTCTTTCCTTTCCCCCTTACAGGTGCCTTACGTTTTATTCATTTCTTTACTTTCAATTGTGATTTCTTGATTCATTCCACTTACTGAAGTTTCACTTTTTGTTTATTTTTTTTTATGATTTTACGGGCAAATGATTTCATTCAAAACTCACAAGAAAAAACAAGAAATCAGATAAATTTCTTTTTTTTTTGAAACGAAAACAATCACAAGAAAAGAATACGGATTTAAGGAGAGATTTTAAGGGATAGATTTTGAGTTATAAAATAAAAGGTTTAAGAACTTCAGAGTTTGATTTAAGATTTAAGATCTTCAGCAGCTTTAGATCTTCAGCAGCTTTAAGATCTTTAGATTTAAGACCTTTAGCTTTAAGACCTTCAGGTTTAAGATCTTCAGCTTTAAGCTCTCCAGATTTAAGCTCTCCAGATTTAAGCTCTTCAGCTTTAAGATCTTCAGACTTCAGAACGGATTAACGGGGCGAGTTTTTGGGCCAACTTGCAGCTCATTTTTAAACGCCTTAAACTTGTCAGATCAGGAAGTTTTAATAAGATTTAGATAGCTTAGAACGGCAAATTTCAGAAACTATTTGTTTCGTTAAAAGTTATTAACAAAAACCTATCTAAAATTGGGCTGCAAAATGGTCAGAAACTTCAGATTTAAGCTCTTCAGAGTTTAAGATTTTCAGCTTTAAGATCTTCATCTTTAAGCTCTTCAGAGTTTGATCTTCAGATTTAAGATCTTCAGATTTAAGCTCTTCAGAGAGAATTTAAAGTTTGCTTAATTTACACTACAAATGAATCTGTTCTCCAATCGATGTTCTTGTTCTTTGCTTTGAGATTTGTGTTGTTTTGAGATTCTCTTATTTTCATTTCACTCAAAATCAGCTCAAATGTTATCCTGTTGATTTGAGGCTAACATTCTTTTGCTAACATTCCCCTTTCTCATCTCTATTTATTTTTCTTTAGCCTTATTTTTAAGTGCCTTGAAAAAGAGGAAAAAAAGATTTTTTTTTTGATGCAACGTACCGATTTTTTTCTATAAGAAAAGATTGATTTAATTTGAGTAGATAGGTTTATTTGAGGTTTATTTGATTTAATTTAATTTAATTGAGGTTTATTTGATTTTATTTGATTTATTTGAGTTTTGATTTGATTTCTACAAGATAGAACTGTATTATTATCCCAAGGATATGCGTTGAAAGGTAAAAGAAAAGTTGCTGGGGGGAGTGACATTCAAATACAGACATTCAAATACAGGCTAATCCCGATCCCCGTTCATCCCATTCCCTTCTCCCAACTTGGTCTTATTATCGCTCATTGTTCAAGGTCTTTATTTTCTATAACTTGATTGAATATCTTCTAATTATATCTTCTAATTATCAAATACTCTACAATATTTCAATGACTTCAATAAATGGCTCAGCCAATACCTCGATAAAACATTTTACTTCTAACAGGCGACTTTCTGCTTTCCTATTCGAAAACTCGTAATCTTGCTTATTCGATTTTTCGAATTCTATTCCATTTTGACGACTAAGTGTTCTTCTTTTGGCATACACAGCATCATATTGTATAGGAGAGATGAATCAGCGAGAATTCCCCCTTTCCTCCCTTCCATTTCCCCTTTTTCGATAACCAAATGCATTGGCTTTTCTTTTCCATTTCCCCTGTATATATTCGATATTAGCTTTTCCCTTTCCATACAGTTTCCCAAACCATCCGCCAAAGTACTTATGAATTCGTTTTTTGCTTTTATGTAAGAGCTTTTATGTAAAAGCAGTATCTGAAAATCCTTTTTTAAGTTTCCTTCTTTCAAACATAAACTATTGAATAAAGGATAAAACTAAGCTTCTCTAAAATGTTTCCAGACAAAAGAGAAACTCTAGGTTACTAACTAGCTTCGTCTACATTCATTTAAATTTAAATCAATCGATTCCTATACATTCATTTAAATGAAATGAATACTTCATGTACATTCATTTAAAATTTAAGTCTAACGAATTGTAAGGATTCGTAGAAACAGAGTACCTTTTAAGTGTCCAATGGATTGTTACCAGGTTTGTTGGTCCTATTTGTGTAAAGAAGACTGAGTGGATGGTTCTGACGGGATTTGGGTAGAAGAGGAGGGGGTTTATGCAGAAGAAGAGAAAAAGAGGAGAAGGAAAGGAGAAGAACGGCTCGGGGTGATTGTGCGAGTCGTGAATATACAGCCAGTACAAGGTGTGTAGATGAGAAGAGGGGAAAGGAGAGAAGTGGAGGGGAATGGAGGGGAAGGGAGGGGAAGGGGAAGGGAGGGGAAGGGGAGGGGAATGAGTGAAGGCATGAGTCAATGTTGACACCCCTCTTCTTCTTTTTCCCTTACCTGGTGCCCTTCTCAATTTCTTCTCTTTTTCCTCCACTTCATATTTTCCCACTATGAAAACGACTCGGTATACGCCTTTCCGGGAGAAAATTCGATCCTCGATCTCCAGATATTTTTGCAAAGCTAGTATCCTTTGCACTCAAACATCTTTAGTTCTTTTTTCATGGAATTCTTGCAGTTTTTCTGTTGTACATGTTGATGATAGCCTTAGAAGAGGAGAAATAAAGTTGTCTCTTCTTGTGGCACATTTCATCTTGTTCGATGAACTTGCTATGGGTGATTGTGCGAGTCGTGACCAGGCCCAGCCAAGGTTTATGACTGTTGACTGACTGTTTATAAGATTATAGTAAGTAAGACTCCTTTAAGACCACTACTTGTCAGGAGTAAGACCACTACTTGTCATTCGTTATCCTATTTGAATTGTGTCTCCTTGATCACATTCAAGTATTCCCAATAGGAATCTCCCCCTCTCCTATCAGCTCCTTCCCCTCTTTTGAATCGATTCCCCAAAAGTGTACCGTCCCATTTATTTACAGCAATCTTGCCCCGATTGATAAGCCATAATCAAAGGATTTCCAATTATCCCAAAGCAATAACCAAAAGCAATACCATATTCAACAACAGGGGCACTTTTGAAACCTTTTTTTGTTGTTGATTTAAATGAGTTACAAGAATGGAATGTTGATGACTTATTGTATAAAGAGTATCGATTTTCTTTCGAGAAAGAGTTTTCTTTAGAATCAAATCAATGATTCAGACGGGAGATGAGAAAGAGCATTTCCTTTCGAGAAAGAGAAAAGGGTGAAGACGATACGATAAGCCTTTCCTTTCGCCCACACGATTCACCCTATCTATTCATTTTCTGATTTCTGATTTCGATTGAGTTGTTTATTGAAACGTTTTGTGTACTTCTTTTTTCACAATTTCTTTACAATAAGAGTTTAAAGTTAGATTTAAATTCTTGGATGAGATTGATGTAATCCTCTTCTTTTGAATTTTATCCTTTGGATCTTCATTTGTCCATTTTTAGGGATCATTTCAAGTTTATGGGTTAATCGAATGTAAACCTGTGGTTCAATGTACAAATTATCTTTTAGAAAACACGTTAGCCAAAGGAATTTACTTTAAAGGACGCAGGTAGAGATTACTTGAGCTTTGAACATGCAATACGTTTGGTAGAGCTCAAAAATCAAGCTAATTTTTTGGAAAAATGAGATAGAAGTGAGAAGGATTCCTGAATTGACTTTTAAAGTGCTTGAGATCATTAATTGTTTGTGAGACAAAAAGAATGAAGGTTTATTTTCCGAATCCTAGTTATGACTCATTTAGCAGTTTCGTTTTTTTGTTTTTTTTCTCATTTGGATCCCTTTCATTTTTTCAAACCTGTTTTCATTTCAAATCTTTTACGAGAAAACAATCCAATAGTTAAAACTAAAAGAATTTCAAATAAAATTGTTCTTTTTTCCGTTCTTCATTTCATTATCGTATTGCAAGAAAATCGATTTTGAAACTGTCAAATGAGTCATATCTGGGATTAAAATAGGAAAATAAACATTTATTCTTTTTTCTCACAAACAATTAGTGATTTCAAGCACTTTAAAAGTCAATTTAGGAAAATATGAGAATTAAATCGATTCCTAAATAGTTTAACCTCTTTCCTTTCCTATTTTATCTTATTTTCTTATAATACCGTATTTTCTCTAATAGTAGTGCACCCTGAGCGTCGCCTAAATTGCTCGAAATCTCGAGAACCGCTTATCAGAACCTATCGATGTGGGGTCGGAAAATGTAGCTGACGATGAGATCTTGTGGGGGATTTGAGTGTTGAGCTTCTGTGAAAGCTTGGAAACTGTAAAATCGTCACCAACTCGACTGGATGCACTATTAGAGAAATCCGGTATTTTTTTGTTATGTCCGCTGCCCTAGATAATGCATGTCAGTCCTCTGCCCTAGATAATGCAAGAAGTAGTACAATAGGCTATTACCGTAATATTGTTAAGCTTCTGCAAAAGCTTGGAAACCGTAAAATCGTCATCAACTCGGCTCGCTGGGGTGCACTATCAGAGAAAATACGGTAAATCGATCAAAATCGATTTCAAAACTACGAATTGACTTTTTGAAGATTTTTGGTGAAATCTAGTGGAAGAATGAATGGGTAATGAGAGGCAAATATAATCCATTCTCTTTCTTTTTCTCCTTTCAATGTTTACCTCCATTCGATTTGTGCCCTCTTTTTCCTTTTCTTTCTTTTTATACAAGAGTGGTCGACTCTTGTAAATGAGGAAAGGGTTAACTCTTTCTTTTCTTTTCTTTTCCTTTCCTTTCCTTGCAATTCAATGTATTCGAGTTTTCTAAAATATAAAGAAATTATGGGAAAAAATACTTATTTCAAATTTCAGAATGACTCGAATAAAGTCTAGTTTCTTCTTTTCATTGATCGCCTTGATTTCATCTCTTTTCGCTCAACAGCAATGGTCAATCGATCAACAACATCAAGGAGCACAGCCAAGTTTTCAGGTACTTTTTTTGAGGATTGCAAAAATATTTAGATAAACATTATGTTGAAATCTAAAATGATCTAAAAAGCATCGTTTAGCCGATGGATGGAAATCAGCGAGGATTTGTGAATTCGGTGCTTTCTCCACAACAGCTTCGACCAAATGTGAGTCTATATGTCGTAGCCGATTATGAATTTCAGCCGATTATGAATGAGTGGGTGTAGGAGCGTCCAACCATCAAGTATTTAGTATCATTCAACGCAGAATCATTAATAATTATGTTAAATTCTTTAAATTAGAAAGATTGGATAAAAAGAAAAAAAATTATGGGGCTTCAAAGTTGAACAAACAGTTTTTTTGCTCTAATTTTTTTTTCTTTTTATCCAATCTTTCTAATTTAAAAAATTTAACATAATTATTAATGATTCTGCGTTGAATGATACTAAATACTTGATGGTTGGACGCTCCTAGACCCACTCATTCATAATCGGCTGAAATTCATAATCGGCTACGGGGGTCCCGCCGATTTTGAACAAAACGTTGTAGCGCCGGCAATTTTTAATCTAGACTCACAAATTTGGTACCAATCGACGCAGAATTTAATTCGCTACAAGATCATATAATATTGTCCTCTAATAAGCTTATCTTTTAAGCTTATCCTTTAACCTTATCCTTTAACCTTATCCTTTAACCTTATCTTTTAAGCTTACCCTTTAAGATTACCCTTTAAGCTTACCCTTTAAGATTACCCTTTAAGTTTACCCTTTAAGCTTATCCTTTAAGCTTAAGCTTTACTTAAACTACTATTAAAATGAAATTTGCTATTTTTAGTATCAAAATGGAGTGAGTGGCGGTGGCGGTGTTCAGATTCAATTTCAATTGCGCGGATACTCCAATCCGTCACTACAATTGCCAGCCGGGAATACGTGTATTTGTCCACCAGTGAGTTGAATAAGAAATAGAATAAGAATCATTTGATTATCTTTTACATATCCATATTTTGACAACTTTTCTACCGTATTGATTTCAATTGAAATCCTTTAAACGAAATTTTTCAACTCTCGAATATTTGCCGCAAAATGCTGAACTATTTTAAAGACTTTTTAAAGCTTTCAAAACTTTAAATAATAATTATAACCTAAAAAAAAAAGCCTAAAAAAGCTTTATAACGTTAAAAACCGGTTGAAAATCCATTAAAAACACCGATTTTTGAGAGAAATTGAAAAACAGAAGAGCCGTTTACTATCTATTCATTTTCTATAGACTATTACAATGTTTACAGTAATCTAATCATTTCTATAGGGTCAATCCTGCAGTTATTTGTCTCGTCGTGACTCAGCCGAGTGCTTTTTCGCCTTCACTTTTATCATCTCTGCGCCAGAGTATAACAAAACTCGAATTTCATTTAAACAAAAGATATTCAGTCAATCGGTACGCTATTTCGCTACCCCGTTTATTACGCTCGATTCAAATGGGAATTTGGATCGAGCCGGCGAGAGATGGGATGAAAATTATGTAGTGCAATTGCCGAGTAAACCGGTGAGTTTCGAGAAGTGTTTGAGTTAGAGGATATGGCTAAAATATTGCTCAACGTTTTGATAAATCAATTTCAGTCGGCAATTGATGTTTTCGTGCACCATTTGGGTTCAGTGATTCGTTCATCGGATGGATCTCTCGTGAACACGATGACACTCACACATGTTGACACTTTTGTGGTAAATTTTAAGCACTTAAGCCGGGAATTGAAAGAGTTAGTCTTTTTTTAAAACGTAGCCTCTTATTTTTTCTCTAATTCGTGTCTACTTCTATTTTCTTTCGATATTTTTTGTGAATGCAGAATCGAAGGAAACATAGATAGTTTGAAATTAGTAAGATTAGCTTTCGATAGATTTTAGAAAACTATAGAATGATTTCCTTCCCAGGTTCCCCTCGACGATGATCTCCCTACAGCTGGTCGACTTGCTTCAGTGCCCTCTCCGCGCACATTCACCGGAACGATGCTGCAGACACAGTTAAGCATATCATTCACTACTTAAATCCCTTATCTTTAGATTATCTCTATCAGTTTCAATCGGCTGTTTGGGTGATATGATCGGCGCACAATGTGATCTCACTTGTGCCTCATCGCCCGTTTCCACACAGAAAATGTCGTGTCGACAAAACTCGACCGGTTTCTTCTTCATTTGTAATCGAGCTGCAATGACTGGACAGGTATATAGTTGCCTTTCTTTTATAATTAGATACGGAAAAAATTAATTTCGTATTTGTGGGTCTCACTGTGGGTCTTACTGTGGGTCTCATGGACTCCGGCGTTGCCTACGAATGCAGATGCTTATTGACTTTGGGTCTTTTTATGTATTTGAGTATTTTTTCTCAATTTTCTTTTCTGTTTAACACTTTTGCTTTTTGACCTTCCTTAATGTTTTTTTCAGGTTGTTTTACATCGATGAAAAATCGAGACTTTCACCTTCTCTTCTTGTATGAGTTCAAGCTTGGCCACGATAGGGTCAGAAGCCACTCAAAACATGAATCAAGTTTTTGGGGAAGGCAAAGCTGAAGTTTGAGCAGTTCAGCGCTGGTTCAAACGATTCCCGGAAGGCGACAAGGATCTTAATGACGAGGAAGGCCGCGGACGCCATGTTAGTCTCGACAATGACGGATTAAAGGAGCGGGTAGAAGCAGACCCCAGAAAAACTGAGGCAGAATTAGCAACGCACTTTGGGGTCAGTCCACACACAATTGGGAACCATCTCAAGGAAATCGGAAAAGTAAAAAAGTTGGAAAAGTGGGTGCCTCATCAGTTGAACGAATATCAAAAATTGCACCGTTACCTCACATCGTATTCATTGCTGATTCGTAATCAAAAGCATTGCCATTTCTGGATTGAATTATAACTTGTGATGGTCCTTTACGATAACCGAAAACGCAAAGCCGAATGGTTAGACAAAGGACAACCACCGAACCCCTTTCCGAAGTCCGGCCTACACTCAAAGAAGCTTCTTTTCAGTGTTTGGTCGTCGCAGAAAGGTCTGATCCATTATTCAATTCTACCAAAAGAAAAAACGATGAACTCTGGTCAGTATATTCACGAAATAAACGAAATCTATGAAAAACTTCGAAGGATCGATCCAGCTCTAGACCAGCTCTAGGTCCCATCCTATTGGAAGACAACACCCGCCCGCATTCTTCACTGAAGACTCTTCAAAAATTGAACGAGCTGCACATTGAAGTCCTCCCTCATGTTCCATATTCTCCTGATTTTTCGCCTACAAATTTCCACTTTTTCAAGTTCCTCGGTCACTTCTTATCGGAGAAATGCTTTGCTACTCAAGGGGAGATCGGAAATGGCATCAAGGAGTTTATCGATTCAAGGGAGCCCGCGTTCTACACTTTAGGAATTGAAAAGTTAGCCAAACATTGGCAACCATGTATAGTTTCTGCTGGTTTTTACTTTGATTAAATTGCTTTTGAAATAAAAATTTTATGAATGTTTGAACTTTAGTGAAAAAATACGACCTTAATTGAGCAATGACAAGCTCTTTTATAAACGTTCATCGATCCATTTTCAGGTAGATGAATGCCAATCTTGTCCATGGGGTGTCCGTGAAGGTTCTTATTGTCAAGATGAAAATGGAAAAGTCATGAATCCAGCTAATGCGGTAAAGAAAAATGAAAAGTAAAAAAAAGCTTTTATTTTAGTTTGAAAACTATTTTGAAAAAGGGCAAGAGGTAAAAATATGAAATGCACAAATTAGATAACAATTTAACGAAGAATGTATTGATATTGAAAGAGATAATGTACTAACAGAGATTGATAATACAGAGATTGATCATCATTGTGTGAAGCACTAATTATGTAGTAAGAGATCGAAAATCTTTGAAAGCAATGCAATTTAGGGAGTGGTTGATGGATCGTGGAAAGTGGCGGCAATCATTTTGGCCATTTCAACCCTCGTTTTTTTTGTTTTATTTTTCGTTTGTGCTATTTTCGGATGCAGAGGGTGAGTGGAATTGGGGAAACTTTGGGGAAACTAAAATTGATAATTTAGATGTCGTCAAGGATCAGATGATGAGAAACTGCCCGGTCACAACTTGCCTGGCTTTGAGCGAGCTGTTCAACGACATGAGGGACAGGTAGTATACAAAATAAAAGAGACGGTGGTGGCTCTTTGCCGCTTGTCTTTTATTGAGCTCTCGATTGCGTATCCTTTGCGCTAAATATAATTATTTATCTAAAACTAAAACAACAAATGAAATAATATTTGTGAACTTGATATGACTTGGATTGCCACAACTTTATTACTTATTCTACTTGAGAAGAGTGAACTTGTACAATACTTGATCGCAATTGAACAATTAAACAAATTTTTGGGAACTTGTTAGTGAAATTGTGACGAAAATTCGGGATAGGCTACTTTGCGCCAAATTTTTTGCGCAACTCGCCATAACTTTCTTCCTAAGTCGGCCCATCTTTATGATTTTGGTGTCATTTTGTTACACTTATTGAGATCTACAAAATGAAACCAAAATCAGAAAGATTGGTCGACTTAGAAGAAAGTTATGGCGAGTTGCGCAAATATAATGGCGGAAATTAGCCTACTTCGAAAATTCTCAGAGACAACAAAGCGCGAACTTAAATAGGCTTGAGCTACAGTATGCTCCAATTTTGTCTGACTGTCTGATAATTTTGTCTCATTTTCATTTTAGTGTATTTTAATTTGTACGGCTTTCTTGTAGAAAGTGCTGAAATATTCGGCACAGTTAGAGTGAAATGGGATTACGCTTGACAGGGAAAAGTCTGATTAAAAGTAGTGTTTTTTAAATTTTAAACTTGAACAGGGTAGGGTTTTCTGCAATTCAAAACTTCACTCCGAAGTTTTCAAGTCACCCGCTTTTCCAGGCACTTCGTCCACTTCTCGAGGCAGATCATGGTAGTCCAGTCTCGACCCCGGGAAGCGGTCCCGTCGCAGCTCCACGCAATCAACCAAATCTCGGCGCTATTCCACCGAGTGAGTCATCCAATCTCTTTAATTCCATATCATTTTGAACACTCCAAACAAAACAATCGCAATTTCAGAGTCGGCTCTCCGCAAGCCGCCACTTGTTCCACCAGCGCATCTCGGCGGATCAAATTCGGTGAACGACACACTTAATTCATCTTTTGCTGGGGATGTCCCAATGAGGCCATCTAGATCGGAAATTGTTTAATTAAAGCTATTGTAAACTACGGTAAATTTGGCGAAAAATATCTCAAATTCTCGAATTTAGCAGTCTCGTTTACTTAATGCTTTTTTTTACATCGGTAACATGGCATACCGTGTTGAGAGTTACCGTATCTTTTGCCTTGTCTTTTTTCTATTCATTCACTAGTCTTCGCCTTTGTTCCTCATCGTGCAATCTTCTTTTTCACTTTTTGTCTAGGACATCCTCTAGTCATCAGTTTTCTTTTTGCTTCTCCAACTACTCGAATCAAAACCGTGATCTCATATTTTTTTAGTAATTCCCTCCTCTTGACTGCCTTTTTCCTTCAAAATAGTTTTGTATTCCAATATTTTGTCCCATTTTCCTTGTTCCGGTGTCTCATTGATGCCATTTTTTGTTATTGTTATGTTTTTTTGAAATTGAAATTTATGCTTTTGAAAACCAATCTATAAATAATGGAAAAACTACTCAACAAGAAACTACTCAACAGCAATAACAATAACAATTAACAACTTGTAACATCAACAAAAATTAACAAAATACCAATTTACTACAAATTCTCTTCATTCTTCATCGTCCTCTGGATCCCCAACATTTCCGGCTGCAAAGATTTCCGCTTGAAGATCATCGATTCGTTTCTTCACACGCTTCTTCGCTCCCACATTACCACTAAATGCAGACTTGATTTGATATACAGAATAATGCTAGGCTTTTTTTAAAATAAAGCAATTTCTTACATTTGCAAACATTTGCTTCATTTTTATTTACCTATATCTAGTAGATGTCTTTGTTCTCATTTCTTCGACCGTATCATCATCTTTAGCCCATTCCAACACCAAACGGCGTCCATAAAGATGGGTTGAATGTACAAGTGACTAAAATGAGAATTAAATTATCCAAATAGGCAAAAAAATCAATCTGATTCTCAAAATCCAACCTCAAAAGCCCGTTTTGCTTCACCAACACTCATAAACTCGACAAAACCAAAGCCTCGATGCTGATCGCGAGTTCCCATCTAGAACCGACTTTGCAAGAAGTTCAATAAGAAAGGAACCTTTTTCGGTATTCTGACTGTCTTGATCTCGCCAAAAGTTGCAAAAAGTTCCTCAATTTCCTTGACGGAAGCCTAAAAAAATCTTGAGAAAATAGGAGACAAAAATGTTATACTTGGAATGGCAGGTTTCTGACAAGAATCTTTGTGCTTTTCTTTTGTTCCGTATTTTCCACATCTTTTCGCGGTTTACCCCGTTCATTCTAAAAAAAATTTAAGTGCGCTCAAACTCGTTGTTATATACGTGAACTTCTCGATTCGAAATTTTCAATTCCAATGCATGACCATTTAGTAAATGACCCTAAAACAAAATGTAAGAGTTAGTCTCAAACAAAGCGTATACCTGCAACTCCTTAACTGCATTTTCAGCATCTGTTTTTGTGTAGAATTGAACAAATCCAAAGCCCATTGATAATTTTTTGAAGGGATCGGCCGGGTTGAGTTTTTTTGAGATCTAATTTCATATATTCCAATGTTCTCAATTTGTAACAATACTTGAGTAGATTGATATTTCATTCCACGTTTTTTAAAGAAGTTTTCGAATTGGGCATCGGTGGTATCAAAGCTCAAGTTTTTCACAAAAACGGTCGAGTCGGGTTCAATCTATAAGCTTTTGACATTTTCTAAATTTAGAAACTGAAACCTCTCTTTCATCCTGTTCTTCAGCGACCTCTTCCTTTGGCATTAAATGGGTTTCGTAATTCGTTGAGCTAAAAACAAAATTTTTCGGTTAAAGGAGTTGTCTTAACCTGGTTTCTTTGGTCTCTTCCATTGCTTCGTCATCCTGTTTGGCGGCTTCTTCCAACTTCCGAAGTCTTTTACTTTTACGGAGCTCTTTCTTATCCTCTTCAGTCAACTCTTCTCCACGTCGTTTTCGATCTTTCGTTTGTTCCGGTTCTTCTTTTATATCCTCGTTGACTGTACTCGACTCGGTTTTCATCTTTTCACCAAATACATCGCCAGGAGCCCACTCAAGGAAAAGAGGTTTCGTCCGGAATCGAGAATAGGCAAGACTCTGAAATTTATACATATTAAATACCAGGAAAACTCAAGTACCTGGAAAACCTTCTTTGCATCAACTTTATTTCCCATCACAATTAACGCGGAAATTCCTCGCTCTGGATATGATAAAGTTTAAAAAAACGGCTAAAGAAAAAAAAACCAGGAAATATGATTTTTTCACAACCGCCATGTCTCGAAAACATTCTCTCAAGTTCGTCTGCTTGCGTTCCAAGAGGCAAATTTTTGACCAAAATCACCTAAACTTTGGTTTAACAGTGAGCAAGATTAAAAATTGACTTTATCTGATCGCTTCGCAGCAGGTCGTGAGAAAGCATCAATTTGAACACCGTTCTCGATCAAGAAGTTCCGAGTTTCTTGAACCAAGCTTGTCTCAGCAAGCGCCAATTTAACACCAGCTCTAAAACTATGAAATATATAGGTTGACAAATTCAAAAGCTCAAGAAATGAAACTAACGTTTGCTTTCCATCTGGGTCAAAAATTTCTCTCTTTTCTTTTCCAAGCTTTTCAGCAAGAGAATCAGCAATTGCGTTTGGGCCAAGAAATAGGGCATTCCACGAATGAGAGGCCACTCCTGATGTAGCCTGTAAAATAACTTCAATCGACATACATATAAGTCAACTATTACCTTTAATTTCTTTTCCTTTGCTGCTTTATATCCAATCTTCGCTTCATCTTCAGAAGTGACCTCGTTTTTGTCATCTTTATTTTCCCTTTTCTCATTTCCAGCAATAATGTGAAGCATACGACCCTGAATTAAATGTATTTAGGCAAGCTCAAACGTTGATTCACCTTGAAAATCGATCCATCCAGCTCAGAGTAGGCAGCGACAGCATTTTCGGGAAATATAAACTCCACAATAGCAAACCCTTTGCACTTTCCCGTTTTTTTATCAATGATGACCTAAATTTGGGCTTAATTACTAAATCATTAAACAACAACCTGAACATCGGCCAACTCCCCGTACTTCTTAAAGAGAAATCTCAGGTCATCTTCTGTCGTAACAAAAGGTAAGTTCCTAAATTATCTACTATATATAAATCTATATATAATAAGTTACTATGCTATAGCGATTTAAGTTCAAAACTTGATAAAACTCTACCTAACAAACAAACGACCGGTTTCCAATATTGTATCCCTAATGGCATCCTCCTCTTTTTGCACTTCATCCGGATTGAATTGCTAAATTATTACAAAATGAGTTAACCTCTTCCCTAATATTACTTCTTCTTCATTGCTAGATTTTGTTGAGGCTTCCTTTTCGCCATCGGATTCGTTAACTTTCTTTACGAAAACTTTGAATCCACCAAGAAAACTTCCATCCATTTGCAGGGCACGACGCACATCCGGAACACGGTTGAAAGAAACAAACGCTGCCGCAATTTCATCATCTCTACAAGAAAACATGAAAACATGAAAAATTTAAAACCCTACCGAACAATTTTCAACGCTTTTATTCGAATAGGCGCTAACCATTCTTTAATATTTTTCTGTTTTATCGATGAAGGTAATCCGGAGAGAATTAATGAAAGACTTGTATCGCCTAAACTTTGTAAGAATAAAATAATTTTCTAGAAATTACCAGTGATTCCTTCAAGTAGCTCTTCTTCTAACTTGTTGTTTTCATTTGTTTTTGGTGATTCCTCTGAAGTTATCGTTGAGGCAAGCTGTAAGGAATTATTTATGTTAAAAATTGTTTATAAAACCTGATCAATGCCAATTGTAAAGCTCATGTTTCCAGTAGATGCATTCGTAGGCTGTTTTCTACCACTTGGCTTTGTGTCGCTCGTTGCTTCATCTCCATGTGATCGTTTATAAGCACTTAAGTTTCTTGTTTAAAATATTTGAAGTTTCCGAGAAACTCACCTACTATCCTTCGCAAACTTACTCCAGGCTCTTGGTTTGTTGGCATCGCCAAATGGATGGCATATTTCAATCTAAATAATGCTAAAAATCATGAAAATGGATGCAAACCTGTATTTTTGATGACTGCATAAACGAGTTATTTCCTTCTGCAATTGCTTTCGATGCTGACGCCGCATTATCAAAGCCAATAAACGCAAATTTTCGAAATTTTCCTTCCTAAAGCAGTGATAATTTTCATTCAACACTCAAAAGATTTACCTTCGTATATTTTAGTGTGCAATCAGTCATAGCACCAAACTTCTTGAAAAATTGTTGTAAACTTTTCTCGGTACAATTTGATGGAAGTCCTTTGACGATGAGCCGTGAATTCTCCATTCTACTGCCAATAACTTTTAGAAGTAATTAGACTTTTGTTAAAGTAGCAGGTATTTTTGAGAGTATACTGTCACTTTGATAAAATAGTTAAACAATAATATTTATTCTACTGGCAAGAAGGCATATAACATATCGAGCAGATTACACTCATTTCAGGGAAGGCATAAATACTATCACAAATGCAAAATCACAACCAAATATGATAAAATATTTTAAAAGCATTTAAACAGAAATTGATCCTTCACGAAAATCGGACTTTCCAATGTGGACATTGACCAAGGCTGGAACTCCTTGTTTTGATTTAGCGGCTGCTGATCCAAGGATCTAAACAATGAAATAACATTTTAGACGCTAGCTTAAAAATTACTTCTTCGGTCTCATCTTCATTTTTGTCCGTGATAGCTGCACCCCAACCTCCTAATGCTTCAGCAACTTTCTCATACGGAGTGGGCTAAAAGTAGGAACAAGTTAGATGGTTTGCCAAATAGAAATTTACCGCCAATTGAGTCGACACTGCAGTACCAAACATTGGGACTTGTTCTCGTGCGATTTGACTCCAGCAAGCATCATTCCCAATAACAGACACGACTCCCAATTTGAACCTATTAATCATTATATTCAACTCAGAAAAGCACGTTACCTAGCGAAAGTGTCATATTCCATAAGAGAGTAACCACAAGAGCCATCACCCCAAATAATGTAGACCGGTTTGTTGGGATAAACAGTCTGAACAAAGTGAACTCTTAAGTAAAAGAAACTAAATTCTATACCTTGGCTCCAAGAGCAAATCCTCCTCCAACGCCAAGTGTTCCGAAAGCGCCGGGATCAAGCCATTGCAAAGGACCTGTTTATTTTTATTGTTTACACTAGGGGAACTTTTAAACCTCGTGGACGAACAACATAGGCTGCCGATCCCACAAAATCGCCACCATCAGCAACAAGAATCGCATCATCGGGCAATACCTAAAAAATTTTTGTTTGCGCCTCTTTGATGTCTCATACCTTATCAAATGCTTTGAGGAAACTAAGCGGGTTAATTCCTCCATTTTTTGGTTTTTCAATAGCCTAAACGTTGATTAATTATAATGTGTGAAAAATGTGTACCTTTTTGTCATTAGCCTCTTCTTTAGTGTTATCTAGTTTTCGTAATGAGGCAATCCAGTCTTTTTGTCGCGAAATTTGATTTTTCAATGCGTTTGCTACAGAGACGAGAGTTGATGCAACGTCCGCTTGTACAGAAACATCGGCATTCCAGAAGGCTTTTTCATTCTTCAATAAAAACATTTGAAAAAAAATAAAAATACAACCTTTGTTAGTTGGTCACGGTTTCGATTGATCACTACAATCTTTGACTTTTTCGATAACACTCTACCGTAGGAAAGGCGAAAATCGCAAACAGTGCCTAAATCAAAAGAAAAGCTCGAAAAAGTTACTTTTAGTACCGGCTAAAATCGTCAAATCGGCTTCTTTTAGAGCATCTTTGCGGCATTGACGCATTTGCAATTCATTGTTCTTTCCAAGCAATCCTCTTGTCATTCCACCAAGAAACACCGGAATTCCCAAATTCTGCACAAAAAGGTTTTAGTTCCATCAAAAATGTAGTACCTCGACAGCTTTCACCAAATCCGTGGGTTTGATAGGTGGAAGTGTAGCTTGGCTTCCTATCAGCATCACCGGACGTTTGGCAGTTCGAATTAGGCTGGCAATGCTATCAATCTAAATGGATTATAGCCATTTATACGTAAAAATTTTTTTTACCTGTTCACTGCTTGGCTTTGCAATATTAGTCGGTAAAGGAGTTAGTTCTTGTGGAATCCAGGCAGCTTAAAAAAAACTCATCCCCAAATTTACATCAATCCTTACCTCCAAATTGACGACTGACATGAATTCGTAAATAGTGATTAAGCGCTTGTTGAACGAAACCTTTGGCGTTAGGATTAAGGCCGACTTCTCGCATCACTAAACACTATTTAGATCAAACATAATTGCCTGACAAAATACCGAGCTCGTATGGGTAAAGAACATCCACTGGAAACTCGACAAACACTGGTCCCGGACAGCCTGAAGATGCGGCACGGATAGCCTCACTATAATCTGATAATCACCGGTAATCTTATTCTTGAATTACCGAACAGTTGGGATGATATCACGAAGTCGAGTTACACGTGCAGTATACTTACACAGTGGTCGAAATAATGCCATTTGATCGATGTCCTAAACCGTCGTTTTTGCTGGTATGTTGTAAATTAAATTATAGAACCTGCAACGCTCCACGGCCTTTTAGAAGTGTAGGCGAAGCGCCTCCGATGAGAAGCAGTGGTGACTCCGCCATCTAAATAACATTTTTGAACAATGTACCAATGATTTATCAGTAAACCTGCGCATTTTTGACTGCTGTTATAGTGTTAGTTAATCCCGGCCCAGCAGTAACAGCAGCCACACCGATCGTTTGTCTCAATCGTGCAACAGCATCTATAGGATTAAAATTATATACGAACAAAAGTACGTATATGTTAAGTTCCACATTACAAATTGAGACAGGAAACATGGCATTCACCTGCAGCAAACACGGCATTCACCTATTTGAGAAAAATCGTTAAAAAAATTATTTGGTTTAATTTTACCTCGTGGCGAGTATCAATAATTTTAATTCCAAGCTTTTCAGCAGCGACGAGAATCGGAGAAATGTGACCACCGCACAAAACAAAGATCTCCTGGAGGTTACTTGAATAAATTTTAAATGTCTCAAAACTTACTTTCACGTTATGAGCAAATAACACATCGGCCACCAGTTCTCCACCATGTCTCTTTGATGATTCATCCGCCTAAAACCAAAAATATAAAACCACGTCGCATATTTGCATTCAAAGTTACGAGTAACAAAACACACCTGGAACAAATTGCTAACAATATGTTGCTTATTGCCGGAAAACACACTGGAAACAATGCCCTTCAGCTCCTCTATCGACCGAACATCAAAGAGTTTTCGTAGCAATAGAAAAACAATAATTAGAAAGATTATTAGAAACAGCATCACTTCGTTGATCAATAGCTTCTAAGAATTTCTTTCTAAGAATGCAATTTCAAGGAATGCAAACTAAGACAATATATCATTCGAGTCTGAAACTACTGATAAGAATAAAAACGCACCAAAGTCCAAATAAAAGGGTATCGGACGACCCATAAAAAACAATTGATAGAATATTTTAAAAATAATTTAATGAAACAATTAAATCAACAAAAAAGACAACAAACTGAACCCGTTTAAAAAGATCGAAACAAAAACCAAAAACCGGTGTTTACTTATTAAAGCAGAGATGCGAGATGCGATAAGGGTCAGTTTCTTCGGTAGTCCATCTTTGCAAATAAGACACTAACGTTGCATCCAATTGTCTCGCTGATCTAAAGCAAAATAAACTTAAAATTTTAAGTTTAAAACACAACCGTATCGCATTGGTAACCATTTCCCTGTGGACATCTGTTCGTACCCCGCCTACTCCTGATTGCTGTGAACACAAAACGTCACAGTCATCATCGATAACCTAACGTAAAATCAGTTCTTGAAGCAAATCCAGGTTGCCAGTATGTGTTCTGATTACAAAAATGCGGTCTATTTTTCTTGAAAAAGACTCACGCGTTGAGAGCCAGGTTTTTCGATTACCACCCAAAAAGTTAGCGGCCTGAGCATACCCTCGTACTCGTTGATATCTAGCACAGCATTATCTCCGATTTTGTAGCTGACACCGAAAAGTGGAACTCTAAAGAAATAAAATAAAATGTATTCTAGAAAAGGTAATAAAATGAAAACCACTTACTTTTCAATGTCAAAACGCCAACTCCCAATCTGCGCAAGACCATCTTCGTCTAAAAATCCGTATTATATGAAAAAAGATTTCACTTACCAATTGCGCTAATAACGTCTTTATCACTTTCAGCGTCGTGTGTTACAGGTGGCTGAATACAACGAAAATCGTTTAAAGCAGCCTTCGCCTAAATTATCTGGCGTTGAGTGGATTTACTAAAAATAACCCCAAGATATGCAGCTTCAAGTAGATTCCCAGCATATTTGACCACCATAATTTCGACTTCAATATTCCACATGTGATTTCTTGAAATTACCAAACTAAAACACCCCAGATTAATAATGAATTAGTCACCAACTTGCTGAAATTCAAATCTGACAATCGATTGAAAATTTTGTCTAGCGTTCTTTCGATCTCGCCGGTTACGCTATGCTCGCTTTCCTCAGCGATATCTTTGTTAACTAAAAGTTAAACAGTTATTCAAATACAAGTAAAAAAGAATAAAGGAACCGACTTTTTTGGCGAATTTTCGACAAAACTTCCATGCTTGTCATCGATGTCTCGATTTCTTCTTTGAATGTTTCTCGACCAATTTGGAAGAAGGCTTCCCGATCAAAATCTAAACGGAACAAATAACAAGATAGCTAACAGTTAAAATAAAATCAATGAATATTAACACAATTTATTTAAGTACTAACCATCAACCAAATCTCTGTCGTCTTGCTCAAATAGTTGCGAATTCGGCCCTTGAGGTGCAACTTTCACCGTAAAGTTCAATATTTTTTCTTCTGCGTTTGAGTCATCGACCTTAAAAAATCCAGTTGTTTTAATTCGGCAAAATGTCCACCTCAACTATCTCACTATTGACAGCCACAAATAATTCGGTTCGCCCAAGAAGCACCCTTGATGAGCCTTCTGCGGTACGCAAAATCCCATGTTCCATTAAAATTGGACGGTGCTCGGTGAGACTAAAGACTATGCATTAGGTCAAATTCAATTTTCCCATTTTGTTCGTACAAAATTTACAAATTTACTTTCTGCCGTCGATTCTCGCCCCATTTTCTATCGATTGAAGCAAGTACATACATTGTCCTTTACTTCGAACCACTTCCATCTCGCGTGGAAATGCTAAATCAAGAATTCTAGGTCAGTATATGAAAGGAAGAGATTGATAAGGAACGGAGAGAATGAGTTAGGCGATGTAAGAGGGAGAAATAAGAAAAATTGGTCTCACGACAATTTTGCACTTTTTCTACCGTAACCCGGTCAGTAATTTAGTCGTTTAGTCTCCGGTCAGCCGACACAAAAATCATTTCATTTCGAAGCACTTCGAAATATTTATCACTCCGTTTTTTGTTTTTGTTCTTGACTGTAACTTGTTAACTGATTTATTCCTTTAGGGGTTGAACATGCCTGCTAACGGTGACCTGAGTCAATTGTTGCAAATGGATTCGGACCCTTGTGGAGAATTCTTGAAAGAGCTGCCTAAGGACATCAAGCGACGCGTTTGCGCCCTCAAGAAGCTTCAGCTCCAATCTCTTGAAGTAAATAGCGATACGAAACGTGTAATTTCTTTTTTTAGGTTGAGAGCGAGTTTTATCAACGTGTTCATCAGCTTGAGAAGGAATTTGAAAGCAAATTTAACAAGCTCTATGACTTGGTACGTTTTGGTCTTGCGGCTGATCAATTTATTGTGTTTTTAGCGCCGCAAGGTTGTGACTGGTGAAAAGGAGCCAACCGATGAGGAAGCCAATATTCCATTGCTGCATGATGCTACTCCTGAAGAGCTAGCTGTAAGTTTATCATGATGTAGAAGCGATTACTTTGATATGGCCTGATTTGTTGGCAAGTTGTATAAATCAAATTTAGGCTCTCGATGAAACTGCTCCTGAGACATCCGGTGAGAAGGGAGTGCCAAACTTTTGGAGTCATGTCTTCGAGAATTGTGAAACGATCTCTGATATGATTCAAGAACACGACAAAGATATTCTCAAATATTTGATTGATGTCACAACTACTGTCGAAACCTCTCCAGAAGAGGTATATTATGAACCATGCTAGGGGTCTATTATTTCTTTTCTATTTCAGGGCTTCTCATTGGCTTTCCACTTTACCGCAAATCCTTACTTCAAAAACTCGGTGCTCACCAAGAGATACTTCCTTCAAATGAAGCCTGAGGAAGATAACCCGTTTGAGTTTGATGGGCCATCGGTGATTCGCACAACTGGGTAGGGCTGTTTGGCTGAAACACAAATTACTTTTTTTAGTGATCAAATCCAATGGGAAGATAACAAGGATGTGACCAAAAAAGTCATCAAGAAGAAGTCGAAGAAGGGTGCAAATGCTGGAAAGTTCTTGACAAAGACTGTAAGCTTCTAGAAACAGGCTCTTATTACTTTATTTCTAGGTCAAAGCTGACTCATTTTTCAATTTCTTCGATCCACCAGTTTGCGATCATGACCACCAAAATGAGGACGACGATGACGACTTGGTAAAGTTTGCTTTGCTGTACTTTTAGCAGTAAAAGATTTTTCGGCTGTTTAAGCATTTTGATAATCGCCTTTGCATGCGAATGCATTTTGTAAAACTCGGAACTATTATGGTTCCCTTTTCATAAATATGTTGTATCTTATATGTAAAAAAATTGAGTTTATTTAGGAAGAGCACGAACTCTTGCGAGCTGACTTCGCGCTTGGCCAGCTGCTGCGGGATATTGTTGTTCCAAGGGCTGTGCTTTTATACACTGGCGAGCAGACTGAGGATGATTACCTCGACGACGGCGGGGATTTTGAAGTTTGTTTAGCAGATGTAAAAATGATAGTGATGGCTTTAGGATGACGACGACATGGAGGATGAAGATGATGATTGAATTTTTCCTTTGCAGGCATACCGGTGATATCTCCCGTTTATTGTTTTTGTTACGTTGTTTTGTGCCCTTTAGCTGTTGCGTTGTGTTTGATAAAAGTTTATGTTCAGTCGGAGACAAAATTTCACACCAAGAATGCAATTCGCATCGTCAAGCTGCTACTTTGGTATCATTGTATCTACAACTGCAAGACGGTTTAGCTTGTAAATTTATCTTAAACTGTCTTACTTTTAGAGATGAATCAGCAGGTTCTAATGCTTTAAAGGTGTATCAAACCTGTAATTTTCTTGAGAGTGCGACTAAATCTCTTTGGGGCAGTTGGCTTCTCCAAATTCCCAATTGAATGTTGATCGGGAGTTTTGACAAAACGATAACAAGTAAAACTCGTGTTTATGATGCTCTCAAAATAATCTGTTTTGCAAGCACTTTTTGGTTTCGAGGTGCTCTAAATGGCCACTCAGGGGACGATGTCTATAATCGTTTGCTGCCAATGGGACTATCTAATAAAAGTGCTTTCCTTGCGAGGTTTGATTGGAATTGTGTGTTTTATGAGCTGTAACGTAGATACAAATGCTTTTGTTTCCTCTTGAATATCTCCGTTTTACCGCCATCCAGGAAAATTTGCTTCTCACCTTCTCGCGAATGACGAACTATGTATTACGTGCTTTTCATTTTATTGAAACGGTCAAAATTTGTGGAAAAATTGGAAACCCCACTATGGCAGATTAGCAAAGTGTTTTCATCTCTTGCAGATAGAGTTTTTAAAGGACGTCCCCTTGCTTTTTGTCGAGGTTTTCGCACAAATTAGATTCGATGCCCTGGTAGTTGATTAAAGATTTCATCAGATGACATTTTCTTTTAGGTTCTCTTTGAATGGATGCAGTTTGAAGTCATTGCGCTAGCTCTCATTAATCGAATACTCGATGATGTAAAACAAGAAAAGAATTGGGCTCTTTGGAAGAAGGCTTTCGACAAATCAAAGTTTTTTTGGCAGTGTTTGTAAAATTGCTCGAATTTAGATTTGCTGAACTCGCAATGGATATGACTTATGACAAAGAGATTAGGTTCAAAGATCGAGAAAATGTACGGATTATTTAAAAACCCAATCACTTATCTATTTGTTTCAGATCAATCGTAAAATACGTAAAATACCAAGTTTATCCGGAAGTCGCTTCAAAAAGTCTTTTTTGAAGATGTTTTCTGAGTCAGTTCAAATGAAAAAATAATAATGTTTTTTAAAAGTAAATTGTCAAGGGGAGATTAAATTGTACATTTCAAAACTGAGAAACCCGTGGCGAAGATTGATGAATTTTTGTGGATGGTTAAATAAGAACACTGTTTGAGCTTTCGTATGTGTTGTAAAACTTGTAACAAATAAATTTATTGAATTGAGTCACTTAGCATTCTCCATCGGCGCAGAGCTCAACTAATTTAGTTTATCATTTTCTAAACTGGTATGTACATACTACTAACGATCGGAGTGTGTGCCAACTTTTTTGAGGGTCGCCGAGCGGAATACGATATGAAGCGCCTGTTTTGACCGACTAAGGTCAAGTAGCGAGTTCGTTTTTCCTGAATCGAGTTTATTAAAATTTTTGGTAAACTAGGGCTGTTTCCGAAAAACATAAATTGTAGAATTTACAATTGTGTGGATTTGGTTCTTTCACTATTTAAAAAGATTGAAATTCTTCAAGATAAAACTTACAAGAGATTTTGGTGATTCATCAAAATCATCCCTCTGTGCCCAAGCGTGAGCCAAACACAGTAGTGCGATTATGAAAATTAATCCCTTCATCCTCATGTGAATAAACTTAATTCGAATTTCGAACTGATTGAAAGAAATAAGAAGTTAATAGAACAAGTGAACGATCAAGACAAAAAGATTTGATTGAAAACCTTCAAAGACTAAAGCTACGAGCAATTGATTAAGAGAATGGGTAGATTGCTTCGGGTTCGGGAGCCCATTAGATATTCCATCCTTCATTTTCTCGCCAAATTATGGCCCGCCTTACTTTCACGCACAAAGATTCTTCCCGTCAATTCTCCCTTCTCTTATTTTCTTTTTCGTGTAATTAGAAAATACGTTGTTTGATATTGGTAAATTTTATTCAATTGCTACAAACTCTTACAAGTTTACGATTAGGTGGAAAGAAAATACATATCCAAAGGAATAGAATGAGCATGAGCAGAAGAAAAAGTCGGCACAAAACAATCAATAGAATTGATGGGAGAAATCAGGGCAATATCCTAGGCTAGTAAAGCCGCTTCGTATTTGTAGTGGGTGACGCAAAAAGATGGAAAGGCTTTCGAGGATGGGCCATAAATTACGTAGGTCGGAAATAATTACGACTTTTTGTTTCTAAGCAGCGTGCACCAAAAAGAAGTAAACGCTTTTTCCTTACAAACAAATTTCATTGACTCAAAGAACGAATAAAACACATGAAGTACCCACAATGAAAAAGGCGGCAGGGCTGCATAATAAAGCACCCGCCTGATAACACATATTAGGGGAAACTATGTATGTCTAGCACAGGGGAGTAACCGAATTGAAATGCTACACTGGGTTTTTGAAAGAAGCAATATCGAATCGAACTCGGCTACAAAAAGCAAAAATCTCATTAAAGTGATTTTTGGACGATATAAAAACTAAACACTCGATTTATCAGCACTGTTGAACTTTTAGCGGGCGGTTGAATTAGTCAAGGTACTGGGAAAGCCACCTGAAGCCCTCTCCATATCCTTGACGCCGAAGAACTGAGCACATAAATACTTCAACCGGTCGAGAGGCCAGATCGCTTCGTGCCACTTCTCCTAAAACAATCAGCATAAATCAAGAAGGCCGCCCCCGCGAATATATAATCTGATTCACATAGCCAATTAAGGCAACAACCACCGCAAAGCAATTATCAAACTTGGAAAAGAAACTAAAAAAAACCTTTTCCTGTGCATAAATGTTGAATTCCAAGATGCCACTTCAATTGGTCCTCACTAACAGCATTTGGCTTGTCGATTTTGTTTCCAAGAACAAGAATAGGTGATGAAGCAACCTAAACCCACAAAATTTTATAGTTTATTCGGAAATTTTTAAGAACAACCTACATCCGGCGGGATTTTCTGATTTGACCTAAACCTCATTTCCCCTAAAATTGCTAAATGCTAATTTATCTCATTATAAAAGCTCCTTCTATCGTCCCTACCTCTTAATGTGTCTGCTGTTTACCTAGTCTATGGTTCCGCACCTTAACCTTGCTGAAGGTGTGCTGGTCTTCGACTGCAGCACCCCGAAATACGGTGGCTGATCAAGACAAACGGTAGCTTGTTGTGGGGTTTTTTTATGTAGGTGAAGCCACAACAACGCGCTACGCGCTAGCCGACGACGCAAACACGCCTATATTCTTTACATGCAAAAAAGCCAGTGATTCTAGCAAAAAAATAGCATTTAATAATTTTAGGTCAAATGAGCGGTAACCCTCGTTATTAAATAAACTACTAACTTGTTCATCTCTCAATAAGCTTTCCAACTCGACTTTGCTCTCAACTAATCGCTCATGATCGGCACAATCGACAAGGAAGACGATAGCATCCACTGCAGGGAAATAATCTTTCCACACACGTCGAGCTAAAGCATAAATTATTTTTTATTGTAAAGAATCAAAAATTGATAACATCAAATTACTTGAAACACCACTGTCAAAAACATACCTTGAGCGTGACCGCCAAGATCAAAAGTAGTGAAACGAATTCCCCCAAGGGAAAGCTCTTCAGAAGCTAAAAACAAAACGTGAGTTGTCTATTCAACATTATTCACTTGGATGCAATGTTGGAACGTGTTGTGCCATTCGATCATCCTTCAACATGTGAAGCAATGTAGTCTTTCCAGCATTGTCTAGACCAAGAAAAACGAGTTTGCCGCTTTTCTTTGATAACCCTAAACATAGATATAATGTATGGAAAAGTTAGATAAACTCATACCAAGAAAGTTGAGCACTCCATACATCCAATCCCATAGCCACGACATCTAAATGATTTAAATTTAAGAAGAAGAAGACTAAAAGAAAGATATCGTAAAGAAACAGTAAAAAAATAGCATGATTTCTTTCGTATTATCATGAAAGTCTCATTGAACAGCCGACACCTGACGCTTGTAGCCTGAGTATCGAGCGTTTTTGCGTGTAGGCGCTACGCAGCGAAAAATTCTTCCACGTGTACGCGAGTCAGATGGGACGCGCCACCAGAGCAGATGACAAAACGCACAAATGGAGTGTTCAAAATTACAAGGAAATATTGAAATTGAAAGTATAGATTGGTTATATACGAAGTAATGAGTAGCGTGGAAGGTAAAGATTAGAGAGGGGACGGAATTACATCATTGAATGGGTCAAAGTACAAATCAAAAACGCAATTCCAAAATGAATGCCGAGAAAACATTTTTGACAAAATGAACAACGCGTTGCATGAAATTAATTGGATATCTTTCAAAATACGCGTCTAGTTTTAAGTGTATAAAAAATTTTGGAAATTAAAGGCTGGCTTCTCATAAAATTGTTTTGTTTTGTTCTGTAGGTATATTCACTTTCTAAATTTGAATAATTTAATTCTTTTTTTAGGATCTACATGTCACCTAAAAGAATTCTGGCCAAAAACTATCCGACCTGAACGACCAACGACCATTAGAACATGGCTTCAATAGGGAAATCAATAGGATATAACTTTTTTGCGCAGGTAAATTCATCATTAAAGTAAAGCTCAACACGGTAAATAGTTGCAATCGATTTTAGAGTAATTTTAAATTATTTTTAGCTCTTTGGACGTATCATTTCTTTCATCATCAACGTGTATCTACTTCGGGTTATTGATAGCGAAGTGATCGGAATCGTGAATGTTCGGTATTTTTAAAGTTTAATTCTAATTTATCATTTTGGACGTTTTTCAGGTTGACGTTATTGTATAACACAATATTGTTCTTAACACGAGAGCCATTGAGAAAAGGAAAAATATTTGAGGGAACTCTACCTCAATTTGTCAACATTGTTTGGCTCAGGTTGTAATTTGGAATTAAATAGACATATTTTTTTTGTTTTAGTCCAGTCATCGCTACCGTTCTTTCGGTAATTTGTGTGGCATTTTGGAACGTTTTTTCATCAACTTCAAGAGTAACTCACTTGAACGTTAAGAATTTGAAATTTTTTAGGAAATTCCGACTTTTGTCTTACTCGCCTTTCCGTTGTCTGCGATTATTGAATCGATTGGAGAGCCATTTGCCGTTTTTTCTTTACGGTCTTTAATTTAATTTGTTGATATTGTTATTATTCAGTTCAGGTTTTCACTAACTGCGCATTATGCTTGGTCGCAATGTCTCTTGATCAGTTTTCAAAGGATTTTCGTACTTTTCCTATTGTTGTTTACAAATTCATACGAACACTTGATGATTTATGCATTAGCACAGGTGATGGGACTATTTCTTTTTAATTTAAAAGTTTACTTTCAGATCTTTGCTTCAATCAGTTACACAGTCTTCCATTTTTGGTGTTTCTTTAAATTTTCTAAACAAAGGATTCCGGAGTTAAATTTATTTCCGTCTTTCAAAAGCTTTTTTCCAAGCTTTAATCTTGGATTTAACACAAGTGAGTAACAAAAATCGACTAGATTCTATGTTTTTTTAGATGCGCTCTCAAATTTGACCCACCTTTTTGGACACTCTTTCCTCAAGCAATTAGCGACTGATAGCAGTGGCTATTTAATGACTTTTACTGAAATTACTTCATTGAAGAATCAAGGTAAATGTTTCGTTATTGAATAATAAGATACGTTTCCTTTTTAGCCGTATTTGATGCGATCGAAAAATTGGGCAGCCTTGTTTGTCGAATAGTTTTAGCTCCACTCGAAGAAAGTTGCGCGGCACACTTCAGGAATGAAATCCATGTATGTGTCAATCTGATAATATTTTTTGAAACGTTCAAACTCTTTATGATTTAGAACGCCTCGAAGACTCTGCGAAAGTCATTTATTGATATTCTCCATGTTTCCTCTGTGATAGGACTCATTGTTTGCATCTTTGGCGTTCCCTATTCGAAAGTTGCAGTCTGGCTTTACGGAGGGAAACTTCTAGTCGAGAATGGAGGTAAAGGAGACTTTTTGATTTTACATCGAGTTTAAGGTGATTTGCTGCTCTCTGTATATTGTGTCTATATTTTTGTCATGGCAGTCAATGGGATAACGGAATGTTTTGCTATGGCTACAATGGGTAATGCACAGGTAAAGATGTTTTCTAGCATTCAAACATCCAAATCAATTTAGTTGTTAAAACATAGTTATTTCTTGTTCTTCTTGGCTTTACTGCAACCATTCCTTGCTTATCATCTGGTATCGATCGTAGGAGTTTCCGGGTTTATTGTATCCAAGTGTATTGACATGATTCTACGTATTATATTCAGGTGAACATATTCAAACGTTAGAAAATAATAACTTTTATTTTAGTTGGTTACAATCCAGGAAGTTTTTTGGAAGCGAGCTCATGATTACCGATATCTTGCCTTCTTGGTCAATTTTGTTGTCGATTCTTCTTACATTCTCAGGGGCGTTCTTCTCTTCTCAAGTAAGATATCTTTTGAAGTTTTACATTTTCACTTCAATTTTAGTACTTTGAAGCAACAGAATTTATGCAGTCGTTATGTCATCTGGTCATAGGAGGAATTTTATTTGTGCTTTTATCTCTTTATGTTGTTTTCTATGATCCAGTGTTTAACATGTTTGTTGGCTCAAAAGTTAAGTCAAAATAATTTGTGATTTTTTTGAGGTACGGCTTTCCGAGTTCTTTTTAATTTTTTTAATAAACATTTTTGATGCAAGATAAAGTGCATAAAACGGAAAGATGGAAATTTGCCATTCCGTTGGTCTCGGGGAATGGAAAAGAAATGCGTTGCATGGGGAAAACGGGAAGAAGAGATCTTTTCAAAAAGCGAGCAGGGATAGAGTCAGGAGAAAGAGCATGAGGAGGGCCGATTTTTAGGGCCCTCCTTCCCTCATGGCTGTGTCGGAGTCTCTCTCCTTTCATTTCTTTCAATCTCTCCTTGTTTCCTTTCCTTCTTCCACCACACTCCCTTTGCCGAGTGTCCCCAATCGAAGGACTCGACTTTTTTTAAGGTATCTAAGCAAAGTCGATTCCTTTCTTTTCAAACGCTACAAAATGGGTATATTTATCCTTTTTGCTATATCTGTGGCGTTATTCAATCCAATTGAATCAACTTTATCGTGCCTTCCATCGGACAGCGGCACTCCCATACCAATTGGAGTCTTTCATGCAACAAAAGGATCATTCCATACGCCAGATGTAAGTGCAATAGAGTTGTTTTTGTATAAAATGTAATTAGATTGAGCCCGCAGTAAATGTAGCATTGAATCACATCCACAATAACAGTTGCATTCTTGATGGATACAAGCTGAATCTCACCTATGAAGATACAGAAGTAAGCGAAGAAAATCAAGAATATTTATCTGATAATCGAATTTTTAGTGTAAAACATCAATGGGAATGAAAGCTCTTTTCGAAATGGTCGCTTCTCGATCAAGACCGGTCGCCATTTTTGGAGGACTTTGCACAGAGGTGAGTAAAGATAACAAAAAGGAATTGGCAATGGTCAAATCTCCTCGTCTCACTACAATATGTCAAATAATGTACAATAAAAAGTATTTAACTCTGAAATGTAAATATCTCTAAAATCAACGTAAAAAACCTTCAATAGGTAAACGAGCCAATCGCTGCAGCACTCAAATATTGGCATATCGCTCAACTCAGCTACGCTGAAACTCATCCCAAATTCGCCACAGCCGATTCGAGTGAGGTAGAGTGATGAGAAAGATTTTGATAAATGAAAATTTGATAAATAAAAACCTTCTAGACCATTTTGTTACTTGTAAAAATGGTCTAGTCTAAATCAAAAATTTTTTCAGTTATACCCGACATTTTTCCGCATCGTTCCCGGGAATCGAAACGTGAATTTGGCGAAATCTCGTTTGGTCACTCAATTCGGTTGGAAACGAGTTGGCACAGTTAAACAAGCTGATGAGCCGAGACATGCATTGGTTGGATTTTGGGAACAACCTACAGATCTAGGCGGTCCGGGTTCGACCTAACCTAGTCCGCCTTGCTTTTGCTTTTCGGTGGTGACAATTGTTAGAAAATTTTCTAAATTCGCAAAAAGAGACACGTCACAATGTTTTGTGCGTAGGAGAGAGCAATTTTCTTCTTCTTCTTCTTCACCAAATCCCCCGGGGAATTCGGGATAAGCCTTTTTTTAGTAAAGAAGAAAAGAATTTACTTTGAATAGAGCAAGAGAAAACATTCGTTAAAAAAAATTAAAAATGTAATTTCAGCCTCATGAAGCTCTCACCACTCGTCTCGAGGAAAGCGCTGTTGATGTGAGATTTGAGATTTTCATTTTCAATATTAAACCTAAATTTTGTAGGTGATCTACACTGCTGGAGTGACATTTCAAGAGATTGAAAATATTGGAAATGAATTGGCATTGTTGAAGGTTTAAGAAAAAAAAAGGAGGGAATGAAAACATGAAAACTTTGAATTTTAAGGCTCGAGATGTTCGAATCATTGTAGCTGATGTGTCTGAAGATATTATTGGACGAGTGATTTGTGAGGCATCAAAACAAGGAATGACTGGACGAGATTTTGTATGGGTTTTGCCCGGATTCCACTCGAATAAGTACGGTCATTTGGATGCTTTTTTAGAAAGAACAATTTGACAGTGAAAGTAAGTTGTACTTTGATTTTCAGATGGATTCATTCAAGCATTGACACTGGCTGCGATGAGGAGAGATTTGCAGCGGCTGTTGAAGGGCATTTCGCTGTACAATTCGCGACAAAAAGACCAGATTTGAGTAGTTATGTTGTGGGCGGAAAAGTTGAGTGTGATCAGGGGATTTATTTAAAGAATCGATGTCTAGAAAGCCGAAGAGATCGTTCGCCTTTTATCGGAATCTTGTGGTGGAGATCGTTGCACAAAGAATATTTTTGAGGGATATCTTTACGATGGATTGTGGACATTAGCGATTGCTTTATCACAGGTATTTGTATGAACCAACGGTGGAACTCGGATAAGGCCGGGCTTCACGGGGTAGTGGCTGGGTTCGGCGTGGCGCCGTCGGTAGAGCGTCGGCCTACTGATCCAGGCGATCCGGGTTCGACCCCGCCTAGTGCAGTTTGGTTTTGCCTTGGATAGATAATGTTTATGTTTGGATTTAGGCTTTGGATAACGGTCGTTCTTTTTCACATACACGACTTCTTGAAGCAATCGGGAATAGTTCTTTTGAGGGAGTTACTGTGAGTTTCATATAGTATGCAGTTTTTTCTTGACAAAGTTTAAGATATATCTAGAGATGAGTTTTTGATTCAATTCTATTGATGTTGATTTTATTTCAGGGTCGAGTCCGTTTCGAGCACAATGAGAGAATGGGCATTGTTGAAGTGTTATGGTATCAGAATGGAACGTATCATAATGCTGGTAAGCTAGACTGTTGAAAGTCGTTTTAGAGTATTACAGTAAATGTACCGTATTTCTTCGAATAGAAGACCGGGTAAAGAGTATCATCGCGTACTCCTGCGTAGCAGTCCTTTTTAAAATTTCTTTTCTGCATAAAAGCTTTCAATGAAGTGCTATAGGGCTGGAAAATGACTCAAAAATACGACATGAGCTAACAGATTTTTGAGCCATTTTCCAGCTCTATAGCACTTGATTGAAAGCTTTTATGCAGAAAAGAAATTTTAAAAAGGGCTGCTACGCAGGAGTACGCGATCATACTCTTTACCCGGTCTTCTATTCGAAGAAATACGGTAAATCCCAAAAAAAGAACGATCCTTTAGCATATTTCGATGGAGCACGAGATGAATTTCGATTGGAGAAGGCGATTCAAAGTAAGATTAATGTAAAGTATTAGAAAAAGCTTTCTTTTGTTAACAATTCCAGATTGGCAACCGCCAGCTGATGCTCCCGAAAGGCGAATTGTGCGCGAAGAAGTGTCTGGATGGTTATTCATTTGTGTTTCTTTGTGCGCATCACTTGGATGTCTTTTGGCTCTTCTCTTTTTAGCGCTCAATCTTAAATATAGAAATCATCGGTGAGTGAATGAATGAATGAATAAAAAATGATGTGATCTAAGAAAACCTTTGCTTTGAAATTCAAAAAAGAATTCAATTTACAGTTTCATCAAAATGTCCTCTCCGAACATGAACAATATTATCGTTATCGGTTCGATGTGTACATTCATTTCGGTGAGAGGGATTCCATTTGTAAAAAAAAACTATTTCTTTTTCTAGGTAATTCTATTAGGAATCGATACACGACTCGTTTCGAGAGCTCTTTTTGTCAAAATGTGTTATGTAAGAGAGAAGAAAATATCAAAGGTTTACTTCAAAAATTTCAGGCAAAAACCTGGACTCTAAGTTTGGGATTCACACTAGCATTTGGGGCAATGTTCTCAAAAACGTGGAGAGTTCACTCAATCTTTACAAATATTCGAATGGATAAAAAGGCGATAAAAGTAAGTGAAAAGATGTAGAGAGAGAGCTTATAAGAGTTAAGAGTAGGATATATAGACTTATAGTTAAGAGTAGGATATATAGACTTATAGTTAAGAGTAGGATATATAGACTTATAGTTAAGAGTAGGATATATAGACTTATAGTTAAGAGTAGGATATATAGACTTATAGTTAAGAGTTAAGAGTAGGGTTATAGACTTAGAGTTAAGAGTAGGATATATATGTCGTAGCCGAAATCAATTTTTTTTCGCAAATCTTTCTAGTAGAGCAACCCTTTAATGTATGAGGACAATATTATATAATCTTGTAGCGAATTCAATTCTGCATCGATTGGTACCAAATTTGTGAGTTTAGGTTAAAAATTGCCGGCGCTACAACGTTTCATTCAAAATCGGCGGGACCCCCGTAGCCGATTATGAATGAGTGGGTCTAGGAGCGTCCAACCATCAAGTATTTAGTATCATTCAACGCAGAATCATTGATAATTATGTTAAATTTTTAAAATTAGCAAGATTTGATGAAAAGAAAAAAAAATTAGAGCAAAAAAACTGTTTGTTCAAGAGAAAACTTTGAAGCCCCATAATTTGTGTTCTTTTTATCCAATCTTTCTAATTTTAAAAATTTAACATAATTATTAATGATTCTGCGTTGAATGATACTAAATACTTGATGGTTGGACGCTCCTAGACCCACTCATTCATAGTCGGCTGAAATTCATAATCGGCTACGACATATAGACTTATAGTTAAGCGTAGGATATATAGACTTAGAGTTAAGAGTTAAGAGTATGATTATAGACTTAGAGTTAAGAGTAGGATATATAGACTTATAGTTGAGCGTAGGATATATAGACCTATAATTAAGAGTATGATATATAGACTTAGAGTTAAGAGTTAAGAGTTAAGAGTTTCCTATAGACTATAATCCTATAGACTTAAACTAGGACTTAAACTAAACTTAGACTTTCCCTTCAGGATTCCCGTCTTCTTATGATGGTTGGTTTTCTCGTCTTCATCGATATTCTCGTTCTCTCAACGTGGGCTTTCTTTTCTCCATTCTCGCTTCAAGCAAAACAATTGGAGAAATATGTGAGTGACTTTGTAAAGTATTTCAGTATTTGTGTTTTCAGCAAAAAGATAACGTGGAAATTGTGCCTGAATTGGAGAGATGTCATTCGGAAAATGCACTCGTCTTTCAAGCAATCCTTTTTGCGGTAAAGGGGATTTTAATGGTGAGTTGAGAAATATCTATTGAATAGATAATTCAATAGATAGATCGATTTTTTTAGATGTTGGGTTGTTTCTTAGCCTGGGAGACTCGTCATGTCAATGTGCCAGCGTTGAATGACAGCAAGTGGGTTTTGGGCAGCAAGTGGGTCAATTGAAAAACTCTTTCCATTCAGATACATCGGAATGTCGGTGTATTTGTGTGTTGTGATGAGCACTCTTGGACTCTCAATTGCTTTCATTTTACAGGTTAATTTAGAATGATCACCATATTTTTTCATCACATCAAATTTTCAGGAACGAATAAACGAGGCTTTCGCGATGACATCACTTTTTATCATTGTCTCCACCGCTCTCACTTTATGCCTTGTATTTGTGCCAAAGGTTTGATGAAGGAAAATTTTTGAAGCTCTACTTTTGGAAAAACTTTTTGTTTCCAAGCTTGCAAGCTCTTATGTCATACAAAAGTTGTTAGAAGCAAATTTGGGTACTAACAAAGTGTTGTAGCCCACAGTGTTGTAGTTGCCTACAACAACAAAGTGTTGTAGTTGTAGTTGTGTCCAACTTTACTCCAGCCTATAAGCCAAGCTAGGCAGGCAAGGCAAGGTCAAAGCCATTCAAAAGTGAAAGCAAGATTGATGGAGTCTTCTGGCGGACTAAAATCCCGGTCAGAAGTCAAGTCTAGGCCAGATTTCTGATTCCTTTTTGATAAAAAAGCCTTTAGCAAAACCAGGATCTGGCTTGAAAAAAATACTTTTAGAAAGTCTTACTTTTTGATTAGTTTATGTATACCTAATGTTTTATAACTTTAACATTAGAGCTCTCATTTTTCATGAATTCCAGGCACGAACCCTGCATCTATCGGTATGCTTCCTTAAAACAAAAAAATAAGCTCCAAATTTTTGTTTCTCTTACATGATCACTTGAATAACAAAAATATTTACGGATTTGAAGTGAACAATTGAATAATCTGTTATTTCACTCATTCATAAAATAACAATTTTGGATGAAGATTGCTTCCCAAGCAATCTTCCCAAGCAATCAAGCAAGAATCTCTTCAATTTAAGATGGTCGAGCTGGTAAGAAATCCGGCGGGAATCGAACAAAAGGGATATCGACGAGGATTGATGAAAAGTGTGGTGACAAAAGGACCACAACAACAACACACGAATAATCCATCGTATACAGGGTGAGCAGCTTTAGAAAACAAAACAAAACAAAAGAACTGTTTACTAAAATGCATTTGGGAACAATTCGAAGACGCGTTCTTCAAAAAGAAAATTTCTCTTACCCAATTTGTGTTGAAACAGTTCTTCAGTTCAGTTCAGTTCATTAGCTTTGTATTTAAACTTTAAAATAATTTCCAAGCTATTTGCAAAGTTGTAAAAAGTGTTTAGGCTAGGTACAAAATCTGAGTTTGAACTAGGAAAATCGAAATTTTTTGCAGAAAAGAGACTGAGAAAGATCTTCTTGCACGGGCTGAGGCTGAGAACCAGTTAAAACAACGATATCTCCATCAGGTGAGGAGAATTCTTTGGATAATTGAATTTTTGTGTGATAAATGAATTTCAGAAAACGTGTCAATTGTGGGAATTATTGGAGAGATTGAGAGAACTCGGTGACACACAATTCCTACAACAAGGTTGGTTCTTTGTGGTTTAATCGATTGACCTAATATCAAATATTTATTACTTTAAAATTGCAAAAACTTTTTCTAAAATTTGATTATATTGAATGAGAGAGAAATGACACAATGACTGAGATGAAAATGACCCGTTTGAGAGAATGAGAAATGAAAAGAAAAGGAAAGGGAGACAAGGGAAAAATGAGACGAAAATGAGACAAAGGCAATAGGTTACTGTAGAATCATTTTAGCAAATAGCTTTTGTTTTCTAAAGTTTCCGATTCGTTTTAGAGCAGCTTTAGAAAACAAAACAAAACAAAAGAACTGTTTACTAAAATGCAGCAAGTAGATGTTTATGTCTAAAGGCTACATGCTGAGATAATTAAATATTTACGCGAATAGGCTGAATATCCTTAATCAAAGGAAAAGGTAGATCAATATGGCAAACATACCGTAAATACTGTAATAGTACGCCACCCCCATAATGACGGTGCGGAGTGTTGCGTAGTCTAGCTTTGAACGAGTTTTTCTCGACACTGGTTTATGCTACAATGCGCGCTTAGGTATCAAAAAATAGCCCTGAATTTCAGCTATTTTTTTGATACCAAAGACGCATTTTTTGAAAGTACGGGCGCTTTGCGAAAAATGAAATACTAAAAAACTTTTGCGACTACGCTTCCCTATAATGACGGTCGGAGCGTCGCGTAGCCTAACTTTAAACGCATTTTTCTCGCCACTCTTTTATGCTACAGTGTGTGCTTAAGTATCAAATGAAAGCTGAAATTCACGGCTATTTTTTGATACCAAAGACGCATTTTTTGAAAATACGAGTGCTTTGAAAAAAATGAAATACTAAAAAACATTTGCGACTACGCGACTGTACGAGGGCGGTGGGGTACTATTGCAGTATTTATCGTAGCTATTTGGCCATTAGATGAGAAAAGAATATAAATATTAAGATCTAGAAAAAAGAAATGAATAAAAACAGAGCTAGACTAATTGAAATCAATCCAAATTTGTGATTTGCGTGAGAGATTCGAAATTCGAGGCTTGCCGCGGTAACATCAAATGAATTACATAGAGGAGTGTCACAACAACAAAATCTGAAAATAAAGGATTCATAGAGAAAAAGGGGAGGGGGAAATGGCTTAAATCTTTAAAGAGTAAGGTAACTTGTATGCGGAAAAAAAACGGAATTTGAAAACGGAAAACGAAAATGAAAGATTTTTGATTTTCAAAACAACCCAACGAATGGGGCAGCTACGCACTGCGACGGGAAAAGGGCGGAAAATAAAAACGTAGCTGCGCCATTTGTTGAGTTTTTCTTTGAAAATTAAAAGATATTCAATTTTTCGCTTTTTCCTTTTTTCGCTGCGTTTTTTGCCGCCTGCAAACTTGCTTGTGACTTTTATTCACGTAAATTTACTTATCCAAAATGTAAACTATACTGTGCAAGTTTATATAAGTAAATGTTAGAGAAATTTGCTTGGAAAAGTCACAAGTACCGATAATGAATACCGTAATACTCCTAATAGTAGCGGTCCCCTATAATGACGGTCGGAGTGTCGCGTAGTCTAACTTTAAACGCATTTTTATGCCGTTTATGCCAAAGTGTGCGCTTAAATATCAAATGAAAGCTGAAATTCACGGCTATTTTTTGATACTAAGCATGTATTTTTAGGGATTATGGGTGTTTAGAAAAAAAATGATTTAATAAAAAATTTTTGCGAGCACGCGACTGTACGGGGGAGGGGCGTTACTAATTAGAAGTATTACGGTATCTAGTATTCTTTCTTTTTTAAAAAGCCACTCAAGGATAAAAACTACTTGATCTTGAGCTTTCATTTATATTTTTCATCTTTCAAAATATCTTTGAAATTCTCTCTTTCACTCACTTCGAATGTGCCAATGCCGTTCGATTGACTCCTTTTGTTAGTAAACGATATTTCTCGAATGTACTCTGGAATATTCTTGATATTCTTGATATTCTTTCTATTCTTGATATTCCTCTTGATATTCTTTATATTCTTTATATTCTTTATATTCTTTATATTCTTTATATTCTTTATATTCTTTATATTCTTTATATTCTTTATATTCTTTATATTCTTTATATTCTTTATATTCTTTATATTCTTTATATCATTTATATTCTTTATATCATTTATATTCTTTATATTCTTGACTCTTTTCCTCACCTTAATAGCTGAATCGAATGTATCAAAAGTAGTGCAAATCCCGTGAAATCCCCTCAAACCGCATTCCCTTTTTGCGACACAAAATCTCTCAAAATATTGATCGACTCTGTCATCACCACGATCAATTGCATAGTATTCTTGATAACACATCTGAAAAGGATCTTCAATTGTTTTTTTTGCTATATTTTTTGCTTTATGTATAGTCTATTTTCTTGATAAAACTGGATGAGAAATCATTCAATCTTATCTTTAAGGCCTTCTTTAAGGCGAAAATTGAAATGATTAACCTTGCAGGAATCTTATTTATTTTTCAAATGCTTCTATTCATCCATTTCAACGTTCTTTCTCATTCATTTTCCTCAAAATTCACCCTCAAAAATTGCAACTTTTCCTCCGTTCAAAGAAATCAAAAGTTCAATCAAAATTTCTCATCACAAATTCTTTTTTTCACTCACCATTCCATCTCCGCATTCTTGTGTTGAATGAGGACTCGGAAATGAGGAATCATAGCATAAAAGTGATTGGGAAATCCCGATGAAAATGGGGAAAATGAGGAGAGATAATCGATGGAAGATCGCATGGAATCGTGACGGTAATCGAGACATTTTAGGGGAAGCTGAAATTGCTTTTAGAGAAATCTCTTATATACATAGTGATACTGTTTACAATTTGCGAAATGTTTATATAATGACGAAGAAAAAAAAAAGCTGTGACGAAGAGCTTTGTAAAGATTAACTGAAACATTTGATGGATTGTGGAAGGGAATTTGTGCAGAAAGCTGGGATAAAAGAGATCGATCAGATTTTGAGAAGTAAAGTTGAAAATGTTCATATTTAAAAAGGATCAGATTGAAGGAGAAAAGAAGAAAGTCTTTGGAATTCTTTGGATCTTTGGAAGATCATAAATTTTTTGGATCTTTGGGAAAGTCACAAATTCCTTTGAATCTTTGGAATTCTTTGGAAAATCACAAATTTCTAAAAATGGCAAAAGATTTGACGAAATTTGAATGACAAAAATTGAGTCATTTCATTGAAAAAGCGATCGGAAATTATATTTATTTTTGGGGTAAAATTGTATGAAAATGAATGGAAAATTGGAAAAGAAAAAAGAATAGAAAAGAAATTGAAAGCTAGGAAATAGAAAAAAAGAATGATATCCAATGGGGTGGCTGAATCAATGAAAGGTTTCTTTAAGAGATTTGTTCAAAGAGGCAAAAATTTCCGGTGCTTTATCTTCTTCTCATTGATTCTCTTTGTAGCTTTCTGAAAGGATTTTCCCTTTTTTTTTTTTCAAATCTCCGTCAAATATTACGCAATTTCAAAGGAGAAATGATTTTGATTTCGCTTCTTTTGACTTGTTAGACTTGTTTGCGGCTTGAAATCTAAATTTAGATTTAGATTTAGATTTAGACTGAATTGATGCAAGCAAAAGATTACAATTCAAAAGATTACTGCCTTTACTCACCAATTTAACTAAACAAACTCATAATTGACTTTTTGTAGCCAATTTCAAACCGAAACTTATTTTTCTGAATCCCATCAAATCCTTTTTAATCAAAACTTGAAAATTGATTGAAAAAAACTTGAAAACTTTCAATCAAACTTGAAAATTGAAAGCTTTTCTCAAATAAGTCACTGAAATTTCTTTGATCAACAATTTAAAAATGCTTCTAAGATCTATTTTTTGAGCTTTCTACAAGAACAAAATTAGAAAAAAGGGATTTCCGAGGATTCTTTTGATTGAAGAAGATTGAAACTACAAACAGATAGAAATTGAGAAGGAAAATGGTGATTTTGACTAAAGCTGGAGTATCCTCAGCTTCGTTGACAAATCATTCTTTATGAATGTGAATAATAAAAGAGAAAAACAGTCGTTTTTTGCTTTGAGAAAAATCCCTGATTCCCCCTCATTTCACTTGATTGAATATCATTCAATGGGGAATTTGAGGGGAAAGAAGGAAGGAAAGAAGGAAAGAAAGAAAGAAAGGAAGAAGGAAGAAAGAGAGAAAGAAAGAAAGAGAGAACGAAAGAAAGGAAGGAGGAAGGAAAGAAGGAAGGAAAGAAAGAAGGAAAGAAGGAAAGGAAGAAAGAAAGAAAGAAGGAAAGAAAGAAGGAAAGAAAGAAGGAAAGAAAGAAGGAAAGAAAGAAAGAAAGAAAAGACAGAAAGAAAGAAAATTATTTAACAAAATGATTTGTGAGAGAGCGTAGAGATTGATCGAGAATTTCATGGAAGTATAATCATATGAAAATCTTGAATGATTCAGTAATGAAATATTGTATAGAATAAGGCATCAATCAACTCGAATAGAGAAAAGAGATAATATTGACTGAATGGATTTGCTCATCACTGAGGGAATTCTCTCTTTTGAATGACTCTTCCTTTGTTTAACGACCAACCTTTTTCATCTTTACCTCTTTCATAGCAAAAAAAAAGAAAATCCTCGATAAAATGACAGAAAATTAGTATAACTACAGTAACCACTTACGTCAAATCACTTACAGTAAACCTGAATGTACGAAACTGAATCTAAACGATCTTTCATTGATTTCACCTATTTGGCATTTCCCTTAAACCCCCTGTGCAGTGATAGGGACGATGGTAGTGATAGGGACAATGATAGTGATAGGGGACGATGATAGTGATAGGAACGATGATTATTAGATACCGTATTCTCTCTAATAGTAGTGCACTCTCTAATAGTGTTGCGGTCCAGGAGGGGGTTGAAAAAATAGTAGTGCGCACTACTATTAGAGAGAATACGCTATTTATTCTGAATCTAGCACAATACTAATCTAGCGAGAAAATACAATAAAATAGAATCAATCGTTGGTTCAGTGTTTCATAGCAATACAAAAAGCAATACGAAAGGAATATACGGAAAGAATAGACGGAAAGGATAATGAAAGGATAGTATAAAGTGAGCTCCGTCTCTTTTATCCGTCCCTTTATCTTAAAAGCTATCTTTCAGAGGCGGGACAAGAAAATCAGACATTCAAATCAAAACATTAAATAAGATTTCACAGAAAAGAGCCACTTTTCTGCACACCCCCAAAAAAAAAAAAGTTTTTCGTCTTGCCACTTTTAAACTTATCATTTCCAATCTCCCACAATTTATTCCTTCTACTTTTTTTGTTTCCTTTTTTCCGAAGCGAAAAATGTTGCCCGGAAATTGGTCATTTCATATTGTTAGAAGCCGAAAAAAGAAACATAAATAAGGAAGAAAATAGATTGATCTCATCGAAAAAAAGGAAAGGAAAGAGAGCTATTTTCGATATAGTTTCGATATTGCTTCAACTCTCCAACAATGATAAACTACTGTCAATGATTTGAAGAACTTGATAAAATAAAGGCAATCGTGTAAAACGTGAAAGTTATGCTAGGCTGGACTCAAGCTTTGTTTTGTAGGCAATTTTCAGCAATTTTCCTGGTTTACATTGCATCTGAAAGGGGGATTTGGTTGGAATGGATCCCTGGACAACTGGGACAATCAAACTGGGACAATCAAACTAGGATAATTAAACTGGGACATGAAACTGGGACTATTAAACTGGGACAATTAAACTGGTACAATTAAACTAGGACAATCAAACTGGGACAATCAAACTGGGACAATCAAACTGGGACAAGTTACAAATTGAAACAAGAAACATCTGAAGTTCGAATCTTTCATTTCGACTGAATTATCTAGAATAAAGAAAGGTTAGAAGAAAATGAATGAAAGAAAGAGACGATTAAGCTGGTGTGCGAATGAAAAAGGATAATCGGATGAATGAGGCTTATCGATGTGATTAATCTAACCAATGTTTTGAATGAAAAGAGGAAAACATACAGAAGAGTGAATATCAAAAAAGAGAAGGGAAATATGGGGGTGAATTCATGTGAAAAGCCGAGGGGAAGTTTTCTTGGAGAGAAAATGAAATTATCGAGAGTATTGAGAAGAGAATTTTGTGGAAGAAACCGGGGCGAGGCGTTGAAAATTGAGTTTTCGGGGTGAAATTTGGAGGGAAATCGAACTGAGATTGTGATAAACAAGATAAAAATGGTCAAAAAATAGGCGTAAAAGGAAGAACGGGGGTTCTGAGAATGGGTAATTAGAAATCGAATGACTAAAATTATGCACGTTTTGTCATTTTTAAGTTTTTAAGTTAAATGTAAGCTAAATGATTGAAATTCTTTTGGTTTTTGTGTTCAAAAAATTCAATGGATCAATGGAGTGTGAGCAAGAGTTGACTGTGCTAAAATGGCTCAATGTAGCAATCCCTTTATATCTAATTTATATCTAACGCTCACTTCATTCGCGTTTTCTACTTTGCATTTTAAAAAGCGAAAGAAGAACAGAAAAAGAAAATTTACTAAGCCCCGCCCCTTTCCCCGCGCGCCGAGAGCTAAGCCTCATCTGTTTTTGCCAATAGCTGCGCACAGACGGACAGATAAACAGACGGACAGACGAACAGACGGACAGACGAACAGACGGACAGACGAACAGACGGACAGACGGACAGACGGACAGACGGACAGACGGACAGACGGACAGACGGACAGACGGACAGACGAACAGATGGATAGACGAACAGACGGATAGACGAACAGACGGACAGACGAACAGACAGACAGACGAACAGACGGACAGACAAACAGACGGACAGACGAACAGACAGCGACAAACAGACGAACAGACGTCTCTTCTGCTTTCTATATAGTAGATATCTAGTTCTAAAGTTCATTTTGGGTGAAAACATTAATAGTAACTTGTTCTTTCAACAAAATTGCTCACATTTATTTCTTTTTTTAATTTTAAGAAAAATGATTGCTAGCTCTCAAAGGTATAACCTAACCGTTTCATTGTTCAGTTAAAATGCCATAAAATGTCTGGAACTGTCTCCCCAGCTGAGGTGATTCTATATATAAATAAATCTGTTAGGCTCTGTTAGACGTTTTCCTATTGTTGTTGAGAAGTGTTTAGAAAAAGGTTAGCGTTGAATTCTTGAAATCGATTCATAAATCGTTTCAGATTGGTGTTTCGGACTTCTATCGGGAAAAGATGTAAACGATTTGAATGGAATTGGAGGAGAAAATCGATCAACAGGAGGAGGGGACAGTCAACCACTTCTATCAAAGGATCATTAATCGCTGGCTTATTTGAAAACTAGAAAACATGTTGCTCATTCTCAATGAGTAACATAAATACCGTATTTCTTCGAATAGAAGACCGGGTAAAGAGTATCGTCGCGTACTCCTGCGTAGCAGCCCTTTTGAAAAATCTTTTTCTGCATAAAAGCTTTCAATCGAGTGCTATAGAGCTGGAAAATGGCTCAAAAATACGACATGAGCTAACAGATTTTTGAGCCATTTTCCAGCCCTATAGCACTTCATTGAAAGCTTTTATGCAGAAAAGAAATTTTAAAAAAGGGCTGCTACGCAGGAGTACGCGATGATACTCTTTACCCGGTCTTTTATTCGAAGAAATACGATAATGTATTCATCTAACCATGATAATTTGTGAAATTCTAAGATTACTGTATACTGGCAAGCATTTTCCGCAGAAAACATTTTGCGGATGGCGCACTAAAATGCACCAAATACCGTAATCCGTCTTTTTGGCGTAAAAATTTTTGCAACTTTTGCATTTTGCAACTTTAGCCATTTTTTTCTTACTTTTGCGCAATTTCTACTCGTAGTTTTGCTTCCTACATTGTTTTTAAAGCAATTAGTGTTTTAGAGTTCAACTTTATTTATCAATAAAATCAATAGAACAAAAAAATGGGGTAGGCTAGTTTCCGCGACTTTTTTTGCGCAACAGGATTATTTGCGCAACTGGGTCGTTTGCGCAACTCGCCATAACTTTTTTTCTAAGTGGGCCAATCTTTATGCTTTTCGTTTCATTTTGTAGATCTTAATAAGTGCAACAAAATAACACCAAAAGCATAAAGATTGACCCACTTAGAAAAAAGTTATGGTGAGTTGCGCAAACGACCCAGTTGCGCAAATAATCCTGTTGCGCAAAAAAAGTCGCGGAAACTAGCCTACCCCAAAAAAATAGAATAAAAAGTTGCAAAAAAAGCGGATTACGGTATTTAGTGCATTTTAGTGCGCGACCGGAAAATGTCTTCTCGGAAAATGCTTGCCAATTACTGTATAGCAAAAAAATGATAAAGTTTTACCCGTTTAAAGCCGGGATCGCTTTATCATTTAAATCTTCACATAATAGCTTTACTATTCCATTTTCGACTTTTCACTAAAGCTCCAAAATCACGGAGCTCTTCTTTTCCCTTTTTCTATTCTTTCCAATCTTTGTCCATCAAATATGCCCACTTCCACCCCATCCTTTTCTTCTCTTCTTTCCCTTCCTTTCCCCCTTCCTTTTCCCCCTTCCCCCTCCTCCATTAACTTCTATTCTCATGTCTTCTTTGATCGGCTTTACGACAAACTTATCTACTTAAACTTTTTTTTTTTAATATTTCCCCAATATTGAAGGATCTCATTTTGTACTCTTGTGTTGCGAGCAATAAATAAATATTAAACTCATCAATAAAAATTCAAGAAAAACAATTCTAGGGCAAATTGAGGGTAAAAAAAAAGGAGAATTGAGCGTTTCAGAGTCGAAATCCATTTGAGCAATTGGTAGGCGGGGGGAGAGAATTTTTGAGGAGCAATGGGGAGAGAGGGGAAGGAATTTCCGGGGAATGGGGAGGGGATCGAAAGGGCGGAAGAGCTACTTTTTGACAGCTCAAATAAAAGTAAAAAAAGGTGAGAATAGAAGGAGGGGAAGATGAGGAATGGGTAAATAAAGGAAATGAACACAAGAAATGAACTCAAGGTTCGTTTGGGCTTTTAGGAAATGGGTGTTAGGTTCGGGAAGTTTGATCATTGAACGAGGATGGCATGGGTGGAAGGTGGATCTGTGCACCGATCTCCTTGATCAGTTTTTTAGAGTCGGTACTCGAGTGTCATTCGAATAGATTATCAAAAATGTTTTCACGAGTTTCGAGTCGCTTTCCACTAAAACTAAGAATGAAATATTTGTGTTAAATGATTATTTTGAAGACTAGTTCAGAGAAAACTAATGAAAATACTTTGGTAAAGATTTGAAAAACAAAAAAGATTTCCTTTCATTAGTTGAGAAAACATGGAAAAAAGGTTTTTTTGGCTTTTTGGCTCGTGAGAGTCAACGAAGAAATTCGAAACGAATTAGGAGACCTTTTGTTGAAAAAAAAAAAAAAAAAGAAAAGAGAGAAATAGAGGAGAAAGGAGTGGTCCCTTAGCCCCATTTTTCCACCTTTTTCCCCCAAAAATATTCCTCATTGAAATCGACAAAGCAAAAAGAAGGCATGTCGCTGATTTCTTTTCCATCTTTCATTTCACTTTCCACATGCACATTTTAAAAGAAGTTCTCAATGCAAAGTCATCAAATTTCCCAAAAAAAAGCGCTCAAATTTTCTCGTCAGGATTAGGTGTGTGAGGGAAAAATTGAAGAAAAGTTTAGAATAAAATTTTATAAATCTCTAATTAAATCTAAGGCTACACACATTTGTGAAAAACAAAATTAATCAGTGACTACACGAAATATTTTGTGAAGGGTAATGTTTGATGCATAAAGCACAACGCGTCCAAAAAAAAATGCCTTGGAATCACCATTCGCTTTTTTTTTTTTTTACTTTGATTTTTTTTTTTTTTTTTTTCCCATAGTAGCGGATTCGATGTGTAAAGGCAGAGAAAACGGAAATAGAGTTTAGGCAAAGATTTCCGGTTAATCACAAAATAAAAGAGTATGAGTTGGAATGACGATCAAAACGAATGAGAAGAACGATGAGGATGCTGTACCAAGACCCATTCAAGAGTAGATGATTGGGAATAAGAATTGGAAATGATCCGAAATTCGGAAATGAACCAGATAATGATTTCTCTCAAAAGTACAAGAAGGGAATGTGTTTGTTTCTGGAAAAGATTTCAAGAAATCAAGTGTATATATCTTCAAATGAATTTCAGTTCATTCTGGATAAAAAGATCATTCTTCAATGAGAAATTCGACCAAAAAGACAATTTCTCTAGATAATTGCATTTTCTGATTTGTTCTTTGTAAAGAAGTTGTAGTTGAATTGAGAAGATGGTCAAGCGAAAAAGATGAACGAATATTCTCAAAACCCTTCTCTTCCTCTTACAAATCCTTTAGAAAGATCTCCCGGTTTCATTCCGCATCAATGGAGTGAAAGAATCCACAAACAAAACAAAATGTGTGAGTATTGAGAGTAGGAAAATGAAAAGCATACAGAGATTTGGTGATGTGATGGCATTTCGAGAAGGGGAAGAGAAGGGAGCATTATTATTGCCCCAAGGGTCCCCTAAAAATCTTTCCTTTCCATCACTGCCCCTATGCTGAGGACGAACGAGCGTTCTCATCGTCCATTCACAACAAAAAAAAAAAAAGAGAATCACACAAAAAGAGATATTTCTGTTTCCCAAGAACAACACATGTGAAAATGCAGTTTTGTTGAGGTACTTAGATTTGAGTACACCTTGATGCTGTTTTCAGATTTCCAATTCCGTTGTTTGATGTTGCTTCTTTAAGTTGTGTTGTGTTATGTTATGTCCGAATCCGAACTAATTGTATAAAATCGCGCAGAATTGATATTTTTTTTACAAATTGGTACCATTCGATGTAGAAAAAAATCTCTATAAGTTAAAGTTATACATGGCATTCTGTTCAGCATAACTTTTTTATTAGACAAAAAACCGACATTTTTTGACACTTTTCTAAGCTATTTTTAGTGACTCAAATGTGAACCAAAAACAACGTATAATAGCTTATTTTATAGAGAAAGATTCTTAAAGTGAAAAAAGTTAATCTAGTAAAAAATATGGAATTAGTTCGGATTCGGATATCCAAATCCGGACTAACCTTTTTAGGCGTCCGAATCCGAATTAATCTCATTTAAATTAACTTTTTCCAGATGTAAGTTCACTTTAAACATCTAAGTCTTGCTCTACAAAATGGCACCAAAATCGGTTCACGAGTTTTGGAGATACAGGTACGCAAAGGTCAAGGGTTTAGTTCGGATTCGGACGTAACATACACATAACACATACCATAATGATCATTTTAAAGCTTATAACTCTCAGCAAATGAAAAGGATAGCATAATTAAAAATATAAACACGAGTTGAGATTTCCGTAAAAAAAGTACCCGAGCAAAAAAGAGATAAAAGTATTTTACAACAACACACATTTTAATAAAGGACATTTAAGTGAGAATAAATTAAATAGAAAAAAAACCCGAAAACCGAAGAGCACGCAATGATGGAAAAATTGATTGGTAGGATGACATTCACTATATATGCATTTGACGATTCATTTGGTCTGCGTTGAATTTGAACGCATCTGGTTTCTGAAGCAACAATAGTAAAAAGGTTATTTTTTTGAATACTAACCTAAACTCGACAGCCATCTTGAATTGTTTATTCCTTGGACTCGGTGTAATATCAAAGTCAACAAGGCGTAGATTTGAAATTGGATAGGCGGCGCTGAAATTTCAAGAACTTAAAGGTTACTGTCAAAAATCTCACCATGTCGGGGGATTGCGATCACCAAAGTGAACAACAAACAACGCATCATTGTTCCCATTTCGTCTACGAACTTTGTTGACTACTTCAGTCGACAACGTTTCGTCTAACTCCGCAAAACGTGGATCCAGAACGCGTCCAATGGCTATAATGAGAATATCGTTGAGTTAACTAATTAAATAAAGTTTGTGATATACCTGGCGCATTCATCGATTGGGCCCCTGATTGAGTGATGTACACAATATCGTTGTGTATCAATTCAGAATCAGGGGTTTGACTCTGTTGAACCGTTGTTGTTCTGTGCCTTCTTGAACGCCCATCTTTGCGTAAACCCTCTCGTCCTGTTCTTCGAGTTCCTTTGTCGTCATCCTCAGTTGAATATTCTGTTGATGAGGCAACATCGGCAGCAAGTGGTGATTGAATCTAAGTTTATTAATCACAAGTTACAAATGGTTCAGCCTACCGAATTTTGGCGATAGTCCGTAAATGGTTGCTTAGGATTTTGCCTGCTTCTCCGACTCTCGATTGCTGCAGGAGTTTGAGTAGGGGATGTACGTGGTGGGTTGAGGAATTGTTTCAATGAGGTCTGTCGTAAACCTAAAACTTTGAGGTTTGAATAATTCATGTAGATTTTCGTACCAGAGTCTTCATGAATCTTACGACGCTTTATTGGAGGTATTAATAGATCGTTTTGGTGTCGTTTATTGTCCACGAAGCCTAAAAGCAATCATTTTTTATAAAGACATTTAAAAATAAACATACTAAAGTGAGGTATTGTTTTAGGTGGCGTTTGAAGAAAAATGTTGCCTTTAAGATGGGGAGAATTGTCGATATGGATACCTAAACATATAATTAAACAAAGCAGATAAATAAAAGAGCCAACCAATAGGTGCATTCTCTTTAACCCGTTCACTACTTAGATCGGTCTCATAGAAGCTCATCTTGGATAAAAGAATGCCAAACTTTTCGTAATCGTCTTGAGTCATCTAAATTTATTTCTTGATATCCAAGATAGAAACCATAGACATACCGAATTAATGAATTGATATCTAGCTTGAAACTTCTCAACAATAGCTATACATTTTTTCAGATATTTTTTACCATATTGAAGGTAAAAGTCCTGGTGATAATGAGAATTAAACCTAAACCAAATGAATCATCATAAATTAGTATTTGACAAAAATACTTTTCGCAATTCGAACACATCAATTCCAAGTCTTTGCGAATCTCGGTAATAGTTGAGTATCTAATGCAAAATGCAATATAAAAATAATAGACAAAGCTACTTTTTTGCATTCAGCTTGCTTTTCATTGATTGTATATCCATCGGTTTCGAAACAATCATTCTATAGCCGGAAATCTTGTTTTCCACAGGTTCAAGGAAAACCTCAAATTAATGTAAAGTCAAACTAACGTAAAATTTCAAACCTTTTGTTTGTCTTGTTGCTCCAATTCATCCAAAAGTTGAGAAAAAAGCATTTCCGATGGAGTGCAGAGGCGGTCAAAAGCTATTTTCGTTGTGGACACATGATCCTTCTTGAGAATCTCGCGCTTCTTGACCAATTCCCAAAGCATTCGCTGTTTTTCCAAATCATTTCTAAAAACAGTGTTTCTGACCAAACAAGCAATACAAACCGTCTCCTTGAGTAATCCTGTCTCAATTGATCAACTTCGGGAATCTCCAAAATGCTTGTTCCTTGTTCCATATTTCGCAACTCGACTTCTTCCTAAGGAGCTCGGTATTCAACTTAAATTTTTGTAAATATGCCTGTAGACGCGAGATTAGCGGCACTCCAAATCGTTGCTTTCGCTTCATTATCCAATACTCAAAGACCTCTTTGATGTACTGGCTACAATGAAACCGGCGTGCGATGTTATCAACCCTGAAATGCGACTACTTCAGTTTGTACATTTAGCATACCTTGCTCTTGAAATTTTTGGAATGCTGACAGGAAAGTCGTAATTTTTCTTTTGTTTTAGTACTTTGCGTGCCTAAAAAGATTCATTAGACGAATTTGAGTAAAATGACTCTTACCAATTTACACGCTTCTTCCATTTTTCTCCTTTTGACAGCCACATCAGTCTCCGTGTCGGTTGGATCGTGCATGTGGCAATAGGCAAATCGCTTAAAAAATTGTTTCAAAATCAACAATGATCTTATTTCTCACCTGAACATCCATCATTTCCGATGCGTCAGAGTCTTCGGCTGTATCGACCTAAATCAGATTTTGAACAAAAAACGTTAGGAAGCACACCTTCATATACATTTTTGCCGACTGTGCGCAAGTGACGTGAAATGCGCGAACACAACTTCTCTGACTACATTGGATACACGCACCATACTTTTTCCTAAAAGCCCCGGGTTTTTAAAAAAGAAGCACACATTTCTTACTTGCACAGCATGCAACATAATCGTGATCGAATCTCGAGGCATTTATCAACTCCCTCCACCGGTTCGAGAAAAACCGTATTCAAGAAATGTAACTAAAAAGACATATGTAACAAATATAAATTAAAACGAGAGACCTCGTTAAGCCATATTGTACAAATGACGTGCACCCAGCGTTGATCAGAAGTCGTTTTGAAAGCTCCATCTTGATTCGGACAAACTGCACATGTTACTGGAGCTGATGGGGACAATTTGCAACGTCGGCAAAACCAACTTCCCTCGGGTATAAAAGGAACACCGTAACATTCCTAAAATTGATTAATCAATTTTATCATTGTTAAACTTTCATACTTGGTGAACGGCTATGTTGCATAAATCGCAGTATATTATTCTGTTTAAATCCTCGTCCTCTTCAAGACCACATATACAACAAGCTTCTTCGGTATTATTTGGGTGTGGGTTCAATAGTTTCTTTGGCTGAAAGCTCTTTATCTATAGCCAAAAAGTTATTCAAGGTTTACCTGAAAAGTGCTTTCTTTTTCGAGTCGATCTATAACATGTGCAAAAACTTCTGGATCAATTCGAAGTTTCCGTTCCTTCAGGATAGCATTTAACCAGCATTCATCCTAAACCAATAGCACTAATTAGTTTACCGTAAATACTTCAATAGAAGCACCCTATAGGAGCCTCGCGTAATCTAAGTTTATCTAAGCGCGCAAAATTAAGTGAAAGATATGGTCGTTTGTTTGAGTGCAAAATTAGACTTCGCGACGCTCCTATAGGGGTGGTTCTATTAAAGTATTTACGGTGGTTAACAAATTTCGTACCACATCATCGAGCTCATATTCGACCTTTGCATCTAATTCCTCAGGTGTCAAAGCATGATAAACGTTTAATTCCGCGGAAATTGCAGTTGGTTTTATACGGATCGGCGAGCATTCCCTAAATTAACAAAAATTTAGTTTGATGTGTTTATTACGACTTTTTAAATAACCGCAAAAGACTCACCGATAGTTAGTTTTCGGAAGTTCTTTCTTAAGATCTTTCTCGGAATCAAAAATCGACTAAATACAAGTAAATTTCGATAAGATCAAAGGACTACCAACCTCTTTGTAACTTTTTGCTGCATTAGCATTAACTTTTTGTTGACTTCCGACGTTGTTGACTGGGTAAAGTAGTGCGGGGTTGAGCCGTTGTCCCGACCGGGGAAGAACCAACGGTTGCATTTCTCCGATGGCTTTCATTTTATTGTCAGAAGAGGAATCAATCGCATAATAACCGCTGAGACAAGCGCGCTAAAAAATAAATTTGCACTAAAATTTTGAAAATATACGGAATTAGTCAACCCTAATGGTCAACCAAAAATAGTGGTAATATTAGATTATCTCTTCTTTAAAAATTTAATAAGTTTGAAGTAAAAGAAGCAGCTAATTGAAAGCAAAATCTTTCGGAAATGTCAAAGCAAAGTTATTTTGACCTAGCTTCATTTTGAAGAGCAAAACGACTACGCTCAAGTACTTTGAACCACGTAAATAGTTGTGTAAAGCGAAAATTACGATAAAATGGGCGAATTTTTAACCGAGCGTTTGCTCAAAATTTTAGAAAGCGAATTTTGGCATAACAGTGCTAAACAAAAGAAACCGATAATCATTGGTTAGGTACATAAAGCAATCAACGAATATTGATTTACTGATACAAAAGTTGGATCAAACTTCAATAACTTTTGTGCAATTAACAAGTTCACAACTCAACTTTGAGATCTTCCTTAAACTTTTATTAATTCATATAATAAGAATATGATGTGCGTAGCAGTAAGAACCTGTAATAAATAAACCAAAGATGCGAATCACATAAGAAGTCAGCACACGAACATTTTGGGTTATTTTTGAGAGGAAGGAACAAAAAAATTTTAAAAAACGGAAAGCACCAAATAAAAATTATACTATTTACACCAAGAAAGAAAAAATCTAGGTATGTACCCACTCTATTTAGACTGGAGATGATATAATGTTATCACGGGAGGTTTCTAAAAGTTCACGCAATGAACAATTACTCATTAAAATGGATCGCAAATCCTCGTCAACTTTAGATACAACGTGGGATATTTGACGTATCAAAAATGCTCGACGATCACTTCCTGTCTGGAAACCAAAAAGATGATTTTTATCTGTAATATTACAAACCGGAATTTGAGAAGCAATCAAGCGCATTCTCAATACTAAATCGACAATTTCCGCATGATGATGAGATGAGAGAAGCGACTCATTTAAATCGGCTTGACAAATTTCCTAAAACAAACTAACAGTAACTCTTTTCAGCTTAAACCAACGCACATCAATGTAAACAAGTCGGATTTGCTTGGTTATCTCCATATTTCGTTGAGCCAACCAACTGGCGAATGTCCGAGTACATGCGAAGCGTCGATATAATCCTAGAAAATAAGCTTGAATTAGAAATTTTGTAGCTCTCAAGAAGCTTACCTGCCCAATCACCTTTTACAGCACAAGTTAGAGATGGCCCCGCAGCGTCAAGCCCACTCAAAAAGTCATCTAATACAAATGGACGAGGATATGGTATAGACTAAAGTTAATGGTTACATTAAGTGACGACAACCGAATAAACCTTGAATGGTGACATATTTTTTCGTAGCGGCATCAGACTTGAAAGATGTCGTTCAAGAGGAATCATAAAAGATTGTGTAAGTTCTAGAAAATATCGACGTATTACAGCTGAATTTACTTCATCGGGACGTCCGGTCTAAAATAGTAACTATTAGGGTGAATTGAAACCCAAAACAACCTTTAACAACTTTTTCGAGAAGGATTTGTCATGGGCTAAAAACGGCTTGTACTGTGTGTAAAGCCCAGATTTCAAATCAATTCCTCGTTTGTCCCGATTCTTTCTAAAAGTGCTTTTATCGACAGCAATAACAAATCATACGTCTTTTCCGCCTGTTTTTCGTTTTCTTCGTTTGTCGCGTCCTCGCCTAACTTTAAAACGTGCGGCCAATGTTGGAGAACTTTCGTGAAAAATGGATTTGTCACGCCGAGAATAGCACAGGGTCTAGGTTAAATTACAGAAAAATTCGGCTAAAAAACTTACAAGTTCCTGGTTTTGGCCGAATATTCCCGAAATTCTGAGTCGTGAATGGTAAAATAAGGTCGAAAATCTGATTGAAGTCGCAAAGGCATTATTAGTGAGACCAAAGCTTGAACAACAGCCGAAGAACGAGTTGGTGTCGAGGCCATGACTAGTAAAGGCTAAACAAATAAATGCTGTTATTGCAGAAAATTAAATATTCTTTACCTCTTCAATTAGGATTAGTTCCCATAAAAGTTGAAGGTGATAAACAAAATTCGACAAGCATCTTAAATTCAAGCCATTTCATACGTTACAATAAATTGACTCACTTATAAGGGTCGATCTCAAACAAAGATGGGAGTAAAATAGACGGTGTTGAAGCTTGCAAATCATTCTGACAAATAAAATTTGCCGCCGTTGAAAAGGGGATATCTCCACGTAGTGGAATACGACATTGGACGACCTAATATAAAAGGAGTTAAAAATTTATTTAAAGATTACCGTTCCCATAATTGGCAGTGTTAAAAACAATCCCGGTGTTGGGTTGGGCCATTGATCGAAATCGTGGCAAGCTAAATCAGAGAGAGCATTGTTGGTTGTATTCAGAATTTTACCAGCTTCTATCGCGGTTTCTCCCAAATCAAAGAATCCCTGCGCTATTTTCGAGGTGACTAGGCTCCAGAGCGAGAAAAATGGCAACGACGTTAGTAGAACAACGCTCTAAATCATGAATAAATTAGTGCGGTAAAAATCAAATACTTTTTGATAATATCCTCTTTTGATCGTCGGGTCTTTGTGCTGCCGAAAATGAACAAATCCATATAGGTACGATGGGTCGAGTGGGATTGATGTTAATGAGTCTTCAAGCAACGTGCAATGCGAAGGTATCAATTTCGGCCACGTTCTAAACCAGAATATTTTAATCGTTAATCAAATTAAATAGACTTTTCAATTTTGCTTTAGTAACTAAAACGTTCTTAAAGTACTACTTTCTCATCCGAAAATGATACGTGACATCTTGTGTCGGCGAAAAAGTTGAATCGGGAAACGCCAAGTAGCACATATTAGCTTTTTCAATTGAAGAAAGATCCGCATCTCCGGGGTAAATAATCTAAAGTGAATAGTCAGGACGCGAATTCAAGTCGAAAGTTTGCATAACCGTATGAATGTCATTGCTGATCAATATTTTCTTCTGCGTGGATCCCAATTAACAAACAAACCTCAAGCGCTTGTCCCCATTCTAGATCGAAAGTCACAACTCCCACCGAATGAACCCATTTTGAGAATTTTTCCCATGGGACACCCAGCAGTTGATTCTCCCCATTCATCAGACGTTTCTCTAAAACAAAATGCAGGAATATTAGAGCCAACTTTGTTGAAAAAGTATTCAATGAAAATAATCTAATTGCTAAAAATCTTCAACAACCCTTTCGCTTTCTACATATCATGAGCTGTGCGTTTTTGGGCCTTTCCCGGCATTTTGGCACATTGCCAAGCTACACTTTAGGTTTTCCAAGACGAGGTGCTCTTTTTTAATCGTAGGCGAACTCCAGCCAAACGTACCTACCATTTTCACTTTCATTTTCAAACAAATACACTCTTTACAAACTAACAAAAAGGAATTTTCCGAAAGTTATCAGCAATAAATTTATAAACAGAACGCTAACCATACGTCGCAAGAAATTAACAGCTAAATAATTTATTGAAAATTTGCAATCAACGAAAAATTGAACAAAACTAGTGATACGCATAACACCAAGGGTAAAACGCAAAAAAATGAATCGCGGAGATCAAATTGATTCGAATGAGGAATATCACGTCTCAGACAAATATCCTTGCAGAAGTAGCTCTAAAAAAGCACAACCACACATCGTAAAAAAATTGTTTAATTACTTAAGTAAAAAATTAAAACAACTGAAAAACATCAGAAGAACAAACAAATGCACTGAAAGCGAGGAACAAACAATGTAGCTTTCAGTAAGTGACTTCATTTAAGAGAACTTCTAAATCGTCAATTTGCTCCAATTTTCGCCCGGCCAATTGATCTCTTGCCACATCAAGTAACTTCTTGAACTGAAATAAAAGGTACATAATAAAATTCATAAAATTTAACAGCAAGAATTCACTAACATTTTGTTTGAACTCATCTAAATAGCGAAACGATCCCTCATCAATCTTTTTCTCAATCCCATTCACAGATAAGACCTAAAATTGATTTAAGTTTATTAAGACGTAAAAATAAAAGTACCTCGTCTCTATGGCTGCGAGAAGGACGCGGAATGTTGAGATTAGACAATGATGTGTAAATTCGTTTAGCCTTGATTTGCTCATATAATTCGACAATGAACTAAACAAAGTACAGTAGCAAATATTCAACTCTTGGCACCAACCTTTTGTTGAGCGCTAACAGGCTTGACATCTTTACGCCGAGTTCTAGCAGAAGGTCCACGAGGCTCGTACTCATCTTCGCTGCTCGCAGCATCGGACTCATCAATGTATGCCCTTTTGCGGATTGGTCTTAGATCCTTAAATCAATTATCTTTATGTATCCTTTAAATAATGCAAGGTTTACCTTAGTAGAAAAGCAATCTTCAAATTCTTCCGAGTTTTTTCTATTATGTCTGCCAAGAAGACCGTCGAGGTTGAAATTTTCAGACTCGGCCGGTTGCACTGGAATACAGCCAAAACAGAGCCAGTCAAGCGAAACCTTAAACATAGTCCTTTTTTGAAATGGCTCAAGCTTTTACATTTTCCGGTCGAGGTCGAACACAGTAGATATGGTAACAAGTTCCGCATTTTCGACAAAGCAGTTTTTCGTCAATATTATTTTTTCTGCCACACTTTTTGCATCTCTAAACAAATTCTTTTATCTTATAGTGAATTTGTGTTTTTGACAAATAACTTTACCTTACTATTGACAGATGACTCCCAATTGATACGACTGTGCACAACATCAAGCAGCATAGATAGTCCAGAACATGTATTTGCACCTTCAAGAAAGCCGATCCACCTAAATTTGCTTATTGAAATTCTTAAATTAAGATCAACTTTGGCAATGTAAAGGTAGTTGATGCGAAAACACCGGCAAGAACTGGTGAGATTGCAGATGGCTGAATCGACTCAACGAGTTCACGGAGAAGCTCTTTCTAAAAATAACCAATGAACTATTCTGTAACTGTAACTTTTCTTCGTTATAAAATAAAATTAGCTTGACTCACCGTGCACTTCATAGTTTCGACAGTTTTGATTCGTGTATTAAACACTTCCGATTCTTTTAGAGAAGATAAACGATTCGTGAAAATTTCATTAGCAAAAGTTGTCAATGAATCCTTCAGAGCCTCAAGGGATGAACTCGCAGGGTTGATGGGACTAAGATACTCAAAATAAGAAAAAATAATAATCAGCCACCTTCCGGATTTCTTTTCTTGAATCTGTCGTCTATGTTGTTCATATTTCTTCTGCGCGTTAATCAAAGGCTCCATTTTTCCCAGCTCCTCTTTTAGCGACTTTTCACGAGATCCAACCTTAAAATAGTTCTCCGTAAAAACTATCGTTCTTATTAATTACCGTATTCAAGCGCACTGACAACTCCGTAATATCTTCAGCTTTTCTCAAACAGAACCATCTTTCCTTTGGATCAACCTTTAATTTGTCTTCATCTTCTTCATTGTGTTCTGGATCATTTGCAACAAGTGCTAGTTTTTTGAAAATGACTTCCTCTGCCGTTGTCCCCAACTAAAAGGTAGTTTTTTCAACAATAAAAGAATAGCATACATCATGAACCCAGACAGCGTGATTAGGTGATTGTTCGCCAAAAAAATAGTAACGACGAAAATGCCGATCCATGCCAAAGTACATATTTCGCATTGCAAATTTCCGGTAATCTTGCTCAGCCTAAACAAAACAACACTGAAAACAATGTTGTTTATTCTTTCTTACCTGAATTTCAGCTTTCAAATCATTGACATTGTCTTCACAACGAGTAATCTTTTCATCAAGTTCTTCTCGTCGTTTTTTGTTCCGTTCAAGTGCTCGTGTTTGACTTCTTTCCATGTTAGCGTAATCTGGCTCTTCTTCAATAGGAATTGCTGCAAGCTCTTCTTTGAGTCGAGAAAGCTAAATATTAAACTACACAATAAACAAAGAATGTTAACTTACCTTGTTTTTCTCTTTCTCAGATTTTTCTTTGAGCTCTTCAGAAGCACTGGCGTAGATATAATCGTTGTATGTGTCGGTATCCAACACTTTGTCCATGATGAGTAATACAATGGCCAATTGATCGTCCAATGAGAGACTCCAAAATTCGACATCCGAAGTAAACCTCGTAAGCAGATCCTCAACAACGGACTAAGTATTTTGATAAACCATTTCTTGAAAGTTAATTGCATACTTTATCAACCGAATCACAATCTTTCGCATCGTCGGCATCCAGTTGAGCATCTTCAGCACCATCTTTTTGCTTTTCAATCTCTCCAATAAGCGTTGACCTTAAACAAATTTTATAATCTTGAAAAAGCTCAGAAAGGCTAAAAAGGCACGTGCCTGCAGATCTCCGAAAGACTTAAAATATCAATTGTATAGTGTTCCAGCCTTTGTCCGAAGTGTTGCATCTATGAAATTATTACAATAGCATAATAAGCTGCTTGGACCAACCTTCAAAGATTTACTCTGTTGTAGAATAGCAAAAAATGATTGCAGTATGAGTCCAAGTCCGACCGAAAAGCCGGTAAATCCATCTTTCATCGAAGTATACAGAAATTCTACAAAGTTGTAGATAGCCAATTCATCCAAAGTAACCTGCTCCCAAATAATGCTCGTGATCGAGAAAACGCTTCAACGAGTAGTAAGCTTGAGACAAAGCCAATACATTAGAGAATGATTCCTCTTCAGAAACCATATTGTCGAGTTCCAGCCTCATTATGCACACTGACAAATCCTCGCGTTGAGATATCTAAACTTATAAATAGTTAAAGCGCCATAAATTTTTAAAAACTGTGCCTTAACTTAAAAACTTAACCCACTTCAATAAAATGTGCCTTTAACAGTTGCAAGTTCATCATATACTCGTGTCTCTCGCCCTTTTCGAGGTTAGCTTGTAGCTCTGCCTTTTGTGCTGCCTTTTTTGATGGCGAAACTTTCGATCTAAAATAGCTTAGCATCACTTATAATGTGTAATTCGCTTACAGTGCCTCCTTTCGAGTTGAAGTCCGATGCGCACGCATAACAAAGTATTTAATTAAACTTTCATCAATTGCTCGAGCCTAAATGATAATATAGAACGTGAGAAATCAGAAATATTCAATTGAAGAAAAGCGCCGTTTAACGTAAAAACTTGCGACAAATTACTGCAGTTTAGTTTTAGTGAGATGCAGTGCTGTCTTACGCAAATACAAACATACAGAACGCAAATAAATCTTATTCATATTCTACCTGTTCAGGCGTTATCTCTTTAGCTGAACGATTGACCAATGCAATAAAAGTATCTTTTGTGCCCTTTGTAAACTCTTTGCGAAGTTTTCCAAGTAGCGCTAAAACCAAATTATACTAACAATTACAAGCAAATTATAACCTTCAAATTTCTTCTCAGCTCGTTTTTGAGGATTAAGAAAAGGTGAACCAGTTTTGATCGATGCAGCTGCGGAATTATTGAAGAATGATTTCCGCTTCTAAAATGCCAACGTTTGAAATTAACAAGCATAGAGATTACCTCCTTTTTCTTTATATCATTGGCAAGCTTGACACTTTTTTTGGTCTTATCCTGGTTCTTTTCTTCCTTCTCCTCAACCTTTTTCTGTTTCTTTGTAGGCTGCCTTTTTTTTGTTTCAGCTTTTGCTTTCGCCGCCTAAATTAAAGTGATTCAAATTGATTGAGTAAGCATAATAGACACACTAAAATGAAATTTACCGATGTGGATGTTGAAGCTGCCTGCTCTTTCAACTTTTTACGGCTTTCGTCGGAAGCTTTTGAAATTGTCTAAAAATATAAACATTTACTGTTTATCGATTCAATAACCTTTTTTTTTGTTGGCGAGTCCGAAAGCATAATAATATCCGTAGAAGCTCTTGGGGTGGCTCTTTTGGTATCTGCTTGATCCTTTCCAGAAGCCGTATCAACTTAAGTGTTAATTTTGTTGACTTGTTTTTCTAAACCAAATACCCGATTTTTTCAGCATAAGTGGATGAATCTTGTTTTTGATTCCAAATTCACGGCACAATTTGTCCGAAACGATCCAATACTTGCCATTTTTCTTTGCTATTGTCTCGATGAGTTTTCGAAAATCTTTTGTTCCGCGCACAGTCAATTTGCTAAAAGGTTAAACAAAATTTTGCTGAGTCCTCGCAGAGAATTCTTACATGACACTGTTTTGATTGATGAATTCGTCTTCTTGAGCATTAGCCACTTTAATAAACCTTTCGGGTCCCCTCCTCTTTGTGGCAACGACAATTTGACGTGAGTTGCTAAAGTGCACATTCACACTCCAAAATTTAAAAGTGTCTTTACTCTGCTTTGTCCAACTTCACGTAATCTTTTTCATAAACATTCTTTTCCATTTGTGTGCATGCCTTTTCTACCAAATGATCCAAATCCGCATCGGCTAAAAGAAATTATTTTTCTAAGCAATAAACAACAATACAATGATGAACGATTTCGGCAAGCATTTTCAGGAACTCGGCCGAATGATTTGCTCTGGTTTCCTCAAGAGATTCGTCATCAATTTCTTTTGCCTATACAACGCAATTAAATTTATAACTTTGAAGACTAACTTACTTTGCCGACGGCCACCGACCCTGGTGTAGTTAATCCCCTAAACTGCAGTTTTTCAAGTATTAGAAACAATGGTACTTTTCTTTATTCATCGTGTTCGCAAAATCACTCAAGACTCTTCTTTGATTCATCGATTATCTAAAGTAAATGCCAATATACAGATTACATTGCATCTCATTAAAGTCACAAAGCAATAAAAACAAAACATTGCATGGGGTTTGTTCAGAGAATGCATAGAAAAGAACACCTTCTTTTACAATGAGAAAAGAACGCACTCCCAGCTATGCACCAATATCAAGTTTCCCGCCAAATGAGTGAATTTTCATGGCATAACCTATTGATCATATGCCGTGCATTTTACGGTTTATTCACGAAATTGTATGACTCTGTCAACACTTCAACATTTAAATGACGAGATAAAGTGGATATCCTACCAATTTCAAAAAATTTTGTCTTTTCTTTATTATGAAAAAGTATATTTAATGCATAAATTGTTCTAAACCGATCAATACACAATACAAACAAGTGAATAAACACAAAACGCAAAGAAAAAGATGTTTGAAAATATCAAGATTAAAACAAAAAACTATGGATGTTTTAACATAAATATAAAATTTCAAGAATCTTCATTTTCCTCGCCATCGTCGTTAGGTGTGGGTAAACAACCAAATTTCTTGTCCCATTCATGATAAGCCTAAAGGTAATTAATTACCTGCACAGACTCTTATTCATACCTTTAAATCCTTTTTCATTACCGTTGGCCGTACAACACAACAAGCCCCACGGAAATCAAAAATTGAGATCGGACGAATCTAATGTACTTTTTGTTTAAACATACAGAAAGCAAACTTACATTTTCAATCGGTACTGTTTCAATGTCATACTTCGAGTCATTAACAATATCCCTGATTGGGCCCATAGCTGCTTCACCGCATAAGTTTCTCATATCGGCTCCAGAATATCCCAAAATTACAAACATATCCCATGAAAATCAAGAGTGAGCAAACTAACCTCTAGTTATCTGCGCAATTTCACTAAGTTCTGAAATTTCAATGTTGTGAACATTTTGCCGGAGCAAGTTTTCAACCTAAAACCAAAATAAACAAAACAAAACAGAAAAGATTTAAACAATTTGTCTCCTTGCCAACTCATCGGGCAACGGTACGTAAAGTCTTTTCGCAAAACGTCGTCGCGCTGCCTCGTCCAGTTCTTGTGGTCTAAATTTGTCGAATAAAATCCCGAAAACGTTTCACTCTTCTATACCGATTGGTTGCTCCTAAAACCAGAAGTCTTTCTTCAGCAGAAGTTGCAACACCATCAAGCTGAACCAAAAATTCGGTTTTAATCCTAAATGCATTTTAAATCAACGATTTGTTTAATCAAAACCTTCTTGAAGATTCATGTTCCGTCTCACTTCGCGAACACAACAAGGAGTCGATCTAAATACATTTGACAATTCAGTTTGGCCAAAACTTTAATTTCGGTTTTAGTGACCTCATCAATGAAGATAACACTTGGGTCCTTTAGCCGAGCAACGGCGAAGAGAGCGCGCACAAGCTTTTCTCCTTCACCCACCTAAAGTGATCATTCAAAACAATTACTTTTAAAAATTTTAACAAAACGTACCCATTTCGATGTCAAAGACGATGCTGAGATGTTAAAAAACGTTGCTTTACATTGTGACGCCACGCATCGACCTGAATTAGTGCTTCATAAGATGTCATCACTGAACTTCATAATAGAAACGTTACCTATCATTGTTTTCCCGGTTCCTGGAGGACCAAATAGCAAGACACCTTTTGGGGGAGAACGAATTCCAGTAAAGACATCACTAAATTTGCGCTTTACCGCGAAGTTAAATAAAAGTACTCACGGCCTTTTAAATGGAAGAACCACAATTTCATAAAGAGCTTTCTTTGCCGCCTCAAGTCCTGCCACATCACGCCATTCAATTTCCCTTGTAACAGACATGATCTAAAAACCCTCCTCGCCTAGTTGCAACATAGATTCAACACACCTCACTTTCAATGAGACTAATGATATGCTCATCAAAGTTCTTTAAGCTGGGCTCTGCACGTAAACCTATAATATAATGATAAATTACACTTTGATCGCTCAAATATCAGCTGTACGGTAAAGTAAAAAGGAACCTTGCGGTTGATCTTGTTTTGCATTAATGGCCGCATCGTTAAACTTTGAATTTGACGCCATAAATGAACCATTGGGAGGCCTTGGTAGAGACAACTTTCTATACAATCAACAGTAGGAGTATATTATAACCCAACTCACTTGGTCAATGATGTCTGATCTTTTGGTGCATTAAATCTCGAAGTAGCTGCTTCAGTTGTCTGAGATCCGCCACTTTCATCTCCAGCAGTCGAGCCAGCATCATCGCCATTGTAAATTTTGCACATTCCTTTGTCAATTTTGCTCCCTCCAGCTGTTTTGAAATCGTTTCCATTGCTCATGATTGGGGTCATAAATCTGCTGCTAAAGACAACAAAATTATTCTCGAGAAAAATATCCCACTTTTTCGGCTTTTTCTGCGTAATTGTTGTCATGGTCCTTCGAACAGATAGTTCAACGTTTTCCTCAAGTTCCTTATGACGCCCACCATCCTAAACTCTCTTCATAACAAAACTAAACATAAATGCAACCGGATCTAAGATATTCAGGATTCGTCGCTTCGTGTTCATAACCAAGGGATCGCCGCCAAATTCAAAGTCCGGCTTAAATCTAAAAAGAAACTTAGAAATCAATAAATTTAGTTAAAACTTTGGCTGATTGGTTGGTTTCGCGCTTTTTGCTTTGAATAGATCGTCAATTTTTGGGTACGGTCTGCTTGTCGAATTCTTTGAAGTTGTCCTTTGATGTGATTCATTCTCGTCAGGATCCGAGTCAATGAAGGTCTAAAATTCAAAGATAAAAACATAAATTGATCAGATCAGCTAACAATTTCGCCATCAGGGGTTTTCCTTGATAAGGGCTTCGGGCGTTTTCTAGCAGACGAACTAAGATTTTCAATATAATTAAAACAATTTTTTTCAGACCCTGGCCGAAAAGAAAAAGGATCGTTTTTCGGCTTTCCATTTGGGGTCATCTAAAGGTTTCAATTGTACTAACAGAATAAAGAAACCGCCAAAAAACTAAATAAATCGTAAAAGATATAAAGCTTTCACAGGTGAATAAAAATTTGAATGCATTGAATTATACCATTTATTTCCGCAGAAACATACTACAAAGTACATGCAATTCACAAAATAACACTATGACACAGAAAAAGATGTATATACCTATTTAAACATCAATCAGTATTTGTTAGCTGTCTTTTATATCGATAGCTGAAATTTACTACTGTCTAAATAAAGGATCTGTTGAGATTTTAATTTCTTTTTCAAAACACCACGTCCTATTTACAATGCGTTACGTTAAAATTTTATTCATCACTATTGCTTAGAGACATAACTTCAAGTACTTTACAATTTTAAGGCCGAAGCACGGTCAAGCCAGGTCATAAAGCCACAAAAAGCTATTACAAGGAATAATTTCAACTCTGACCAGCATGCTTAACTACATTTTTACTAAATTCTCAAAAATTTACCTTCATCTTCTAGGTTTTCTTAAAAACTATAAAAGCATTTGCTAAATTTGACCTAAAATGAGTATCTTGCGATAGATTTGGGTAAAAGTTAAGCTAATCCTAAAGAAAACTATAAAAATTCGCAAAAATACTGCAATTGAATTCGTACCTTTTCATTTATGTGCTAAAATCCCTCAGAAATTCTCGCTTCATTTCTCGAGTGGCTTCAAATCGCTGGAGTCTTTTGCGTATCAAACTCGTGTCGAAGTCTCTCTAAAACAAAAAGATTATTAGAAATCTTTTAAATTAACGTAATTTATTTGAAAGCTTATCAAATGCAAGCAAATTGCATAAAATTCACTCAGACGCACCTTTTTCCCAAGATTCTTTGCCATTTTGGCAAATCCTCTTGTGCGGTCTCTTCAATCAGCGAATTCTCCTCTACTTCCACGTAGAGTTCCATTTTGGTGGTGGTGATCGTTGTTGTGAGCCTTGTCGCGTCCTGCAAGACTTCACATGGGCTCTGCCCTTCTTCCGTCCGAAGACGACCAACTTCGTGGTGTCGCGAACCGTGGCCACGCGATGACCGTGGAGTGGCGGGGAGTCGTCTAAAGAAAACAAACATTGCACCTTTACACAGTTGATGGTAATTAGCTAAAGGCTTCAATGCTTAAAGAATTGGTTCTTATTCATACTTTTACCGAAATAATAGAACGGTTAGAAATTGGTTAAACAGCCCGATTCATGGTCCATGTTACTGTGTAAAATTTAAAGCCGTATCATCCAAAAGCTTTACCTAGCCAAACGATGTTATTCCGCGTACGGGGAGGCTTTCGGCGCGTGTTTCGTGTTGCCAATCAGTGATGCGTTCAAAATGCACGATCATCGTCGATTTACCTGTAAAAAGTAAAACTTAACAAAACCATACATTGATTCAAAATGAAACGTAAGAAAACACATAAAAAGCACTAAAAATTATCAAAATCTTCACCAATTTCCCCATTTGTGTGCAAAATTTGACACAAAACACATAAGTGAAGCTGTGGCGTTTTTACCGACGAAAACTGGGTTATAAACAAAATTCATTGACTGAGTATCTTTAAAGGAGGGTTATTTTGCAAAAGTACAATTTGTACACAACTTGTAAAGTGCCGTAATGTTTTGCGACAGAGTACTGTAATTACAGTGACATTTTTGGGGGTGGGACAAATGCGACCTTTTTTTTTGCGCACCCGGCCAAAAGCGCACGTTTTTTTTTGCTGGAAAAGGCCTTAGGCAAGGCCGTAGAGCTTCGAAAATATTTCCATATAAGGGAATCGTATGCGTAGATTCCGAATTTCGACAAATCAGACCTCGCTGACACGTCAAATTTGGGCTAAAAGGCAAAAACTACGCAACTTAACGCTTTTCCGCAGTTTTTGCCTTTTAGCCCAAATTTGACGTGTCAGCGAGGTCTGATTTGTCGAAATTCGGAATCTACGCATACGATTCCCTTATATGGAAATATTTTCGAAGCTCTACGGCCTTGCCTAAGACCTTTTCCAGCAAAAAAAAGGTGCGCTTTTGGCCGGGTGCGCAAAAAAAGGTCGCATTTGTCCCACCCCCGACATTTTTGTCTGTAAAACTCTCGTAAGTTTTATTTTTGTGCATTCGTTTTATAACATTTGTTTGGTTTAAAATTTCAAAAAGATTGTAAAAAGAATAGCTTTATAAGAAGATATGCGAGTAATAAGGGGTTTCAAGCCAGTTTTGACACGCCCATAGCGAAACCACTTTGCAATCGTAGAGCTTGGGTCATGCTTGTTTGATCGTGTTGGGTACTTTCGGCGTTTTTCCGGCGAGCCAACTAAATTCCATTATGATTATTGCGAATTGCATGTGGAAAGTGTGTCGGTTGATCTTTTCAATTCATGAGCTTACACTTTCATTGCTTCTTTTTTTCGATCGGCCATTTGTCCCTTGGAGAACAAGCATTCCACAAAGAATTATATCGTCTTTCGGAGCCTTTTTTACATAACTTCAAAGCTTTTCAATGTCTTAAAGATTGATGGATCTTAACCTGCATTTCTCAAGCGAACCATCAGCTTTTGCTTGTTTATATTTTTCGATTGAATTGTTGCAACAAAGGGTGGTTAGTAGGATGAGTATTGGCAACAATATGAGAGCAATCAGCACGATAAAACCTAAAAAGTTATGCTTTGAGAATTGAGACCATTTTGGGGTGACCTTCATTTAATTTGCATTGACAAACGATTCCGATTGCCTTGTAGATGAGGAAAATTGCCTAAAGTTATTAAAATATGCAGTTTTCTCGAAATTTTGTTTAAGACTTCATTTTTAGCTCAAATTAAACAATTCAGTCATACATTGAAGACCACGTAGGCGACAAAAGCGAGTGAGAGAGCCGACAATAACACAACACCCATCCACTGTAAGTACATGGGTTTCAAAGTTAAATTTTAGTTACTTTAAAGAGAAGTGAGAGAAAAAGGAGACATCTGCTTCCATACCATCTCAATATTTTCGAGCATTCCGTCTAAATTCATCTCTTTGTTGTCATTCTTTTTTTTAGGTACCGTATCCTCATTCGTCCATTTTCCCTTTTCCATCTTGTTTCCATCAAGTTCCGTCGATTCTTGGGACTTTTTAGAATCGCTAGGTTGATAGATACATGGTTATTCTCTCATTTACCTCTTAGTGTCGCTTCCCTTTTTTTCGAGGGCTTTCGAGATCTCTTCAATAGTCGGAACTTTCACTTTCAAATGTGGCGCTTTTCTAGAAGCCAACGGAGGTGTGGGAAGGCTTGAAGGAATCGTGATTCGGACCTCATTTATCTCAGAGAACTCCTCTTCCAAAAGTAACTGAAAATCGATACTAGTTGAAACTAGGGCAGATAAAAAAACTTGTGCGTCTTTCTAAAACTTCTAAAGCAAAAGCTTCTATCCTCATCGTGCAAAAAACTCGAACCCTCGCCCTTTCGCTTACCGAACCAACTGTGGTAATCATTGCACTATAACGAGCTCCCTTACTTCAGGGGGAGTTAACTCCATTTCTATTCCAAACCTGAGAGGCGGAGGGTCTTCTATCCTCATCGATTTCCATCATTGTTTTCAGAAGATTGTACACTTCTCGACATTCATCCTTTCGTTCACTCAACAAATTTTGAGGAGAAACATTGAGTTGATTGTTTCGTGAGAATGAGATCAATTCCTGAATTTGTAGTAATTGGTTGCAATTGGTTGCTTGCTGTTGCTTGTAGTAATTGATTGCAAACCAACTTCATGTAAAGCCAAATCATCAAGATGATTGAATGAATCGGTCAATGGGGGCTTCAATGTTAACATCTCAACTAGGACACAACCACTTGCCCTAAAGCATTAGTTTACTTTTTTTGATTAGCATTAGTTTATTTTTTTGATCTCTTTCTTTTTACCAAATATCAGCCGCTTCTGTGTACGCAGATTCATCAAAAATTCTCTCAAGAATTTCAGGTGCTGTTGCTAAGAGAGTTCTTCGAAAATGTGAAATTTCACTTGTTGATGGCACATATTTTGGTTTCTCGATTGTCAGACTGGATGTACTGACCTTCCTCTCTTCTTTCTTTTCCACATTCACTTCATTTTTCTGGAATTCTTTTTTTAAAAAGCTTGAAAAGCTTAAAAACTTATTGCTTACCAAGTGCTCAATATTTTCAATACCAAAATCACATAATAAAACATGATTGTCGGTGCGGAGAAGAAGATTTGAAGCTAAATGATAATATTAGGGTGGTGCAAAAGAAACTGCCGATGGGTATCAGCTCTCATTTATCAGAAACGAGCGATGTTAATTGATTGTTTGTTAATCGAAAATGGAGTCTGTGGCCTCAACTCGATCGTTATTGCGTTTTGGTAACAAAAAAACGTTTCCGTTTTGCGAAAAAAAAGTAATAAGAGGTTCACAAGTCTCAAAAATCAAAATTAGTGATTGTTTCTTATGCAAAAAGTTTTTTTGTGCAGACGAAGGAAAGCCAAAGGAAAAGCTGTCCAACAACTAATCGAGGCTAACATTTAACTTTCACTAGATTACTAGGGAAAGGGAGAGGCGCGAGGCGAAATGAATTTTGCATAACTGCCTGCCTCATCCCAGTACTGAGCCAAAGGGATCCCCATGTCATGAGACTCTATCCTATTCTATTAGGGTGGTGCAAAAGAAACTGCCGATGGGTATCAGCTCTCATTTATCAGAAACGAGCGATGCTAACGGCATTATTTTTTTAATGTTTTGTTCGCATATTTGTTTGCTATTTATTTCGATATTTGAATTTTTTGGTTGTTGTTTATTTTATTTAAAAATGCTTATATTTTTTATTTAGATCATGGTCGCAGCATTACTGTTTAACTTCAAAATTGGAAAGTCTGCTGCCGAAACGCATCGTTCTCTCTGTGTTGGAGTCTGGCTCTAGTTCTGGCTCTGGATCTGGAGTCCGGCTCTGGTTCTGACTCTGGATCTGGAGTCCGGCTTTCTTTCTGTGCTGCTTTCGGAGATGGCAGTTTGTCTCTCAGGCAGTGTCAGACTTGGTTTCAACGATTCCGAGAGGGAGACGAGGCTTTGGAAGATTACGAGCACGGTTCGAGGCCAGAAGTCGTGAACGAAGCCAAGCTGAGGGACGTTATTCAGGCCGATCCATGCCGATCTGCTCGAAATCTTGCGAAAATATTCCATTGTGATCATGTCACCATCGAATGCCATTCTTTTTTTTGAATTTACCCTCAAATCGGCGGTTTCTTTTGCACCACCCTAATAGAATAAAGTCCATTGACAAAACCTTTAATATTTCTATGAAGAACTCGAGGTTGATTATTATGACAAAATTGTAATCCTTCTAGAAGATCTTTCATGTAAGAGAGAGCGGATTTGACCGAGAGTGCTCCATTTCGATGCATTTGATCCTAAAAGGATTTGCATATTTGTAAATTAGATCTCTCACACCTCTACCGTACCCATTGGACTGTAATCTCGAAATGAAATGATCTCCTCAGGTCCGATATAAAAACCATAAAGTCTGGAAAGTAATCATTGAGTTTAATTTCCTAAAAAAAGATAAGCATCATAAGAACCTGGCGATTCTTGAATGCACGAGATTTGCCATTTCCTCCATCTCGCGCAGAAAGGCGGCTTTTTGCTGAATAATTTCGATTCTATAAAGTCTAATTTTCTTGGCGAACCCCGGGTGCCCATTGTTGTGTATTTTCCTTTCTTTTTGCTCCAGTCCATACTCTCATCGATTCATTCTCAACATATTTTGAAACATCACCGAATCGTGATCGACCTTCACTCAAGGGGCCTAAAAAGAAGCAAATCTCAAATCTCAAATCCAGTAGTCCATAGTGGTGTACTGTAGTTTTCACCAACCAATCTTTCTCATTTCTTTCATCTTCTCCTCAGTGAATAGATGAGGGAAATGATTGGTGTAGGTGAAATGAGACGAATCAATGGATGAAGCTGATGAAGCAGGACTGGCTGGGATTGGGGTGAGAAGGCGTCTAGGAAAAATGAGTTTCTTTTTCCTAACCAAGTCCTCTGAAATAAATCTCATAAAAAACACATACAATTGTCTCGAATAAGTCGGCGCCGGTATCGGAAGACTTTTCATTTTCCCATGCAAATTCAATGTTTTCGGTGGTGAGAATTTCCTTGGTTCTTTTTCTTTTCCTCTTCTTCGAATTTCTTCATTTTCATCGTCATCATTTCCATCAAATCCTCCATTTTCATCATCGCTTTCTTCTTGAATCGTCGAGTGCATTTTGCGTAAAAGTGGACGATCTCGTTCAGGCATTTTCAAGAAAAGAGAATTGATGAAGACAATAAAAAATAAAAGGGAAATGTCAAGGAATCAATGTTTGCCAATCAAAAAATGCCAAGAAATCAATGTTTTCTCACATCCGGCCATTCCCCAATCACTTCTTATCTCTATTTTTAAGCAAAAAGAGAGGAAAACGAAAGAATTTTTCAACTTTCCCTGAAAAAACCGATTATATTGCTACTGGTGCAGACTTGATTAGCGATTTTTTTTTGTATATTTAAATATTTATACCCAACAAATATCTGAAATTAAAAAAAACAATAGACTGTCTCTTTTTGAGTATCCTATAATGGTTGGACATTCTCTTTATTGCTTCGGATGATTGTGGTGAGTGAATCGACAACCGTTCCACCAAGATTTGTTGCTGAAAATGGGTTCTTAAAGGTTGAGAGTCTTTTTATCTTCGGATCATCGTATCATCGGATTTATCTAGAGTGTATTCCTCTCAGCAAATGCGTTTTCTAAAGCGCACACTTGCGAAAAATTACCGGAGTTTTTACGCAAATTTTCGTCAAAAAATGGCGAAAAATTGTCGAACGACCATTTATATATGAATCCTGTAAAAGATATTCAGTCGTTTAAATGATTTGGTGGCAAATTCCTTTCAAATGTAAAGGTATTCAATTTACTCGACGTGTAAAGAGGATTACTCGTAGTTGCTCGACCAAAAACGTCAATTAATCGGGAGTAGGCTACTTTGCGCCAAATTTTTTGCTGAACTCGCCATACCTTTCTTCCGGCCAATCTTTATGGTTTTGGTGTCATTTTGTTACACTTGTTGAGATCTATATGACGAGTCGCGCAAAAGACCCAGTTGTGCAAAAAAAATTTGGCGCAAAGTAGCCACATCCATTAATCGAGTAAAAATTACTCATGTAAATTTTACTCGAATAATTACTTACTCGCAAGGAACACACTTTAACCGTAAATCATAGCTGACAGCTTACAGCTCAATCCTGGTTTCATTGACTGGGGCCTTGTGCTTCCTCAGCAAATGATACAAGAATTCAGCTGATTATTTTTAGATTTTTCAAATAAGCGTCTTTTTAGAAAAAGTATTAGCTGGGGAGAATGAAATCGAATGAAATCAAATCTTACATTTTATAAGTGAAACCACATGATTGTAGATTTTCTTCACAGGCGAGAGATGGAGGAAAAGATTTCGATAGAACGATAAAGCCTCTTGACCACTTCGCATCTAAGAAAACATTGAAATTAAAAAAACAATCTTGATAAAGTACGGTTAAATTTCGGTCAATGGATTAAACATTTCGGTTAATCCACTGCTTTTGGCTAAACGAGTGCTTTCTTGCTTGCTTTCTTTCTTGCTTGCTTTCTTGCTTGCTTTCTTGCTTTCTTTTCAAACCTGTGGTGCCAATTGCTCAAAATTGTATCCCGGACTCCACTCATCGAAAAGATCTTTTCTAAAAGAACTCTTTTCTATAATTTTAACCAAAAAAATTACTTATTAAAGAGTAAAATGAAAGAAGATTTCCGAAGTAATTCATTGTTGAGAAGATCCTTGAAAATTGAAAGAGTTTTGTCTTTGAGGTGACCCTGAAATGAGTGGGAGTGAATGACTTGAATCAATGAATCAATGAATGACTGAAGAATTGTTTGCTGAATTGACTGACCGAATAGAATGCACCCATACATAACTCTGACAAATCCACACAAAATATCACTGTCGTTGTGTAATTGAGAAATGAGGTCCATTTACGACGGAAAACATGATGACCCGGTAGTTCGTAGAGTCTGAAAAGTGATTGGAGATTGTTTTGATACGGAAAAGATTAGGAGTAGAAATTCTGGGATAACTTTTGATATCTAACGTTTGTTTAAAAACGGTTTTTGAAGGCATAATGGCAAGCACAACAACGCTTAGCTTCTAGCGATAGCTTCCAGCGATAGCTTCTAGCGATAGCCAACAAGACTTCTTCCTAGTTTTTACAGCGTATCAATGATACAGTTTGGTCTTAGAAATTTGCCTAGTTTCTTACTGTCTTTAGACAATTTTTATATATTCATTGCTCACTCAAATATAGCACTATGCATTCGAACAGTTTGTTGATCCAATCCAACGGTCATCGCATACATATAAAGGAGATCACTTTCTGTTGGCATGTAATCACGTCGAAGGATTCGTTCTGCATTTGCCACAAAACTGAAATCAATCATTGCTGAGAGTCTGAGCAGTCTTGTTGTTGTTCAAATCAAAGTTATGTTGTTAATTTCTTACAAAGCGTGATTTGGTGGTAATTCGGGTCGTCGATTTCGATTTAAAATTTCATTGTAAAGTGGAGAAGCAATCAATTGTTGGAGACCAGTCATTGCCTAAAAAAAAGGAAATTTAAAAGTTTTTGAGCAGTTTTTGAACAGTTTTTGAGCAGCTTTTGAACAGTTTTTGATTAAAAGATCTGTGATAAATTAGTTAATTGAAACTTTGGGCTTGTGAAAAAGGACAAAAATAGGACAAAAGTTCGCTCAATTTACAAACCTTGTCCGAGATTTGTTCTCTATGTCGAAAATCGTTGACGACATCGATTGCATCCTGAAATGTTGCTCTTGTTCTTGTTCTTGTCCTTGTTCTTGTTCTTAATTGCACTAGTGTTTCCCATTTTATTCATCCTTTCCAATATTTCACCTCATACAATTCTACGCCAATGCCCATTCGATCGGCTAATTCGGCGATCGCCTTGTACAACTCGAGAACATTGTTTTGAAGTGTGTGCTGATAATAGGGTAAAATTGGAGGAATTCCTCGGGCAATACGACTAAAATTGGGAAAATGATTTGAGTGATTTTATTTCAAAAACGTACACTAAATGCCGGCAAAGCGTCGATTTCCCACTTCCCATACACCCCAAAACGAGAATTTTGTATTCTCGATCGGGTTTGAAGAGACTATTCGCGAGTCCGCGACGTGAAGCCGAAGCTGAGGCGCCCATCGATCCGATAAAGAATATGAGGCAACGGATGCACGAATTTTATCTTCTATAAGGGAAGCATAAAGCATATAAAAAAGCAAGAAGGGCATATCCTTTTTTCTTTTTTATTGGTTCCATATATAAGATTAATTATTTTTCCCTAAAACTACAAATGGGTGTTTGTAGAAAATTCCCAGCTGAATTGCAACGTCATCGCATCTGTTTTTCAACCCAAAATGAGTCAGAAAATGTTCAACAGTTTAGTTTTTTGGACTGTCTATTGGAGAGAAGATTGTATATTTAAAGGGTTTTCTAAAAAGTGCCCTCGGATAAGCTACCATATCTCGTCCTCGGATAAGCTACTTGTTTCGGGAAACAACGGTGAATCTTCCTTTAAACAACTCATAAACCCAACTCTTGAAGCTCATTCATTTGTCATTCATTAGTCTTTCATTAGTCTCATTCATTAGTCTCATTCATTAGTCTAAAAAAAGTAAAAAGAATACTGTAGCTTGTCCCTGATAAGCTGATTGTGAGCACTTTTTAGAAAACGTTTTAGTCAAGAAAAGCTAGAGCTGGTTTACTTCAGTCTTCAACTTCAATCACTTCAGATTTTAAGTGTTACTAAAGACTTTTATCAATTGATTATTTGCAAACTAAAGATAGATTCGGGAAGAATTCTGAAATGAGTGCATGAATCTGTTAACGGATAACTTTTTCATTCATCTATCTATCTAATCAACTCACCAACATCTAACCAACTCACCAAATTTCTCTTGTCTAAGCACTCATTCACACTGTTCACTTTTCTTCTCTTCTATTTTGTTTTGATTGAGTTTCCTCTAAAGGTTTTCATTTAAGAAATCATTCGAATTTCCTTTCCAAACAAACCTTTTAACAAACAATCACTCATATATTTTCTCTTCTTTACAATTTATCCGATTCAAAATCCGAGAATTTGCAGATTTCCCACTTTTCCCCAACTCAAATCGATTTGCGATGCTGAAAATTGAATTTTTAAGCATCTTGAAACATTTTTATGTAATACGGGGTTCAGAATAAAATCAAAAATCAAAATCAGTAGCAATTTTAGGAAAAGGAAATGAAAACTTTGCAGAAATGCGAAAAAAAGAGAGCTTTTTTGAAAAATGGGCTACCTAATTGAAGCCGAAAATTTGCACTTTTCGATACACATTAAAGTCATAAAGCATACATGTGAAACGGACTCGGAAATCGATTTGAAAAGTCTAGGCAGGGTGATTTTTGATTTCATTTAGACGAGAAACACAAAAGTACAATTTCAATGTCATTAAGACAGAAACAAGTTCCTCAACTCACAGCTTCAAGTTCAAGTAACAGCCTAAAGTAATAACTAAAGTAACTTTTGACGAGTTCAGTACTTTTCAGTAACTAAAGTTATTATGTTTTGAACAACATCTATTACAAAGTGTTGCTTTGTTGAAAGTTCTAAAAACTCGTCAAATCAGAATCCTTTCGTAGTGTCAATAGGTTGAAGAGGAAAAGAGGATCTTTCAGAAGCCTATAACTCACAACTTAGAGCCTACAATAACGTGATCTCTACAAAAATGTTCAGACTGAAATAGAAATCGATTGATACGACTAATGAGGAAAATTTTATTTCTTAGAAAAGCGAAGGAAACATTGTAAAAGTTAGACGGGAAAATCACACAAAAACTGTGCGTTAGTTTTCTTTTTTCTAAAAAAGAGTGTCTAGGGAGCAATTATCGCTTTTGGTACACGAAAAATCTGAAAAGGAAAGAAGGGAAATAATGAGTGATTTGAAAAGAAAAAAAGAAAGAAGAGATACAGAGCATTTCATTCAAATGAAGACTTCAATTGAAGAGAAGAGTGAAGAGAAAAAAATGAGAAAGAAGACGAAAAGAATAGTTTTGATTGAAACATTACCGTAATACCTGTAAATGAGACACAGGTATTACGGTAGTCTTTTAAAAGCTTTATCATAATTACCCCAAGTCTATTTTGTTTAAGAATCTGTGTCCAAAAATCAAAGAGGAAGATTAGTTCCGAAAAAAAAGTTGATGAAGCGTAATCGACAGGAAAAAAAGGGAAGGAAAGACAAAAAAGGAATTTCAGATGAGACTAATTAAGCTCATATATAACAAGATAACAGTTTATCCTTTACAAGTACGGGCTTCGTCAAATATACAAATCCTTTGGTTTCGTCGATCTTCAATAATTCTGGATGGTTAAATATGAGGGGTGACTTGAAAGTGATTGAAAGAGTTGAAAATTGATTTTGGATGGTTCAATTTGATGAAAGCACATTGTACCATTGAAATTTTATTTTACTTTATCGTAATAACTAATTCATAATAAGTAGACAAAGCAGCCAAAGCAGCCAATTAGTTTTTCAGTTTTTATAAAAAAACCACTTATGATCAGATACTTGATTTACATTCAATCTTTTGCAATAAAAATAAGTAACGAGCATTTCGGGTTTTATTTGAATCCCACAAATTATCGGTTTCATTTTGCTTGTAAAACGGTTATTTGGGGGCGTTTTTGAAATATGAAAAACACTTTTCGAAAAAATGATGAGCATTTTGGAGCTGCAAATAAACTTTCGGGTTCTCAGGTGTGGTTCAGTCTCAGATAAACTTGACTTATTGCGATTGACTCCGTAGCATAGTACAAGGCTTTATCAACTAAAAGACTTTAAACTACTGTAGAAGACTATGAAACGCTTATAGCGCAATTCAAATCTGTAGTCTATATGAATGGAATTAAAGGCTAAGAAAGAGTGATAGATATCTAAAGTACAAGTATGACTTAGATAATTTGCTATAGTCTAGAATGAAATAGATGTGTGTGCAATAATCCGTCAAGTTGGCCCCGATAATCTTCACAATGAAAGCGAAACAAAAGACGGCAATGATTTGTGATGGATGAAAGAGATCCTCAATTCGCACTTTATGTCGAAGCTTTCTGGGAACTTTCAATGTAGCTTCTAGACATATTTTCTGATAGTACATCGTTTTTTCTCAACAAAAGCGTTAATCTCATACAAAACTGTCTGCTAATTGAAAGTCCCAAAAGAAGAAATGAGAGGCTCAAAGGATATCATTAAAAATATCAAATAATGTTTGTTTGCAAAACGATTCTCTAACATCATTATAATGTCCATGTGCAGTCAATATTTTCTTTTTTTGTCGATCGCAATAATTTTTCTTTCGTTTCGTTTTCGCTCTAATTGAGCCGTCGGGGGACCGCGGGAGACCCACTCGTGTTTTTTCTTTCACTCAACAATTAAATGACAAAAGACTCGAAAGAAGGACTGGATCCGTGTAGATCGTTTGTTTTCTAAAAACGTTGCCCCGGTAACTTCAACAATGAAACAATTGTGGATCCTTTTGTCGATTATCTTTTTGCAAAAAAGAATGACTTTATTAAACTTTATCACAGAATTTCAAGCATACGAAATACGAAAATATTGTATCATAAAAAAAACTGAAAGAACCAAAAGGAAACCAGAATCTCGTATATATATATTTAAACTACGATTTAAAAGTCACACAATACGGCAAGGATGTTTAGGTGTCTATAGAAATAATCCAAACTAGCTCAAAAACGAATCAAAAATATATTATAGGTACAAAAATGAATAAGGAATAATGTGCTTGTTCAAGTATAATCAGCAGTAACACATCCTTTCGGATTTAGCGTTACCACGTCACAAAGATACTCGAACGTGATGTCGAAAGACATACAGCACATGTGAAGAACAAAGACATACTTTAGAAGGGTGTTATTTTAGTTGTGTCAAAGTCTTCGACGGCCCGGGCACGATCCGGACATTTAGCTAAAGAAAATCATATTACAAGAATATTACAAGTAAAAATAAAACTCACGATCCTCATCCACCTCCGCTCATCGGTGGGCAACTCATTCCGGAAGATTGTGGGAGTCTACCAATTTGTCGCCGTTGTCCTCCACCACCTCCACCGCCGCCATTTGCATTGCCTAAAATAAACCACAATCAGAAAAGGAATATTTTTTTAATCCTCTTGATTAAGCCAATTAAATCCAGATTAACCCACCTCGAAGATGTGAACGATAATCGTCGGATGTCGGTGTTGCTTGTCTTTTCGACTTTGATGAGTCCAATCCAAACAATGTTTGGAAGCTAAAATATATAATAGAGATGTATTATAAAGATAAACGTACAATAAAACAAAGAAGTTCAGAAGTCCCAACAGATAACCGATTACCGTGTTTTCTTTCTCGACCACTTGGCCATCTAAAAGCAAGTTATTATAGAGGAAATTCGAAAAAAAACTGACTCGAATTGATGTAGACCATTTTCAGATTACCATCAAGAGATCTTGTTGAAGATCAAACTAAAAATTAAAAAAATTTTTTGCCGGAGATTGCGTAATGAATGAAAAAGTTGAAATCGGAAGAAAATATAGGGTCTTTACACTAATACTAAAGATGACTATCAATATCTGGTTTGCAATGATATGCTAAAACTTAAATTTAACGGGAAAGTGAAAGGGAAAGCCGTGTGTCACACGGTGTCATCAATTCTACGCAAGAGAAAAAAGCGGAACCAATACACGCTCCAAACTCCATTTCAATCGAGTGCTCTTTCGATTAGGGAAACTCTTTTAAATTTTTACATTTTTGCATGAATTCGACTATGTGTAGTTTTAGAAATTTACTGAAATTATCCTTTCGCCTAATTTTAAAAAGTGACGTGAGAAGGGGGAAAATTGGGGTAGGCTAATTTCTGCCATTTTATCTGCGCAACTCGCCATAACTTTTTTCTAAGTCGGTCTAATCTTTATGATTTTGGTTTCATTTTGGTACACTTATTGAGATCTACAAAATGACACCAAAATCATAAAGATTGGGCCACTTAGAAAGAAGTTATGGCGAGTTGCGCAGATAAAATGGCAGAAATTAGCCTACCCCGAAAAATTTTCTGATAAAGTGACAAACAATAAACTTTATAGAAGAAAATCAGGAGTGCTATATTTAATTTTTTTACGTTCTAAAAATTATATCTGGCATAATTTCGACTACGGCACTTAACGGTATTTAAGAAAGAAATTTGCCAAAATTTATCACTTTTTTTCCTTGAGGTTCATCGGGTTTTAGCTACTTACCACAAGTGTGCCACAAGTTTCTTCATTTCTTCATTTCTTTTTTTGGCACAATTTTTGAAATTTTTGATCGTGTAATGCTTTAGATGGCAATGTCGGACTCCGATTCAGATCACGAGGTCAAGAAAGGGACAAAGAAACAAGTGAACTTTTTTGTTTTACGGCACGATATTTTTGGTCAGCCAGGCAACTCAGATTTTTAGAAGAGAAAGCAAGAAAAGGAAAGCTCATCCGATGAAGGTGTCAATGATCCGATTCCCGTCAAGAAGGCAAAACCGACTTCCTCCAGTAACAACAAAACCAAGATCAGTGGAAACGATGTAATCATGTTTGATCGTCATACTTATCAGGATTAATTTTAGGCAATCGAACTCGGAAAAATGAAGTTTGTCACGATCTCGCAATTCAGTGGCAGAAAATTTGTGGATGTTCGTGAATATTACAACGATAAGGCAAGTTTTTTTTGCGCATTTTAACAAGAAAGATACCCAACTTTTTATTTCCTGCAGTGACTAGATAGAAGTTAAAAAGTTAATTGTATATGATTTAGGGATCAGGCGAAATGAAACCAGGAAAGAAGGGTATTGCTCTCTCAATCGAACAATTCACCGTCCTCAAACAAAACATCGACGAGATCGAAAAAATGTTCTCGCGTACTTAATGCTTAAAACAAGCTTTACCCTCAAAACTTTGTTTTTTTTTTGCTTTTTGGCTTTCCATGTTGTGATGTTATCATCGGGTAATCATTCAAGCATCTCAAATATTTTTTAAATAAAGTTACTTCAATATGCTATTAATTTTGAAAAATCGTTGAAATCGTTATACTTCCAACCCAAAGGTGCACTTTACTGTTTCTTCCAATCTCCAATTTTAGTGATGAGTCATTCAGACGATGAAGAGGTTGACTTCACTGACATTCATCAAGCTTCAAATCGAAAAAATAAGAAGGCAGGAGGATGGCAAGCTCTAGGTAAGTCTGTTTAAAAGTGGTTGACTTAATATGGTATCTTTTAGGCTTCGATCACACGGTTAGCAAAGGCATTGAAAAGAAAGGCTTCAAACAACCGACTCCAATTCAAAGAAAAACGATTCCCTGCATTTTGGATGGAAAAGACGTGGTTGCTATGTCGAGAACCGGATCGGGAAAGACAGCTGCTTTTGTTATACCAATGCTGCAGGTTCTTATCTTGAGAAGGTTTTTTTAAAATATCTTTAGAAGTTAAAACGACGAGAAACGGTAGGAGCACGTGCATTGCTGGTAGCACCATCACGTGAATTGGCTCTTCAAACATTTAAAGTAGTTAAAGAAGTAAGTATTAAAGCTATTTATGAATTAAAACCTTTCATGTTTTGGCATTGATTTTTTAGTTGGGACGTTTCACCGGTCTCCGATGTGCTGCAGTGGTTGGCGGTGACCGAATAGAAGATCAATTTGGCACAATTCATGAAAACCCTGATATGTAATCATTCTTTGTGAAAGCTTATCATATGAAAAATTTAGCATCATTGCTACTCCTGGCCGATTACTTCATGTGCTTCTTGAGATGGATCTCCGATTGAAACATGTTCAATATGTTGTCTTTGATGAAGCTGATCGTCTTTTTGAGATGGGATTTGAGCAGCAACTTCTTGTGGGTAAAATTGGACTGCTTTTAAAAGCCTATTTTAGGAAACGTTAAAGCGATTACCGGAATCTCGTCAGACTCTACTATTCTCAGCCACTTTGCCTAAAATCCTCATTGATTTTGCAAAAGCCGGTCTCAGCGATCCAGTATTGGGTTTGAGACTTAAGCATTCGTATTTTTTTAAAGGTGTAATTTAGTGCGCTTAGACGTAGATGAGAAAATTTCCGAACGGCTTTCAATGGCGTTTTGTACATGTCGAGCGGATGAAAAGCTTGCAACGTTGTTATGGTTGTGCCGAAAAATGGAACACGAAAACCAACACACCGTGATTTTCTGCGCTACAATGAAGCACGTCGAGTGAGCCACTTAGAATCTTTTTTTTTGCATCCTGTTTAGGTATGTTGTTGCTATTTTGAATCGTGCGGGCATTGACGTGTCTTTTCTGTACAGTCAACTCGATGCAACGGCACGAAAGCTCAATATTGCAAAGTCAGTTGGGTTTTTTACCTTTGCGATCTATTGTTTTTACTCTAAATTACAATTTAGATTCCGGGAAAAAGAGACAAAGCTTTTGGTTGTGACAGATGTTGCTGCGCGGGGCGTTGATATCCCACTTCTTGATGTGGTTTGTCAAAGTTTTTGTATTTTTGTATTGCTATTTAGGTTATCAATCTTCATTTTCCTGCAAAAGCAAAACTCTTTGTCCATCGGGTTGGTCGGGTGGCACGGGCTGGTCGTAAAGGAATGGCAATTTCGCTTTTAGTTTGTTTTGACAAAAAAAGATCAATAAAGTTCGTATAGGCTCCCGATGAGATTCCTTATTTGTGTGATCTATTTTTGTTTCTGGGAAAACCGATGATTTTTGCAAAGGATACTGATGAAATGGAAGGTGAGCCATCAATTTTTTGATTTTTAAAGTAGTCCGCATTTAGAAAAAAAAACGTTAATCGGCCGTGTCCCATCATCAGTCGTCGGTGTTGAGATTGATTTCCTTAAATCTATCCACGACAACAATGAAGATTTAGTCTGTGAAAAATGAATTTTGGAAAACGATTCAATTTTAGAAAGATCTTCGGCACAAGGCGATCAATGCTATGAATAAATTTACCCAAACGAGAACGCCTCCATCAGCTGAAAGTTCTAGGAGAACTAAAGATGAAATCAGGTTTGAGCTACTTTTTTTTCGAAAAGTACTACGACTTTCTTAGAACCAAAATCTTCGAGAGCTCCATCCATCCATATTTGCGTGTGAAAGGCGATGCAGAGAATCAAAAGCTTCTTAACCAGTTGTCAAATTATAAGAGTAGAGCGGTATTTTTTTTTAATGAATTTAATTAGCATTTCTAATTTAGACAATTTTTGAGTTGCATGGTGGAGAAAAGAAAGAAGCGGCACGAGTGATGCGGGATAAACGACAGCATCATCAAAATCACATTGAGGTACTTTGACGGTTAACTTGTCATTTAAACGATAATCTGTTAAGGAAGTGAGTGAAACAAAGGGTCGAGAACAAGTACGTTTGATAGAAGAGGAGGCCGCAAAAGCTAAGATCAATCTGGACGAAGAGGCTGATGAATTGCTTCTGGTGACATTTTTTTCCTTAGTTTAAAGTAATTTTTGTTAGAAGTCGACCTTTGCCTCGGTGATCGGTTCATCGGGAACAAACAAATCGATTGGAAAATCTCGAGAAAATGAGCGACGGCGGCAAAAGGAGGAACATTTCATTCCATACATCCCTTCAGATCACCAGGCGGAAAAACAACTTCAAGTCGAAAAGTAGGCGTTTAGTTGCTAAAGTGGTAAATAAAGCTTTAGGCACGATTTTGCAAGAGAAGCAGCCAAGGCTTCAGTGGATATTTGTGGAGATGATGATCCAAGTCTGAGGAAATCACAAAGCACAAAGAAATGGTTTGCATATTCAGCCAATTGCATACGCTTTTGTTTCTAGGGATCGCAAATTGAAGCGATTTGTTGGAGCAAGCGGTGACGAGCCAGGAAGCAAAAGAGTTCGAACCGAAGAAGGAACTTGGTGAGGAAATTGAGGCGATTCTAGAAAACAAGTTTGTTTTAGGGTACCTGCTTCGTATAAGTCTGGCCGGTATGAACGCTGGAAGCAAACAAGCAAAGTTTCTTACGAAAAGGTAGGTACTTGAGACACTTATTTGTTAAATCAGTACCAGATTCTAAGCTTTTTAAAAAGGAAAATTTTAGGGCGGTGAAGACGGTGATGGTGAGGAAAATTCGGATGTTCAGAAGTTTAACCCCAACAAAAAATTCAACCGATCAATGAAAAACCAAAAGAATACTAGGTATGCTTTGCAATTTTACGCCTCTATAAATGCTCTCTAGAAACGAGCTCAAGAGTAAGGATGAAATGTTGAAAGGACGCAGACGTAAAGAAAAAGTTGCCTCCTATCAAAACTATCGAGCAAAGGAGAATGCAAAAAGGTCTCAAGCCAGTGGAGGATTCAAAGGAAAAGGACAAAAGAGAAATAGAAAATGATAACTGTTGTTTATTGTTATTCGTTTTTTGAAAAGTTGTTATTTTACCGTTTGTTGATTTTATAAAAATTTTATTCAGCACCAAATTTAACGATGAGTTCATGAGTTGACCTGGGTTAAAGAGAGCTTCTCACTATCAGTAGTACCAAAATTGTAATGGAAATATTAAACATTAAACAACAGCGGAAAACCTTTATGTCGTGCCATGGGGCTTTTAGTGGTCGAATCAGAGAGAGTTAATGTTTTGAGTAGTTTTTTTGTATTCAGATATTCAGATAAAGATATTCAGTTAACCAACTGAGTTTCACTCGACACACATTTTGAGTGCTCATTTTATCTACGAAATATTAACTTTTTTTAAAAACTGTTTCACCCATCATGTAGCCAAAAACGCAAGGAATTTTTTGATATAAAACTTGAACCGGCTTGGTTTTTTGGATTTTGAGAAATTTGACGGCGCTGTTTTGAACGTTTTCTATTATGGCGCTGTTTTGACTACCCCCCGCTCAAAAGCACTCTCAACAGCACAAACTAGTTTTTGAATGTAGGGTAAGTAAATGCAAAATTGGAAACGATACATTTAAATTTTTATCAAACCCGTAAAGAATAAGTACACTCGTCTTAACACAATAACTTTAGAATGATACATTTTAAGTCGGATACTATGAAATGATCTAATTAATAAAAAGTAAGAGAAGATTTAAATTGGATACTGAGAAATGATCTTATTTAACAAAAGGTACACACAAATGAAGGAAAAGTAGAAAATGGTGCTGTTGAGCAGAAGAGAGTTCCAAAGGGTCGACCAGCGCACTAAATTTTAATTTGAGATCAAAGCAAACCTCCGATTAAACTGTATGTTTTTACTTTAGCATTGCAGAACGGTTTAGTTAGCTCTAGTAATAAAACAAACTTACTCAATGTACGAATTTGATTTTGATAAGCAGATACCGCAGGCACTTGTGAAATGACATTAAGTAGCTGACTTTCGCCGACCGAAGATGACTAAAATATCCAGATTTAATATCAAATTGTTACAGTTATCGAATAAGATAAGTAATTAAAATCAAGTAATAATTCTTACTTCGGCTTTCAAGAAGAACTCCAATGAGACAAATCCAATCAACCAGGGCAGGGTGATATTGAATTCGGAATATGTAGTGACGACTGTGGCGAGGATGGCGGCTAAATCGTTGAAGTTAAGAACAATTCAAATCAAGAATCATGCGCTTATTTTATTCGAATAAATTTTTACCTAGAACAAAAATTATTTCGTAGCGACGATTCGCGAGCGATTTACGCCATAAATCGGTACCATCGACTGTCTTTGAAGCCTAAAAATGCTTTTACAAACAGGTATTACCGCAATATAGATATCTGCTTGGTTTTTGAACGCACTATTAAACAATAAGTCTACCTACCTCTTCTGTTAAAGTGGGAGCAAAGTTGTTACTCGTCGCAGCAATTGGTGAGAGCGTATCGGCGAGTTGACTCATTTTCTCGATTCCTTCGATCGAGCCTGGCTCTCCGCCTTCCAAACATGGGGCTCGTCGATTTTCTTCTGTAAAAATAAAGTTAGTGTTTTGTTACAAACAAAGGCTTGCGATTTTTAACTACTGCAACTTGCATTACAATTACCAAATTAACCCGTGCTTTGTAACACTTTTCTAATGAGTCACAGGTATCTTTAAAACAAATAGCGATCGGAAAACGATACAAACCTCCACTTGGTCCACTCAATATTCTAGCCAATCGTTGTTCTCCCGACGCTGTTATTCGGGCTTTTCTTCGCGCTCGCAGTTCTTCGGCCGTCAATTCACCGGATGCCATCGTCTAAAAAATCGTCGTTTATACATTTAAATATGAGAATTTTTAAGAAAACTAGCCTCTCGTGACTCTCTATTTTTAAGAAAGTCACAAAAATAAGTGCACAATAGAAAGCATAGAAAATGGTACAAAATAGAATTCGGTTTTCAGTTCAGTCCAGCTAAACCAAAGGAACAAGAATTCGACGGCCTGTGCAACTACCCAATTTCTTTTTATCGTGATTTTTGGCTCCAAAAATGATAGGGAAAATATATACATGAAAAAAAATCTTTGTCAATATAAAAAAACGATTCCGTGCGACAAACTACAACAGGGAAAGATTGAAAGAAGAGGGGGGAGTGTTATTACCACAAACAAGTCACACAAATTTCAATTTCACGATGCACTTTATGAAGAAATGGATTTTTAGCCGAGATGTTCTTGAGAAAAATTTTATTCAGCGAGAAAGAAAGCAAATTTTATACATTTGCATTTGAAAAAGGGTAGAAAAGCGGTAATTTTACAAAATTTATCTTATTAAAGTTAAAAAGGTAAACACGACAAAAGCGTGCAGGATAAAGGCAAAATCACGAGAAGACAGCAGAAATTTGGGAGCTGGTCAAAATAGCGCCGGTCAAAATAATGCGTTTGCCGTTAGGCTTATCTGTGTTTCTTATTTTGATTGGATGTAGAAAAAAAAATTAGCTATCTGCTGAATTTTTTGAAGCCGTTTAGAACAAATCTGAGATGAGAAAATGTCAAGAAAAAAAACGAAAATGAGGTTAACTGAGCTTTTCTCGAAACCAATTCTCTTTTAAGTGATCCCAAAGCATACGAAATGTGGGTAATTTTATTCAGCATCCAATAAGAATAAGAAACATATAGAAATTTAACCGCGTAGGGGCTATTTTTGGTGTGGCGCTGTTTCGTCCAACTCCCAAAGGTTTGCGACAAAAATAAGTGCACAATGGAAAGTATAGAAAATGGCATAAAATAGAATTCAGTTTTCAGTTCAGTTCAGCTAAACCAAGGAAGAAAGAGTTAGAGAGGGTACCGTATTTCTTCGAATAGAAGACCGGGTAAAGAGTATCATCGCGTACTCCTGCGTAGCAGCCATTTTTAAAATTTCTTTTCTGCATAAAAGCTTTCAATGAAGTGCTATAGAGCTGGAAAATGGCTCAAAAATCTGTTAGCTCATGTGGTATTTTTGAGTCATTTTCCAGCCCTATAGCACTTCATTGAAAGCTTTTATGCAGAAAAGAAATTTTAAAAAGGGCTGCTACGCAGGAGTACGCGATGATACTCTTTGCCCGGTCTTCTCTTCGAAGAAATACGGTATTTTCAACTATCCAATTTCTTTTTATTATTATTTTTGGCTCCAAAAATGATAAGGAAAATAGTATCCGGGTACGCGATTATCGTATTTACAATAGATATAAGTAGAGAGATATAGGTAAACTCAGATAAGACACTTGACACAAATTCTAAAAGTATATTCAGCCTGAAATCGTTTCAAAAATAAGTGAACAAAGATTGTTAAAGGTACCCGAAAACAAACCCAAAATGATGCATGCATATTAAGGAATTACAGTAATTGAACGCTAACAAAAATAAAACGCTAACAAAGTTTAAAGTTCATTTCTATTCATTTTCGCTTTTCGCTTCTTTTCCTTATTCTCCGGTCTTTTCTTTGTCTTCTTTATCTCAATTTCCTCTAAATTTTCGTACAAAACAACGTCTTTGTCAAGTTACCGTTTTGTTTTATTGTCTCATCGAAAGGATTTCTAAAATCTGTGGCCTTAGCAACGAAGTCAAGTTCCTGAAAAGTTCTTGATTGATTCTTGATTGATTCGTGTTCTCTTTTCATTACAAACCTGAGCCATTACATCAACAATTTGCAACGTTTCTTCATCAAGAACATTCATCGATTTGGTGAACTTTAACGCCCATTCTGATTCCTATAATTATTTATTTTAGAAATGATTTATTGGATGATTAAAATAGGTCAAAATTTGTGCCCCTGGGAAAGATCTTGGGCCGGGAAAATAATTTCACTTTTAGACATGTTTTGTTTTGGGCCAAGGGCTACGTTGAAATAGTTTTTAACAATTTTTATTTTTGTTGGGACCCTTACCTACTTTTTTGACCGATCAATTTTGGGGGGTTGAAAATTAGAAGACCATGGTCTTCTATTAGAATTATTACGGTAGGTCAAAAGTTAGACTACCTACCGTAAATACTGTAATAGTACCCCACCCCCCTCGTACAGTCGCGTAGTCGCAAAAGTTTTTTAGTATTTCATTTTTTTCAAAGCACCCGTACTTTCAAAAAATGCGTCTTTGGTATCAATAAATAGCCCTGAATTTCAGCTATTTTTTTGATACCTAAGCGCGCATTTTAGCATAAACCAGTGTCGAGAAAAACGCGTCCAAAGCTAGACTACGCAACGCTCCGCACCGTCATTATGGGGGTGGGGTACTATTACAGTATTTACGGTACTTAATATTAGATATTTGATCAACTATCATCTTTTTACTCTACGAAATGCATTTGATTTCTGGTATAAACTTTTGCCATCTTGCATTTGCTTTGATTATGCACAAATATCAAGCGTTCTATTGAAACTACTGTACGTGGATATGCATTATTGGCATATCCACGTGGATATGCATATTTAGCAAAATCTATTGTAAATCTTTACCACTTTTATCATTGGTTCTTTCAAGAGAATCCCCTTGCAAATAGTCGGAAAATGTGCAACAAAATCGGAGAACAGAGCCAAATTCTCGAATACCTAAAAGAAGTCTACGTTTTCTCATTTTTATAGCTCACCTGACTGATTTTCTCTTTCAATTTCTCACTTTCGAACCAATTATTGTTTGTGATTGTCGGCGTGACCGTATCGATTTCTCGACGTGATTCAGCGAAAACTTTTTGAATCGCCGGCAGAGATGCCTCTAAATATAGAAATAAATATAGAAAACAAATATTTAAATCAATTACCCAATAGCTTTATCCTTTTCGGTAGCTCCATTGAGATCAATCGTTTCAGTGCCAATTTCTGTTCGACTCTTTTCTGTTTGAATAGCTCGATATCTAAAATTCGTTTTTATTGAAAAGGAGATCTTTCGGAAACAAACAAATTTTTCTTTTATCCAAAATTCCTTCTTTGTGATCATCGTGTGGAATATCGCTTGCACTTTTTTGAAAAGTGTTTGGGGAATCTAATTTGCAGAGATAGACAGGAAATAATGTGAAAAGTAGAATCAATTTCAAATAGAGCATCAGATTTTAGTTGATAAGGATATTGGAGGGGAATGTAGAATATGGGAGAGGAAAGGGTGATTTGTTGTTTGTATTACAGGTAAGAAAAGGAAGGGGAAATGAGGAGAGAGAGAGAAAGGCAAAAAAGATGGGCACTTTTTAGACATTTCTACAGTTTCTGGGGGATGATAAAAACGGTTTTATTAGGCTTTTCGAAAGAAAGTGTTATAGTGTCAAAAAACGGTGTTATTAGGCTGTCCAGAAAGTCTTTTCGTTCCTTTTCGTACTTCCCTTTGAAAAATAATAAATTCACTAATTAACCTATAGTTTACTCTAAATAAAAAGTGTTTATTGTTCAATTTCCATCTTTTCGGTTCACTTACAAGCAAATTCGAGAGAAGAAAACAAGTGTTTTTCGTAAAAATCTATAAAAACCTCTACGAAGAAATTGGCTGAATCAATTTCTCTGAAAATTTAGCTATATACCAAACTTTTTATGCTCTATCATTTATCTATTGACATGAAGATAGGTTTCCTTAGTAAAAAGTGCCTAAGCCGCATCATCGAACCGTCGCCCTTTTGACCACCCGACTTCATGCTCCCAAAAGTCAAAGAAGTTTGAGTCAAAGAAGTCAAAAATCCCTTTATCGACTGAGAGTGAAAGAATTTTCTTTGACAAAGTTTTAACTCCTCTTTGCAAAACGGCACAAGATTGGGTTTCATTTGGTGAGCACGTCAATGGTGTACTCTCGAGTCATTAGAACGAGAGAGGTCGAGCCGTCAACAAGTACATGTACGCCATAAACGAGAATGGCCACACATAACAGTTGTGTGGTCGTGAAGTTGATCAAAGAAGGATAGAGGGGAATTTGATCAGAAATAATCATTAGAGTGGCTCCTGTTTGTGAAACAAATTAATTGGTTAAAAATTTGCATTTAAAAAACAATTAAGCAAGACAAAACAGCAGACAAAACGCCGGTCAAAGGACCGATTGATAGATTTTTAGGCAGATGACTGAATATCTTGTTTTCTCTTGTGGGCTAATAATTTACTATAAATATCCGCGCAAATATTTATTTTCTATTTTCATTTTCAGGCAGTTCACCGACACCGAGAGAATTTGAAGATTGACTGCAAGAATTTGGTGCTCTTCGTGAAGAGAGGGAATAATTCGATGAGCATCAAGCTCATGGATCCCTTTCACATAGAATACAAGATACAAAGAAACTTGAAATTTTACGACGAGGCCTACGTTGTTTGAGTATTTTGTAATTTTTGTATACACGAAGGCTTTTAGTGTAGTTGAAACGCTTAAAAAAATTTTTTTTCGTATCGCTTGTAAACTTTCGCGTTTTCGCGTGTCAAAATTCTTTTTTTAGATAAGCGCTCAACCAATTCAATGAAATAAAATTTCTAAGCTAAGAAAACTCACACCTCTCAAGCGATAAGAACTTTTGAAAATAATTCCATTCTCGGGTTCGTTGGCTTTTCGGAGCGAAAAACGAAATGGCTGGTGCACATTTGCCCTACCATCTAGAGAAACTCTTCAATTACCCGGCCTTAGCTCTATTCTTTTTATACTTACTGCTTGATCAAATCGGCACAAGCACCGAGAAAAACTTTCGCTACAATGGGGATCTCGTTTGCAACTCCAATCAATCAAACGAAGATACCAGCTACGCGATTCACAGAGTGTTAGTCTTATTATCGAATGGAAACTTTGAAAGCAAATTTGCTGTAAAAATAAAGAACAAAGCTGTAATAAAAGGGAACCAAAGTATACTTTTTAGGGTTCACATAGTTCTAATGATTGAGTATGGATTAGGCTCGTTCGTGCTGAACTCGCTCGGGACAATCGTTCTCTGCATCGCTATTCGAATCACCTCACCAACCGTGAAGGAGATGCTTCAGGAAATGGAGAATGAGGAAAATCAACAACAAGTAATTGTTTTAAAGTTAATCAAAACAAGATTTATTAGGTTGATGCATAAGTGTTTTCGTTCCTTTTCGTCTGCCGTTTCAAGCCAACAAATGCACCAATTAAACTACGGTTGATTTCATTAGAAAAACCAATTATTTTTCTGCAAAATAACATTAAAACGGGTTTAAAAATATTTAATGCCTGGATTTTCTTGAGAGTATGAAGTCGGGTAGTCAAAAAGGGCTAACTCGATGATGCGGTTTAGACACCTTAGCTAAAGAAAACCTATCTTCGTGTCAATAGATAAAAGATAGAGAAAAAAAACGTTTGATATTTCGCCAAAATTTCAGAGAAATTCATTCAGCCAATTTTTCCGTAGAGTTTTTTATAGATTTTTACGAAAAAGGCGTTTTTCACTCTCGAATTTGCTTCAAAGTGAACCGAAATTCATTTAAAAAGATGCAAATTGAACAAAAAAACACTTTTTTTATAGAGCAAACTATAGATTAGTTGGTGAATTTGTTACTTTTTAACAGAAGTACGAAAAAAACGAAAAGACTTATGCATCAACCTATTATCTTTGACATAACACTAGAGAGTTCTTGTACCTTTTTCCTATATCAAACTAGTAAGTACCTCTATCCTCTACCTCTATTTACTTGAAGATCAAACAAAAATCTTCTTTTGCACTGTACTTACTAAATCAACATGACCACGATCAATGTGCAGCTTTTTTTCCAGATCCGAATCCGGAGTTTCAAAATAGTCCTGGTCCGTACTGTAGAAAAAAAGTATCCTAGTTTCTAGTTTCTAGTGGAATCCGGATTTGAAATTTAGGATTTGCAAAACTCTGATCATGACGACAATCAAGATGCCGAACCGGGAAGCAGCCAACAACCCAACCAAGAAAAAAATCGACACCACAGTTCCAATGGGAAGGAAGATGAAGAATCGCCGATTCTCATAATTCTCGTCGGCATTTGCACGTCCATCTACTTTCTCGACACAATGGGACGTCACAGCTTGCCGAAAGGTCAAATACACGCGGGCTGCATCTATTCAGACTTTTGGGAGTGGTTCTACGTAATTTTGGTGATGTACAATGATTCTCTGGAGTTTATCGAGAGTCTACTGTGTCACTGCTTCATATTGTCTGTCGCTATCAAGTGTTTCAGGCATTTCTACTGCAAGGGAAACACTACTGGGTGAGTCAATAAAAATGAAGCTCTTAATCAGTCAAACAGCTAAAAGAAAACTAGAGAACTAGAGATTGAAATCAAAATTTAAAAAGCATTTGCTTTGTTTGAACACTCAGAAATTTAGATATGTTGTATTAAAGTCTGAAAAGGATTCTGTCGACAAGCTGGCCGACTGGATACAATCGGTTCAAAAACTGCAAGAGAAGGCTCCTGCTCAATTCAACGAGCAAACATTTAACACTTTCCGACGGTCTTTAAAGGAAAAAGCAAAAGACTTTGAGAAACTAATGAACGCTGTTGAAAAGTACCGCGTGAAGAGCTAAAATTGACGTGTAGACCGAGTGTTTTTCCGTCCTTATCTGCAAAATCTATGAATCTTTGGTGGTTAAGTATTGTATTTCTTTTTTGCCAACTCCTATTTTAGTTCTTTTAACGTTCTATAAACTTTATTGGTGTTCTAAGCCAAACTTTAGCATAAACTCATTTACCTTTTTATGATTGTTATTGTTCAAGAGAAAACAAGCAAAATTTCCTGTGAATTGAGTTCGGTAAAGACAAACTTATAAATGGGGTTTTACTAAGTTTCTAACTGTTTTAAATTCCTGAAATCAGTTTTATTATTTAAAAGAAAATGCTTGTTAACTGCTTTAACTTGATTTTAGTAACCCAAAAGAATCAAGGCAAGATGGAAACCGAGCTTATCAATCAATAAACAAGCGTCAACAGCACTTGTCGCAGCCGGCATGTCGCACATACGCGCCAAAATGCGTTAACTGGTGAATTTTAATGGCATATGTACTATTCAACGTGGAATTTTATGCTGATTCCAAATCTAAAAAGTTATCCATCTGACAGAAATTTTTAAACTCGAAAAATAGTGAAAAAATTGACTTTTTTCTTTTGGAACGCCAAAAGTGCCCTTTTTCGGAAGGTCATATCTCGGCGATAACGGCAAATAACCACAATGTGAGCACAACCGTAATGCACCAGGCTTGTATCTACATTTCAAAAGCAAAAATACTCTAAAAACAAAAAAACATGAAAATTGGTCAATTCTGAAAAAACTAGTAGCTTTTGGAATAAAAGAATTAAATTTTTTTCAATTGTCAATTTTTGGGCGATGGGTACCTCATACCCTTACGGATCCCATGAAAGGACAGAGATTATCAATTTCAGCTGCACTTCTTTCGAGACATGAACGGAAATCTTTTTTCCGCGCTTAGTGACAGGCGACGGGAAGTGGATTCTCACTGGAAACTTTCAAAGAAAGCGTCAATGGGTAGGGCCTGGAGTTACAGCTGCCAAGGATGTCTTCTCTGATCCCACCAAAAGAAGTTTATGCTACCAGTTTGGTGGAATCTCAAAGGAGTCCTTTACTGGAAACTTCTTGTAAATAAGCAGACTGTTAATGCTTTATCATACAGCAATAGCTACAAAAGCTCGAAGAAATCAAGAAAAAACGACCTGAATTGAAACAAACTTTTCAGACTTTGCGAGATTACAACGAGAGACACGAGAGCAAGAAATGCGAGCAAGTGATGAACGCGGACACGGCTCACGTCTTCAACTTTTTCTTTTTCCACGCGAACTCTTCGAGTCGCCGACATTTGATCTGTCAACCTATTGTAAAAAAAAGGCAAAATGGTACGACAAAGCGACAAAGTCATAACAAAACAGAAAAGTCATTTGTTGTAATTTGTCGAAAATGTTACCATTTGTAGTGTTTATTTTAATTCAAATACATAGTAAAAAACTTTGTTTCAACACGAACTTTCAGCTCTGCCCAGTTGTTGGGGTTCTCAGGGCCAAACCCTTATTCGCCTATTTTTCCTAATCTCATTTACTTTAACCACTACCTCGAAGCTGCTTACACTTGAAAATCAAATAAAAGCGGCAATATGAAATTTGAAATATGTTGTAAATGCTCTAAAAGTATAAGCATATTTGATTACTCTAGAATAGGTAGGAAAAAGGTATCAATACAACCACTCAAAACATTGGATCCAACTAAGTCAGGATAAAAGTAGCACCTCCTAACCACCAAAGTACTAAAAAATGTTATTTGCGATAAAGAAAATAAACGCAAAATGAAAAGATGAAAAATTTTCTAAATGCACTTTTATAAAACCATTAAATTTACTTTTAGAACAAATTTACTTTTAAAATAAATTTGCTTTTCAAATAAATTTACTTTTAAAAACATTTAATAGTTTTAGGCAAAAAGAGGGGAGGCACATCCGCGCGAAATAAGGCGAAAAATCGTTTTCTATCCGTTTTCCATGTTTGAATAGCCATTCAACGCAGAAAAATGTGCTGATTTCAATGGTGAAAAAATTATCAAAATCCGTCTGATACATTTTTTAAAAATCGCGTTTTATCGAAAAAATCGCACTTTTACAAGCAACTCGCTCGCAGCGACCAACTTTCGGCGACTCGTTTTCAGCGTGGTCGAAAGATTGCGCCCTCAAAACCGATAACTTTTGTGTGGACGTTTATAAAGATCATTTTGATACCAAAAAAATAAAAATTGATCAACTCTGCGAAGACTTGATGCCTTTTTAAGTTGAAAATGACGTTTTGCGACTTTCTGCCCGCTAAAACGTGGGCAATCGCCAACAACCTATTTAAAGCAGCCAGACATTTATATTACTCTATTTACGTGTCAAAAAGCATGAAGTAGAAAAGCCGCGCTTGTTTCCTTTCATTCATTTCCTTATTCTTTTCTTTTGGCTTTTCTCGTCGTGTTTTTTCGTCATGTGTCTGCAAATTTTGGATTAATGCTTAAGGGAAGTTTTTTTAAAATAGATTGCTTTGTTTGGACGAATTTTAGCCATCACCACCACATCAAAGCAACGAAAAGAGCAAGATGTTCCAAGCGATGACAAATCACAGGTTTAATTGGGTCTTTGAAGCGTTTCTTTCAACATTTTTTTGCATTTCGATACCTAAATTTATGCGAGATTAACAAATTGAATAAATATAACGCCTGAAAAAGAAACATAAAGCATGGTCGTAAACTTTCATATTAAATAAGACCCAAATCAAATAGCAAGACATTAACAGCGTGTCGTTTAGTGGCGAATAAGAGTGTTTCGAGTTTATTTAGACGTTTAGTTCGACGGCATAAATTGCCAATGATTGAGTGCAATGATTCCAAGCCCTCCTCACCCATGTTAGCCAGACAATTATTTTCGTTCAAAAACTCTGGAATGTGTTTCAACGCTACGTGTGACTTCACGGATCGTGTTCCAATATCAAGAATTTCCATACTTGAGAGAAGTTGTTTTAACTTTTCACAAATATCATCAATCTCTTTAACCGGTAATTGTGCTTTAGTTGAGGCTGAACTTCGAGAGAAGTCATCGAAGATATCCAAACAATTGCACAAATCACTGTAACGAGATGACATTGAAACTTTTCGATACATATTTCGATTCTGACAAAGTTTTTTGATTTTTGGACCATTTAGATCATCCGACCTGTGCGTCTTGAGAAATCCTAGCTTTTTTGAAAGCTCTTCGAATTGCACGCGTTCCAACGAATTAAGATAAACTTCAGCTTCCATAGCCTTGAATATTTGATTTCCGAATCCTAACTTGATGTGCAGAATCGGAGGAACACAATGTTTAGGCTCAATGTTCCATACATATGGCCGAAGCACACCCTTTCGATTTTCGGCATCTTTTGTTGGAAGTTTTAAGCGCTCATCAAAACTCAGGATGGTACGTCTTTCGTAGTGTGTTTGGTCTAATTTCTCCTTAACGCCCGTAATTTTTCGCGTCTTCACAGCTTTAAAGAAGCACCACACACAGGGATACGTTGAAGCACACGACATTCCGAATGCAGAAGCCATGAAACTGAGATCACCGCCCAAGAAGAAGGCACAAGGTAAAGGTGAAAGCTTTTCAAACAAGTCCTTTATCTTGCACAGATTTTCGTTATTGTCATAACCATACCACGCGGCAAGTATCAGTTGATTGTAAGGGGATTGTTGCTTTTCCGACTTGTCTGGAAACATGATTGTAACTTTGGTAATATCCAGTCCTTTATCACATAAAAGTACAGCACGGTGTTTCTCGTTGTCTTTAATTTTAGACAGTCGATATTGGACGGAAGAAAACATGTCTTTTAGCTTCACAATATCGCCTTCAATTTCATAGTCGACGCTTTTTGCAAGGGTTGCCCGTACCATATTCATACGATACTCCGTTGCAAGAGTACGAGTCTCATGACTGTAAATTCGATGAGCGTCACGTGATACTTTAGATTTCGAGTAAAGTGCAAGGGTTTGTAACGGAGAAAGCGATCGACAGACAATATTTCTTCTCATCCTTTTTCTGTGATTTTTACATTGAACTTTCCGGGCAGCTTTAAGGATTTTTCTTTGTTTTCGTCGCATCTCTGCAGTGATTCTTCCTTTCTTTATCTTTCCTCTTCTAACAATCAACATTTCTGCCTGATTCAAAGTTGCTCGCTCTTTTTTTCGTTTTAAATCTGTTATTCTCTTCATAGATGCACTTTTGCGTTTGCTTGCCTGTGGCATCGCTGTCGAACCTGAAATGAAAATACTAATGTTAAGCTCAAGAAATGATAAACTTTCTGAAATAAGAAACGAATTAATCAAAAAGCTAAAAAAATGACTGCTGGTAGTTGGTTAATCGTCTCTTTGTGAACAAGAAATATACCGAACCTATTAAAAAGCTTACTAGGAGTTTGTTTATCAACAATTTAAATAGAGATAAGTTAAATATAAGTTAAAAGCCTCTGGGAAAAACGACAAATTCAAATAGAGTAATATAAATGTCTGGCTGCTTTAAATAGGTTGTTGGCGATTGCCCACGTTTTAGCGGGCAGAAAGTCGCAAAACGTCATTTTCAACTTAAAAAGGCATCAAGTCTTCGCAGAGTTGATCAATTTTTATTTTTTTGGTATCAAAATGATCTTTATAAACGTCCACACAAAAGTTATCGGTTTTGAGGGCGCAATCTTTCGACCACGCTGAAAACGAGTCGCCGAAAGTTGGTCGCTGCGAGCGAGTTGCTTGTAAAAGTGCGATTTTTTCGATAAAACGCGATTTTTAAAAAATGTATCAGACGGATTTTGATAATTTTTTCACCATTGAAATCAGCACATTTTTCTGCGTTGAGTGGCTATTCAAACATGGGAAACGGATAGAGAACACCATTTCGCGCGGATGTGGGAGGGGTAACCCATTTTCAGGGGTACGCTAGTTTTCGCAATTTTTTTTGCGCAACTCACCATAACTTTCTTCTAAGTCGGTCAATCTTTATGATTTTGGTGTCATTTTGTTGCACTTATTGAGATCTACAAAATGAAACCAAAAGCATAAAGATTGGCCCACTTAGAAAAAAGTTATGGCGAGTTGCGCAAACGACCCAGTTGCGCAAATGACCCTGTTGCGCAAAAAAAAGTCGCGGAAACTAGCCTACCCCCATTTTCATACTCCCCAACCCAATAGTTGGGGGAGGAGCAAATTTTTTTCGCCAAATGAGCCAAAAGATTTTTTTTTTGCATCCAGGGGTTTTTGACTATGCTGACTCGATTGGTGATGACTATGCTGACTCACACAACATTTCGCAACTTTTAACAACGTTTATAACAAATAACAACAAAATCTCAACAAGTTATCAACGAGAACATGAGACAACGAGAAACTCGTTTTTCCAATGACGCTAGTTCTGTAAGTAGTCTTGAATGTTGTTAAAAATTGCAAAATGTTGTGTGAAACCATCACCAATCGATTCAGCATAGTCAAAAACCCCTGTGTGCAAAAAATCAGCTCATTTGGCAAAAAAATTTCCTTGATATCTTGATATCCTTCAAATTCTTCATTTCGAAAATTAATTTTCATTTCTTTTTGCTTAAACACCCAATTGAGAGATCTTCGAGTTTAAATTCATCAAATGATGTAAAAGCTGTGCAGTTGTAGTTGACTCGCACCACATGAAACAGGAATGGCATCCTTAATTTTCTGATTTTGTTTGCATTATCGTTTGTTTGTGCACTTATAAAAGCTATCTCATTCATGATGTTTTTTATTCAGCCCTCTCAACAATCTGCAAGTCGAGATGGGTGCCAAGAACGATCGCAACCCCAAAGATGACATCAAGTTGGTACATGTAAGTTTTTTTTATTGCTTGTTAGGTTGGGTCTCTTTAGAAAACACTATCATTTTGTTAAAGTTTTGAGGATTACTAGTCTAACGTCAATCATTAGGCTGATGCTTTTCCTACAACTCGATAGAATGTCAATATTTTAGGGGGATCTCCTGGATTTCCTCTACGCTTCACATGGTCGACTCTACGATGCGATGTGTCAGAATTTGGAGAAAACCGGAGTCAAACGTGAACAGGTTGGAAGGATTTTGGTTTACATTTCTAACGTTTGATCTTTTAGGCCTCTTACGGACTTTTCGTTCTACTCGGCTTGTATCTGATTTTTGGATCACTCGCTCAATTCGTGTGCAATCTCATCGGATTTGCTTATCCTGCTTATGCTTCGGTTAAGGTAAGGAAATTTGCGCTATTCGTATTATGTTTTAATGATTTATAATATTAAATCAATTTACTTTTTAGGCAATTCGCACTGCGGCGAAAGACGACGACACTCAATGGCTGATCTATTGGACGGTGTTCGCCTTTTTCTCGTTGATCGACTTCTTCACCGGTGCTTTGCTGAAGTGGTTTCCGTTTTACTACGTCGTAAAGGTGAGTTTATGATTTACTTATAAAATAGACTTATTTTAAGCATACATGTATCTGTTTTATTTAGACTATCTTCTTGATTTATCTATCGCTTCCTCAAACGCAAGGTGCCCTCTACCTCTACAATAAAATCATCGATCCGGCTATTACCCTTTTCGACAAGTTGCTTTTTACATTTTTAGAATCGATAAGCAGAACATAAACTTTAACTTAATCCCAAATTATTATTCTCTTTCTAGCTAAACATATTCTGTTTAGGTGTTTGAATGCTCGATTGTCGGGAGAATCAGCAGGAGCAGAGGGCAAAGCGAAAGACGCATAAGCAACAATCAACGCTAGGATAGCAATTTTGCAACAATACGTATGATCCTTGTGTTTTGTCGTGTCTACTTTTTCGATTGCCTCTATGTATTTTATTTTCTTGTTTCAATAAATGTAATAAAAGGTACTATCACGTCAAACATCGTTGGTTTTAAACGGAAGTACGAAAAGGAACGAAAAGCCTTTCTAGACAGCCTAATACAAAGGCTTTACTTTGCCTAACTGAAGACGTTGAACAAAGAATGCCTTCAGAAGTAAAACAAATAAATCTATCAGAAGTTGATATAGTTTGTGATGGAAATATTACTATAAAATTCTCCCGAACTCATAATTTACTGCACTTTAAAGAATAATTTCCATGGGTACACGACAAATAAAGTACTTTAGATGTGGACTATGAGTTCTCTTTTAGCCTTTTCATGCTTTCTCGTCTTTTCTCTCAACATGTGTCGCCTTGGATCCTGAAAAACCAACTTATTACACAGCACATACCCCAAACAACAAAATAACATCGACGTTTTTTATTTTTTATTGAAAATGGTAGGTGATAAGTAATGAAAATTTTCCTTGCAACCCACTTTAGCAATTGTTGATATTCATAGCGTTTTTATGGATCTTAACAGAAGGAATTGTGCCACCACAAATCAAGAAACATTTCCTCAGTGAGTTTTGAAAAAAAAACAACTAGAATACGTAGAAAATTGAAATAATCAAGAATTGAATATAAAATGTAAATGGTCTCACGAGAGGGTTTTAGGCTTAGATTTTAGGTCATCATCCAGATCGAGGGACTCTTCCACGAAGACATCATCATCGAACAAAGCCATCGAGTGATCCCAGCAGGTGGCTAATTCGAATGAAAATTCAAACAATTTTTGGATAAAAGTATATCGTTCATGAATATCTTGATAGGCATGGCCCATTCGGGAATTTTCTGAGCGGTCGTCACAAATCAGAAACTTTCATCTCGACAACGGCACCCGATCACCACAAGGTTTACTTTTACTTCAGTTTCCAGACAGCTTAAAATTGGTGTCAAATCAAAAACCCCCCTGGCAGTATCCGTTAATTTTCCACGCTTAGGCTTAGGTGATTTTTGAAATTGATAGTTCAGCTTCAAAGGTTTATAATTTTCCTTGGAAATAACATCTTTTTTTACTTTTTTAGTTTTTTAAGAACAAAAATTTCCGGCTTTCAAATGGTATCAAAAAAAATCCAATTGAAAAGATCAGTCTTGAGAAAATCCAATAACCTACACCGTCAGGGTGATTTTGGTTGATTCTGCCGATTCTGCTTTGATTTTCTCAGGATTGATCTTTCCAATTCGGCTCTTTTTAGTCTTATTCGAAAGCCAGAAATTTTTCTCTTAAAATATACAAAAAGTAAATATAAATGTTATTTCTAAGGAAAGTTATAAACCTTTGAAGCTGGACTATCAATTCAAAAGTTACCTAAACCATGCAAAAGCCATATTCCAGAATTAGCCGTATTCGTTCTCTTATTCATTTGCCAGACTAATGAATCCCAGAGCACTGCTAGTGAGATCTAATGAGTAAAAGTCATTTATGAGTTCTATTTTCTTCTATGAGTGCGATTTTCAAGTCATTTGTAATATGCAAAACTTAGGCTCATCAACATCTTGGTCGTTTCGGAAAGCGTGATGCCGAGGAAATTCAAAGAGTATGCAAAAAAAAAATAGTTACAATTATCTGATTGAATAGATTGGACAACATCTGGGACGTCTCCGTGCTCGTCATTCAGCTGCACATCCAGCTGCACTTCATCAACAAAAACAAGAGAAACTTGAGGTGAATATCCTGGGTGAATATCATGGGTGAATATCCTGGGTGAATATCCTGGGTGAATAGCCTGGGTGAATAGCCTGGGTTAGCCTGGAATAGCCTGGGTGAATAGCCTGGGTGAATATCCTAGGCTTTATTCCGAGACTTTAGCTTCATTCTAAGCAAAGTATTACAGATATTTTAAACCTTTAAATCTTATTCAAAAGCAAAAAAAAGATTCAGAAATTGAAAGACAAACTTCTGGATACTCATCCTGTTCTTTCGATTCACGAAATCAACCAAAATGCCGGCATTGATCATTTTCTGTTTGAGGTGAAGGGAAAAAAAAGAAAAAAATATAGAAAGACAATTGAATCAAACTATTTCAGTCAGATTTGGCCCTTACCGAGACTCAAGCAAAAGCATTAGCCGATGCCCCGATTGGACAGGTGAGACATTTGTCAAAAAGTTCATATGGGTTATGTTCATACGGTTCATACGGTTCATACACCTTTAATTATTTGTAGCATGAGAAAGATCAGCATAAATTAAAGAGTCAAAAAACTATAATGAATTCAGAATGGAAAACGAGCCGCCGGTGCAGCGACAGCTCATCTTTGGGACAAGACGAAACCGATTCCCTATACGTTCAATTCAAGCATGGGTAACAGAACTTTCAAATAGAAACACAACCTTTCTGGTGCACTGTTCTTGTAGCAATATCAATGTTTTCACTATAAGTTGAATGAAATTTTGGAGATGATGAGAGAATTCACATCGTGGAAAGAGCTTTGATTTCATGGGAAAACGAGACGTGTCTTCGATTTGAAAAGAATGCAATTGGACCGAATCGGTAAGAGAAAGTCAAGAGAATGACTATGAAGTCATCATAGTCATCATAGTCATCATAGTCATCAAAAATCATTTTTCAGCTTGGAATTCTTTGTCGGTGCTGGTTGTTACTCATCAGTTGGTCGAATTGATCAATGGGAAAAGCAACCAATATCTCTCGGAGATGGATGTCAAATGGTTTTGAAATTGAGCGACTTTTTTTAGATTTGTTTAGGTTGGAATCGCATCTCATGAAATAATGCATTCATTGGGTGTTTATCATACACATGGAAGGGTGAGGAAAAAGGGAAAAGATTGTTTGTGATGAAGAGAAAGATTGTTTGTTTAAATCTAGACTGATCGTGATGCCAATATCATTGTCAATTCAAACAGCGTTCAGTCACAAATGCTTGGGAATTTCTTGAAAGTTTAGATTGACGCAATGGCTTATTTAGTATTATTTTTAGTTAACGATAAAAGAAAATGATAATAAAGGCATTGGATTTGATTATGGAAGTATTATGCATTATGGATCATGTAAGTGAGATTGGCAAACATTTCTTTCAAATAAGATTATTTGAAATTATTATTCAAATAATCTTTTTCTAAAATATATGACAAATATCAAAAACTATCAATCAAATATCAAATTATCGTATTTTTCTATAAGTAATCGATTTTAGATTACTTTTGGAATGGTAAAGATTCTGCAACAATTGTGGCTGAAGATGTTCGGTGAGTGGAAATGGAAATGAAGAAGATCGTCATCATTATTGATTGGTGACGATGGAAATGAAGAAGATCGTCATCATATCATTGATTGGTGACGATGGAAATGAAGAAGATCGTCATCATTATTGATTGGTGACGATGGAAATGAAGAAGATCGTCATCATTATTGATTGGTGACGATGGAAATAAAGAAGATCGTCATCATCATCATTGATTGATCTTGCAAGATCATCATTTCTTTCAATTGATGATCTTGCAAGCTTTTGCATTATCCTTTCTTTCAATTCAGCTATCAAAACACAATTGGGAATCGTCGAGAGATTCAGTTTTCCGATTCAAAAATGATCAACTCAATCTACAAATGCAATGGTTTGTCAGAGGAAAGAAAGAGACAAAAATTCGTATTTCAGAACATTGCACAAAACACATAAACTGCTGGAATTCGGTGGGGTAAAAGATAAAAAGATAACCAAGATTTCTAAACCTAATCAAGAACATTTAAATTAAAAAGCTTTTATTTTAGGGTTACATTGATCCAAAGGATTGCACTCGTTGCAAATGTCCGTCATTTTTCAAGGGGAAATTCTGTGAGATGAGTCAAGTGATCACTCATATAAAGCATGATGTAAGAAATAGGAAATAAGAAAAAGAAAAGTAAAAGTTCAGGAAATGAAGACGATAAAATTAGCGGCAGAAGAGATTCCATCGAATCATCAATTCACAACAGATAACGTCGATTATGATGATTTCACGAAAAGTGTTCCTGAAGTGATTCAAGTGAGAATTGAGAATTGAGAATTGATGGAATTAGGAACTGAATTGGTTAGTCATCTGATTTGATTTTTTTTATCAATGTGAGCGAGGATGTGTCAGCCGCTGTGAGCTAAGTTAGAACGATCAAACGGCCAGAACGACCAAACGGCCAAGTTAGAACAACCAAACGGGCCAGACCAAACGGACGGAGACGGCCTTTGGGATTCAGAGACGTTTTATGCCTTCATTAAAGCCAAGAGTAAGATCAGAAGCTAGGACAGCCAGGATTTGATCCGAAAAGTTATTTGAATGGAATCGAGATGTTCGAGATATTGAGTTATTTGAGATATTCGAGATATTGAGTTATCAACTGACAACTGACAACTAAAAATCAACTAACAAAAGATATAAAAAGCAAAAGCAGTCTTTAGTCAGATGAAGGACATCGGCTTACACTGAGAATCGTCGATTTCCCGACAACACCCTTGAAATGCTATGCTGCTTGTCGATATGCTGGGATTGAAATCGTTGATGGTGATTTTGAGAAAAGTGGAATTGTGTACGTTTTTAAAGTATATTTATTCGACACGGCTAATGAATTACAACCGGAAGAAATTTTTATCCCTAATTACCCCTATTACCCAAATGTTGTTAAGAAAAAAAGCCATAATAATGGGAAAAAGAAGCAATCTTTCTAGCCGCCGGGATCGAACCCTTAACCCCCCTAGGATCGACTAAGAGACAACACTCCTAGTCCTGTCGGCTACGACGGCTACGTAGCTTTTACGTTGAAACATTAAAAAGAAAATGAGAAACTTTAGGATATGTTGTTCAAAAGAGAAAAACTCAACGTTTCACTCGAAAACGAATCGTGTCGGAATCAGGTAATTTCTTCAATAATCATTAATGAGCTTAACCAGTTTTTAATAGATTTTAGTCGACATTTTTCTACATTTTTCTACAGAACTGTTAGTCTAAATATTTTTTTATCTAATCGATTTCCTTATTACTATCAGATTAATCTAAGAAATTGAGATTTATTGATACAGTACTGGACAATGAAATGAGCAATGAATATTTTATTTAGAGCATGGGCGGCTCCCGGTATTCCTCTTCAGTATATTATCAAAGCTGAAGCTGATAAAGTGTAAAAGATTGGTGATGGCTTGGATATTATTGCTGTGTTTGTAAAGAACTTCTTTTGTTATTTTGAACTTCTTTTGTTATCTTCTTTTGTTATCGATACTTCTTTTGTTCATTGATAAATTTATTTTTCTATTTATTTAGATTTAGATTTAGATTTAGATTTAGAAAAGCTTAAAGATTTGTTTAATTAAATAAAACCTTTATCTTCAGTTTCAAAATATTCCAAAACTTTCGAAATTCTTTGATTTTTGAATAATAAAGTTCTTTTATATCACACGCAATTAATTTCAAATAGATTTTTATCTGAACAAGTGTTTAATAATTTTCTTTAATGTTGAGTGATTGTTCATGCTTGATTGATAAAAATCTATTTGAACAATCGAGCTACTTTAAGCAACAGTACTAAGAGTACTAAGGGTACTAAGAGTACTAAGAGTACTAAGAGTACTAAGAGTACTAAGAGTACTAAGAGTACTAAGAGTACTAAGAGTACTAAGAGCAACAGTACTAAGAGTACTAAGAGCAACAGTACTAAGAGTACTAAGAGCAACAGTACTAAGAGCACTAAGAGCAACAGTACTAAGAGTACAACAGTACTAAGAGAAGCAACAGTCAAGAGCTAATTGTTTGAAATTCAAAAATCTTCAGCTAATCTTCAGCTTCAGCTATTCTCTTGTCTTTCTCTTGTCTTTCTTTTATCGATAGGAACAAGTTGTGGTCTCTTTATAAATGTGGTCTTACTTCATATCGAAGTTTTCTTCTCGAAGGGACCTCTCCTTTCCCCCTCCCCTCTCCCTTCCACAATCACTTTGCGCGCTTCCGATGTGCACCCGATTGAGCATAAAAATGTTGGGTCTATGAGGAAAAAAAAAGAGGAGAACAGCCCCACCCACTTTATAGAGTAGAAAGAGGGGAGTGAAGAAACATCACAAGCAACGAAAAAAGGATTGATGCTTTCCCTCTCAATCCAGTGAGGTCAACTGGATTCAAAGATCTTCAATCTATTCATAGAGCTATTCGTTTTTCTTCATTTACTAATAAGATATTATCGTATTTTCTCTAATAGTAGTGCACTCTGAGCGTCGCCTAAATTGCTCGAAATCTCGAGAACCGCTTATCAGAACCTATCGATGTGGGGTCGGAAAATGTAGCTGACGATGAGATCTTGTGGGGGGATTTGAGTGTTGAGCTTCTGTGAAAGCTTGGAAACTGTAAAATCGTCATCAACTCGGCGGTGTGCACTATCAGATTAGATATTTGTTGTTATGACGTCAGTCCTCTGGGGTGCACTATTATTAGAGAAAATACGATATATCTTTTCTTTAGTGAATCAATTTTATGATAATTTTGGGTTGATCTTTGATTTCAAAAAGCCAAAAGTTTTGACCGATTAAGGCAAAGTCAGAAATTTGTTTGAACTGTAAAAGTGAGAAGGCTTGGCTTTGAAATGCTTACTTAAACTGGAGATGTTTTACAATATGTTTTACAATATCTCAAAAGCTTCAACTCTTCCCTTCTTTCTTTCTTTCTTGTTTGACCATTCATTTCTTCCATTTCAACTTCATTTCTTCCATTTTTCCCACAACGAAACGCACGATTGCCTTTTGAAAGACTAAAGAAAGTAATTGCAGCGTTCGAATTGCTTTTTCTTTGTCACAATTTTTTTTGTGAACAATTTAGATGCAACCTTTTTTTGTTAATTTTTGTTAATAATTTGGTCCTCTTTTATTCTAATTTTTCAGAAGTGCCTTCCAAATTTCACAATAATATGATCTACACTGTACAGGTGGGTTGTAGTTGAAGTACACTACTGGACAATGAAATATCATATTTGAAAAACGATCGTCACTTTCGCGCGTCTGTAACTCCCTTGTCTTTACCGTATTTCTAAATGTTAATATTACCATTGTGTAGCCCTTGAAAAGAGCTTTCAGAAAATGTATCACACTAATAGTTTAAACTCAAAGACAAGGGAGTTACAGACGCGCGAAAGTGGCGATCTTTTTTCAAATATCATATTTCATTGTCCAGTACTGTATGAGTTCAAGGGTATACTTCATTTATATCCAAATTCTCTATATTGTTTTCAAGATTGTAACTGACAAGGGGATCTTTTCCTTGTACAGTTCTACTTTTACAGATTGAGTATGATAGAAATTCCGATAGAAATTCCCAGCTTTATTGACTTTTGATCTTACTTATACAAGTTATTGTTTTTTTTTTTTTTTGGAAAGCACTTATTTCTTCTAAAGTCATAGGCTTTTTGGGGAGTAAGAATGAATAAAATAAGAGAGAGAGAGATTGTGAATATTTGACAAGGGCACATGGAAAAGAAGGGAAAGAGTAGGAAAGAAATGAATTCGAATGGAGGAAAAGGGGGAAAGCTTTGATTTGATTTCCTTTACCCGGAGCTGATGGGGCACAAATCGAGTGAATTTACCTGAAGGAGAATGAAGTCATGAATGTTCTCCAGGAAAACATCGGTTTGCAAGCATTTTCTTCGAAAAACTTCCTCATTCGCTCAAAAGCACCGTGTTTTCATTTTTAACACCAAGATTGAGCGAAACAGAATCTCTGATCGATAGGATTGACGATAGAACTGTTCTTGTATAAAGGACGAAGATGTACAGATGATGCGCATACGATTTTCCCATAAAGTGATAGATCTTTCGCATTGATTGAAGCTTATAAATGAAGCTTATAAATGAAAATCCACTGAAACATCTCGAATTCTGTCCTCTCGACTAATACGTTTTGACTTTTAAAACGGTAGTTTTGATGACGGTAGTTTAACAGTCATTAACCTGAAGAGAAGCACATTGGTTGTTTAAAAGAACGGTCAAATGTTGCTTTTTTTTTACAAAAGCCGATTAGCAATCATATCTTAACTTGCATCAAAAAAAAGCTCTTTTTAAAACCTTTCCTCTTTTCTCAAATTATCGGAAAATCCTGTTTATTTTCACTTTTTGAAGAGAAATGTTATTAATTGCAAGTGGGACATTCAATGAAGAGAGATTCAATGAAAAGAGATCGATAAGATATTGAGAGAGAAAGAGATATTGAAATGAAATAGGCGAATATTCTCTGCTCCATCAAACGTTTTTTTTTTTTACGTGAATCGACACATATTGAAGTAGTGAAAGAGAAAAGAAAAGAAGGGGAATGAGTTGGGAACTCTTGGCACAAATGAATGCAATAAAAAGAAGACTCGAATTAGGATATTATCTATAAAATGAGATTAGAGAGGTTGTGGGAATAGCTGGAACAAGCTGGAACAAGGAGTGAAGCTGATGGACAGTTAGTCAGCTAGATTCTTACAAGGAAATAGTTCAGAATTGATTTGAGATCAAAGTTACACGAATCCACAAAAACCAAGAGCTATAACAAAGGATACATTTGAGTTCCAAAGATCATTGGAGAGATTCCGGAAACGATTAGGATCCTGCTTGATTTCCGGCTTGATCCACAGCCTGACCAGCAGTAAAGAATCATTTATGGAACTTTAGAACGTCCAGACTACTCACCTAAAAATAATTTTCAATCCAGGTTTAACTCTACAATACTACAGTACTGGACAATGAAATATGATATTTGAAAAAAGATCGCCACTTTCGCGCGTCTGTAACTCCCTTGTCTTTGAGTTTAAACTATTAGTGTGATACATTTTCTGAAAGCTCTTTTCAAGCGCTACACAATGGTAATATTAATATTTAAAAATACGGTAAAGACAATGGAGTTACAGACGCGCGAAAGTGACGAGCTTTTTTCAAATATCATATTTCATTGTCCAGTAGTGTATGTTCAATAGAAGCTGTCTTGTCTAGGTTCAATAGGTTGATGTTGAAGAGGTTCAATGCTGTCGTCCAAGACAGCTTACTTCTATAGAACATAGTATTGTAGAGTTCAATAGGTTGATGTTGAAGAGGTTCAATGCTGTCGTCCAAGACAGCTTACTTCTATAGAACATAGTATTGTAGAGTTCAATAGGTTGATGTTGAAGAGGTTCAATAGAAGCTATCTTGGACGACAGCTTACTTCTATAGAACATAGTATTGTAGACTTTTCTAACACTTATCTTTCTTTGTTAGACTTTCAAATTTCAAGTATTTTTTGTTAGACTTTTAGGTGATTTTTTGTGGATATCAATCCAATGCTTAATTATTAACTCAAAAATCACAAGCACATAAGCTAAGCTAACACGAAAAGCTATGTTAGAATCATGTGTTCTCTTTCAAAGACAAATCTTTGATCCTCTTCAACCTCTTCTCTTTATTTTCTTTTTAACATTTCACTCGCTTTCAAATTGAATCCCATTCTCCGATCTCGAAATGTTCTCTTTTTTTCCACTTTTACACACAAATGTCACCTTTCAATACTTTTCTTTTTTGACTTCAGAGATCTCGAAAAGATCTCGAAAAGATCTCTAAAAGGATTCCCTTTAGAGTGTTCAAAGTCTTGAAAGAAAAGGGAATCTTGCCGAAGTTTTCCCGAAGTTTAGCTTTATTGAAAAAGTGTGTAGACGTCAGGGAGTTGAAGAGATCGAAAATAAATAAAAAAGAAATATATAATTCGATCGAGAATCCTAGAATGTAGCCAAGAAAGTTGTCTGAGTAAATTTCAAAAATTTCTTTTCATTGATGATCAAATCCCAAAGAAATGATTGTATTCATATTTCTATTCATTTATGGATTTCACGATAAGCCGTTTCTTCTCTTTTCTCATCTAGTGGTTCGTTGAGGGGAGAATTCAAGCAGAAAGAGGAAGTATTCACAGATAAATAGAGAGAGAGCAGCAATATTTAACCATTAACATTTCACAGTGTCAAAGAACAAACATCATCAAGATTTCAGACGGTGTTGATGGAAATGATTGTTCTGGGATTAGCTCATCTTACAGGAGCAACTGATACAAATTGTCAGGTAAAGGGAAGAATTTACTCAAGATGATGATGATCACAGATGCTTTTCTAAGGGGTGTAAGGGGGAAAATGCCTGGTGTTCAATGAATCAATGAAATGCTTGGCATCCAATGAATCAATGAAATGCCTGGTATTCAATGAATCAATGAAATAGCTTGGTATTCAATGAATCAATGAAATGCTTGGTATTCAATGAATCAATGAAATGCTTGGCATCCAATGAATCAATGAAATACCTGCTGTTCAATGAATCAATGAAATGCCTGGTGTTCAATGAATGTCGGGTTTTAAAAAGCTAATCCAATTGCTAATCCAAATGCATTCTAGATTCACCAAAATGAGACAAAAGCCCAAGATTTGGCTCAAGTTTTAATGTACAATTATTCAAGGTGAGTGAAAGATTTGAAAAAAAAGAATTTTATTCATTTTTAGAAATGCTTTACCCGAGCCAAGTCCAGTGAATGTTTTGGTGGAGATAACGATACAAGATATTTCCGATATTTCTGCAATCACTGGCACTTTTGTAATCGATTTTTGGATTAGTGCAATTTGGTTGGACTCAAGGTGGGCTTATTTTCAAATCAAAAAGCATTCTTTTACTTTTAATTAGCATTAATTTTAGACTCCAATTCTCTCATATTGATCCTTGTCGTAAAAATCTTTCATTGGATCATGATATGGAGTTTGTTTCTTGTGTTTCTTGTGTTGTTTTTTTGTGTTTTTCTATACTTTTTATTTTTTTAAACATTTTTTAAGGCCAAAATTATGGTCTCCAAATGTTTGCATTGTGAATTCGAAAGCAACAAAAGTTCACGATTCACCAAAACCGAATATTCTTTTAATGGTATGGAAGAAGAAAACGATTACCGTAAATACTGTAATAGTACCCCACCCCCCATAATGACGGTGTGGAGCGTTGCGTAGTCTAGCTTTGGACGCGTTTTTTCTCGACACTGGTTTATGCTACAATGCGCGCTTAGATATCAAAAAATAGCCCTGAATCTCAGCTATTTTTTGATACCAAAGACGCATTTTTTGAGAGTACGGGTGCTTTGCAAAAAATGAAATACTAAAAAACTTTTGCGACTACGCGACTGTACGAGGGGGGTAAAATTACAGTATTTACGGTAAATATTAATACAGTAAAATTAGACGTTAAAGCATTTTTTTAAAAAAAAGCAATTAACAATTACTTACAGATTTTTCCAAATGGAACAACTTGGTTAAATTATCGAATACGATCAGAGGCGCCATGTCAAATGAATTTGAGGTGAATCTTTCGGAAATCATATACAAGATAGCCAAGATAAATAAGAGAGATAAACAAGAACAAGATAAACATTGTTTTTATATTTATTGTTTTGTCAATGCTCTAATAATTTCAGATCATTTCCTCTTGATTTTATTAAATGCTCATTAATATTGGAAAGCTATTCATTTAATGCAGCTGAGGTTGGTCTTTTGATTGTTGAGAAATTGATTGATGTTGATAGATTGATATTGATAGATTGATATTAATAGATTGATATTAATAGATTGTTATTGATAGATTGATACTGATAAGTTGACATCGTTAGATTAAAGAAAATGAACAGAAGAACTCTTAAAGAATAGATTTCAAAGAGAGCAGGACTTGAAATACAGTTGGAAATTTTCGAGGATAAACGGGAGAAGTTGAACTCTTGGAATTTAAACCATTTAGGTAACATTACAATGGTTAGAATGGTCACCGGTGAGCACAGTGAAAGCTGATTTTAATCTGCCGGACTTTCGAATGACAAATATTACATATGGAAGTATTACGGAGGTCGGTTGAGTTGCTAGATTCGAAAAGAAAGATTCTAATAACTATCATAACAATGTTCAAAACTTTAGATGTACACAGCTGGCATTTGGAATCGTTTATATGTAGACATTCACTTTGAACGACTCTACGGATTTTATATTTTACAGGTTTTCCTTTAAGAATTGAGTAGAATATCGAAATAAATCCTTTCCAGATGTACATGCCTACTTATATATCAGTTTTTATTTCGTGGATTGCTTTTTGGATGGACACAAGGTAAGGAAAATGGGGGAACTATGTGTTAAAGCTTTGATAAAACTGATAAACAGATAAAAAGCTGAAAAAGCTTTGATAAAACTTACAATGCAATCCATCACTTCACAAAAATATCTTCTTTTCAGAGCTCTCCCAGCTCGTATCACTCTTTCTGTTTCATCTCTAATGGCACTCACATTTCAATTCGGAAATATTGTTAAATCATTGCCGAGGGTGAGTGAGAATGAGTGAATGAGTTGAATCTCTTAGATAGGCTATAAATATGAAATAGTTATGAAATAGCTATGAAATAGTTACGAAATAGTTGACTTTCTTAACCATATCAGCTAATAGTTGTTGATGTTTTGACTGGTTTAGTGCTCTTAACCTGTCTTGACTGGTTTATTGCTCTAAATTTAACCGTGCCGGTTCACTTCCAGTCTACTAACGATACAGATTCAATAACGATCCAAACGATCAGTTGTGAACTACGACATTGATAATAATCTTTATCTTTAGTTGCTGAATCAGAAAGTTATTAACTTGTTCCCTATATTCTTTATCATTCTCTATATTCTCTTAATTTTCAGGCTTCATACGTGAAAGCTATCGATATTTGGATGTTTTCTTGTGTTGGATTCATTTTCTTTTCTCTCGTTGAATTGGCGATTGTTGCTTATAATGACAAAATGGAGGTAAACCCCGTTTCAGAATTCGGAAAGAAATTACTTGTAAAGGCATGGCTTCGTCAAATTTTTCTCTGGGTCTTTGCGCAACTCGCCATAACTTTCTTCTAAGTCGACCAATCTTTATGATTTTGGTGTCATTTTGTTACACTTATTGAGATATACAAAATGAAACCAAAGTCATAAAGATTAGCCTCCTTAGAAGAAAGTTTTACTGAGAAAATACTGAATAAAGAAACTATAAAGGATCAACGATTGCGAGAATATCGAATGACATCTTTGGGGCATATCTTTCAACAACAAAGCAATGGAAATGGACCAGAGAGATCGATTATGCATAGAAGGTAAAAGAAAAGAGATACTAGCTGAAAGATGAATCGATATTTCAGAAGTACTCAGCTATTGATGATGGATCAGAGAACGCATACGAAACTCACTGAAGAGAGTCCAATTCCATCACCGCCACCATTTAGGAAATTGCGGAGAAATGATTTGGGAGCGTCGATTGATCGAGTTGCATCAATGGGTTTCCCGGCGGTTTGTCTTTTTTCTAAGCTACCGTAATCTGTCTTTGTCTGTGTCTGTATCGTAATCTTGTCTGTCTGTAACTGTCTGTAATTTGGAACTTTTCTTCGTGAACTCTCACTAAAGTAATATAGTTTTGGATTGTAGATAGAAAAGCTAAAAACTCATAGCAATGATTTATTAGAGTATTGGGTTGATGGAAAAGTCCTTTCGGATTTTTTGGGAGAGTACCTTAAATTTGTCGAATTTTGACGTTTTATAGCTCATTCTAAAGCTGAATTCAAGACGGATCGATTGATAAAAACCGTTTTGAGATATCTCTTTTCGAAAAGTTTTTACAGCTATTTTAGTAAAGGGCGGCAGAGCCAAAAAATGGTTTTTTTCACGTTTCGTTAGTTTTCCGTACAGAAACCTAGGCTAAAAACATGTGTTTCGTGATCAGCGTCAAAAATAAGAAAAGAGATATCTTAAAACGATTTTTACCAATCGATCCGTCTTGAATTCAGCTTTAGGATGAGCTATAAAACGTCAAAATTCGACAAATTTAAGGTACTCTCCCAAAAAATCCGAAAGGACTTTTCCATCAACCCAATAGTTACAGTTTTTACAAGTATTCAAATTCTTTCTTCAATTCAAATCCATTCAGGCATTCGCCATTTTCAACATGGTTTACTGGACATATTATCTCTCAAATCCGACAACATACACCGCTTAATTACATGATTATTTTTCCCTTTTTTTTTCTCAAATTCGTTCTTTCATTTCATTCACTCTATTCAATTTATTCAATTTATTGAAAAAAAAACGAAATTTTCTTTTTTCCAAACGGGTTTCTTCTGACTCCTCTTCACTCACCAATGTGCATTAATATTTGAGAAATAAAATTTTATTTGCAAAATATATCCATTTAAATGAATAGCTTTTCTAAAAATAGACTAAAAAGAGTTATACGGTTATAGAAACAGTTATACGGTTATAAAAAGAGTTATACGGTTATAAAAAAAGTTATACGGTTATAAAAAAGAGTTATACGGTTATAAAAAGAGTTATACGGTTATAAAAAGAGTTATACGGTTATAAAAACGGTTCTAAAAAGTATATTGCAGAAAAAAAAGCTATGCTAATTGAGCAGAAATCAAAGAAATCAAAGAAAAGAAATATTTTGGCAGTTTTCTGGGTTGCTTTTGAAGCTTTTGAAGCTTTTTGAAGAATAAATGAAGTTTGATAGCAATTGAATGATTGAATGATTGAAAGTTTTCTTAAAATTATTTCAGACAAATAGTCGCATGAAGTGACACGGGTTTATGTTCACCGATATTCCTCTTTTCGCCCACAATACCATAGTACAAGCCGGAGGCACAAAATGAATCCTGGAAATGAGAAGAATTCGGAGAATATTGAGCTAGATGCTATTGGACCAGCCAGCCAGCCAGCTTGTAGTTATGATAATTGGACTACGGTAGCGTAACCCAATTCCCACAGCTAGCGTAGCTTCAGTAATCATACAGAACTAATGTAGCTTCATTTTATAAAGATTTATCAGCAAATCTAGTCTATTATTTTGAAATTATTAGGTAAAAAGTCTTTTTTTTAAAGTAAATGAACCAAAACAAACGTGTCTGAAGAGATCGCTCATCACCGAATTGTACAAAACTCGATCAGCCCATGAAGGACAAAGATGTCGAAGGAATTCCTCTTTCCCTGTTTTTGGATTCATTCCGTAGTGACGAGATGGCTGAATTGGTGATCGTTTTTACAAAGCCAGCTTAGACAATGACACAATAGACTTGGTTATTGAGGAACCATAAAGATTGCGCCGAATCGAATTACAATTTACCTTGCTTTGTACGAGTCTGGTATCAAAATGTAGCTCTTCAATTTGGCTCCATGATGGTATAAAAAATGATGGTACTATTTGGTACTTGTTGGTTATCTTGGTTAACTTGGTACTTGTCGGTACATCCACAGAGACTCAACTCGGTTAAGCAAGGAGCTGACAACTTGTGATTGATCGAGTTGCACCAATGGGTTTCCCGGCGGTTTGTCTTTTTTCTAAGCTACCGTAATCTGTCTTTGTCTGTATCGTACAATATATTATAATATTGTATCGTCGGTACATCCACAGAGACTCAACTCGGTTAAGCAAGGAGCTGACAACTTGTGACAGGTGAATGTTCAGTGAAGTAGAGTGCTCGCCTGTGATCAGTCGATCAGTCATTCATCAGAACGAAAATCGATAACCGAGAAGACTGGAGATGCTTAACCGAGATAAATCTTTGTGGATGTATAACCGACAAGTACCAAAAGTACCAAAAGTACCAAAAACTTTTAGAAAAACTGTTGTTTAGTACAAGAAAAATTGTGAGCAAAGTGTGAGCACTGAGTGTACGAAACGGCTATTGACACATCCATTTGACTATTGATACATCCATTTGACACAATTTTCGTTTTTACACAATCTTCATGAACCTGTTTGTTGATAATGATTGCTATTGCAATGATCGTTTTATTGTTTAAGAAAAGAAATCTAGTGCACTGAACTGCAAGATTGTTTTTAGATCAATCAGAAATCTATTTTTTTTCAAACCTGAAAGAAAACGCTTTCCTCATGCAATTTGCCCCCAAAAACGACTTGTGCCAATTCACCATTGTACTTTTTTACCTAAAAACAAAACTGACTTTTAATATCTTTAATAATTTTCAAACCATTTGCCCTCTTCCCAATTTGAAAAACCAATCATGAATTGAATGTAAATCAAAGCGATGTTCTTCAACGGTGACCGTGCTCTGGAAATTGATTGTATTCTGGAGATCTTCTAGAGATCTTCTGGAGATCTTCTAGAGATCTTCTGGAGATCTTCTAGAGATCTTCTGGAGATCTTCTAGAGATCTTCTGGAGATCTTCTGGAGATCTTCTAGAGATCTTCTGGAGATCTTCAACCAACCCGTCCATGTCGATCTCGTTGTTCGATCGCCTCCAATCGTCCATCATCTCTCGTTCGGGCGAATGTTGATGCTCTTTGTGTTGAGGCCAAATCCTGAATGGATTTCCTTTATATAAGCATTATTAGATAATGCTAGCATTCCGCTTTTTCCTATAATCATATCAATCATTATATCAAATTTCACAAATGTTTACCCCGAGCATCGCTGTCTCGTGTAATTGTGAGTTAAAAGCACCAGCAACAATAATCGCATCATCTTTAAGACCTTCGGAATCCAATCTATATTCAGAAAATCGTTATCTCTATATATTCTTTTTTTAAAATTCATTTCACTCACTCATTCATCAACATATCGATTTCTTTTTGTCGTTGCCCAGCTGCTCTTGTCACTTGTGGCTGAATGTATTCTTTCAAATTTTCATTTTATATTAAAATCTTAAGAATTTTAGATACTAATTACTTTAGTTTTTACCTGTTCAACAATTTCATTCACATCTTCGAACGGAACGGAGTGAAGAGAAAGGTTGACAAATCTAAAAATGCCAAGCGTTGCTTGATGGTGTATATATAGCTAGTTTCAGTCGACTACAGTATCCCTATAAAAATATTCAATCAATAGACTGAATAGTTTTCAATGTTTCGATTTTGTCGATGTTTCAATCGAAACCTGGACAATCAATCTTTGGCTGAATATCTTTTATTCCAATCTATTGTATAAAGCGAGTTATATATAGCAAGCAAGGATTCTCCTTTTCACCCGGGGTAGACTAATTTCCGCCATTTTATTTGCACAACTGGGTCATTTTCGCAACTCGCCATAAGTAAGCCAATCTTAGTAAGTTTCATTTTGTAGATCTCAATAAGTGTAACAAAATGACAACAAAATCATAAAGATTGGCCGACTTAGAAGAAAGTTATGGCGAGTTGCCCAGATGACCCAGATGCGCAAAAAATTTGACGCAAAGTAGCCTATCCCTTTCACCCACGTAATTTCTTTTCCGTAAATTCTGAAACGAGTGAGTAGGAATCCGGTTCTTTGATTCGAAATGTCTCGATTTCCATCATTTCCCTATATTTTATATTACTTTTTGTAACATTTTATCCCTCTTTTATCTCACATAAAATGCGGTGCTGAAATTGAAAGTCTGCTCGAAAGTCGACGAGATGAAACCATCGCATTCCGATGGACCGATTGCGATCTGTGTAATTGACAGATCGGATTTTATGAGCTGCCTATCAAAAGCTTAATAAATTAGTGTAAAACACGAATTGTTAAACGTTTAGAAACTTTTTATAGACAAAAATTCGAATAGCTTTCTTCCTTTCTCTTCTCATTCACTCACCTGTTCCCCCCTCTCCACCGAACGATATCCACTGTTGCTGAAACGGTCATAGAAACGAACATCATCAGCATTTTTGAAGAAATATAAAGAACCAAGACCCTGAACCAGTTATTTTTTTGCTGTTTTGCCTCTTCATACCGTATTTTTCACATCAAAGAAGCCACGAATCGCTTGAAAATGCCCGCGAATCTGTGAGTTGGAAGCTATTCTAAAAAATGAGATAAAGAAATGTTTCAAATAATTAAATAACCCATTTGCAATATGGTCTGATAAATCACGGGCTTCCGGTGACGAAAGAAGACCTTGGACATGAACCTGAGAAAAATACGTAGGTTTGATGCAAGAACAAGTGAATGGTTAAGTGCTCCAGGTGCGTTTCTACTTTTGAACACAAAGAGCACCGTTGTCGATGATATGCTGATACGCTACTTTTTCTATTATCAATTTCTTTCAAACTCACCACTCCAATTTCCGGCTTTTGTTCCCAGATCTCTTTGGCGACCTCGTCAATCCACGAGTCCAATTCGGCACTCTGAAATGTTCTTTGTTTCTTTTTGATTTACTCGATTCTTTTTGATTTAAAAGACTATTCGTTTTACAAATCAATAACCGACCATTAGTCCCATTGTAGAGACATCGCCTGTTACAGTCACCTGTTTGATATAATCTGTCATCACTGAAAAGGTATATTAAGGAGGTAATTTTATCAGAAAATCAAAAAGGAGGTCGGAGTGAAAATTTTCGAAAAAAAGCTAAACATCAAAAGTATATGTATCACAAAACGAAGTATGAACAAATGAATGGAGTAACGGGTTAGATTGGAGAAGTGAGCGGAATGGAGTGAAGAGAAGGGGAGGGAGAGGACGAGGAATGAAATGGAATGGAAAAATGAGGAGAATAGGTCAGCAAGCGAAAAGAAGAACTACAACGGATGAGATTGAAAGACTGAAAGGTTTAGACTGAAAAGGATTTGGGGTGCATTCGGGTATGGAAGAGAGAGAGAGAGAGGGAAGGGGATACAGAAAGAGAAACAAAAGGGAAAAAACCGGGGATACACCCATTTTCCCCGTAAAAAAAAAGATCGAGAGAGGTGAAATTTGAAATGAAATTTGATGAAACGACGAAAGAGTCTCTCGCTTGGATGTGTCATCGTTATTCTTTTTACTTTCAAAAGTTGATCATGTTTAACGCTCACCCCCGCAACAAAAAAAAACCTATGCAAATATTGGGTGAAAATTCGAGAAGGGAGAAACCTGCATGGACCTGATTTCTGGAAAATTTCTCTTTAACTCGGTGAAAATGATCGGCTCTAAAAGATTTCGAGTTGCGTTTGGTGACTAGCTTCTACGACATTTGATCAAACGAAGATTTAGCCCAGTTTTCTTATTTTGCACCTGGTTGTATAAAACAATGTATTTTCCAGTTCTCTGGTAAAATATAAAATTGAAAAATTGAGATCTTGAATGAGAAAATTGAATATTCGGTGAAACGTTCTTAGATTTCACACATTGGGGAAAACTGTCCTCGAACCACACCCCGTTCAATTTTATGCCATGTTTACACCTCTTTTCGTTTTCGGCCTAGGTGTGAGAGACATCGACGAAAACATTTTGAATTCTTTGACCCTAGTACGTGTTGTCATGTAGTAATTTTTAATTTATTCAAAAAGATGATAACATAACAATAACAAAATAAACAATTATCTAAATTAACTTTTGAGCTATAGATGTGGGCGTAGAGGTAAAGAGTCGCTTAAAAGAAATTTCCGAAAATCATAAACACAAACAACAAATCGAGCACCCCTCGCCTACAAATCCCAGAAACAAACAAAAGTGTGGAACCGAAACAAAAAAAGGCACAAGTAATGGAAGAGAGTAATAAAGAGACTAGAAGAAAAAAAAGAAAACTTCAAGCTAACTATCGAACGAAGTGCATTGAGTGAGTGATCTTGAAATTAGACGAGCTTCATGTTTCCAAGTCGTTGAGAAATCATCTTGGGAAGGGGATAATCTCGTTTTATCGTTTTTTGCAATTCCACAATGTCGAGTTCTTCAGCAGACGCAATAAGTATCTATAAAAGAAGCTACATTGAAACAAGAAACGTGTAAAATTCGTACCTCATTTACATGATGGGCAACACTCATCGAATAGAGTCCCTTGAAGTGCTTTTGGACGATTCCCCTCGTTTTTCCCGCCAAACTTTGGTCTCGAGTGACAAAATTGAGCGCAAGAATACCTAAAAGGAAAAAGTCTTAAATGAAAACAATCAACTCACCGTTAGGCTTTAAAGATCGCTTCATATTGTCAAGTGCTTGGTCCGTAAGGAATGAGGGTGGAGGACAGGTGATTCCCGTAGCTTCTCCACCCGCCACATCCACGAATAATATATCCAATCGCTGACGTCGACTATCATCTAAACATATTTCATAAAAATTTTTGAGAATAAAATATTCACTAGTTCGATTTTTATTTTTTACTTCTTGAAAGTTTAGCTGAAAAAATCCACCATGTGCATTTACTTGAAGATAATCGAGTGCATCCACTACACGCACTTCTAAACGGGGATCTTTGGTTGGAAGAGCAAAATAAGACTCGGCAATTCGAACCACTTCTGGATCAAGTTCAATTCCAATAATTTTACACTGAAAAAACGATTTGCAAGTAAAAAACTCTTAAGACTACCTTTGGTAGATGCAGCAACAGATAAGAAGCCAAAAGTCCACCACCAAGTCCCAATATGCCTAACTGAAGATCTGCGGTATCGAGCGATTCGAGTGGTTTTGATTCATGCAAGCCCAACGCTATGAGCATCACCTGAACATCGAGTTAACTCTGAGAACAAATTTTCATTCACCTCATGATGCTCAGATGTGAGATGATTTAACATTGGAAACTTTCGGCCTTCATCGACTAAAAATCAGGTAACTTGACAATAGAATAATGCAAAACAGACCCTTTAACAAAACTTCGGATTGGATGAGATTCTTGCTTGCGAGAAAAACCAATTGTCTTCGGAACTCGCCCTCGATTTCCACATCTTTAACCTGTACAAACATTACATATATGAAAAACCCCTCAAAACTACCACAAATTCTCCATTCACTTCCGAGTTGCCTGTTTCAAGAACCTCTACTGTATTATCATCGCCAACGGTCAAGAATTGGTGCTAAAATTGAATGTCAACAGCAGTAAAGCAAACTTTTGATATAGAACTTACCCGATGTTCGACATGTTTTCCAGCGGGAGCCCATTGTAGTGCATATGGATTTAGATCGTCTTGAATTTCGATAAAATCCTGCATCAGCTTGTCAAGCACATGAACAATAGCCAAACGATCCTAAAAAATAAATAACTAGGCAATGTTGGAAAAATAACTCACTTTCTTACAGTTGCTACGTAACTCTTTTCGTCCTTTAGGATCCGCGTATAAAAATTCATGCTTTCTAAACCAGTTTGTATATTTTTGCGTCCATAATTACCTTCCATAGGGAACAATGAACACGCCATAAGATTTCAATTTCACGGCAACACCTTCCTTATCAACGATATAAACCTAAAACACAATAATAAAAACTCGACATTCAAACAAACATTACCTGATATTTTTCCTGTTTATCGCTGCCCCATAGCTTTAAAGACGTTTCTTCTTTTAAAGGTCTGAAATCAAGAAAATAAAATTAAAGCAGCCAAAACTCACTGGGCAAGATAATGAAGCAGAGAGGACATTTGTTGTTCGGCTTTTACCACTTCAAAGAGCTCATCAAGTGAAGAAATTGGAGTAACACTAGTGTCGTTGCTGTTAACGAAATCGATAGGCTAAAATATCACTGAATTTTCGACACAACAGTCTTTTCTCGAATAGTTCAAAAATAACAAACCCTTGTCATCGTTAGTGGTTTGAGCAATTTTGTAGCGACTAGAACGAAAACAGGCATTCGAAGACCACGGGTTGAGTTCTTGACTTTGTGGACTTTCAAGATGAATCTTCCACTAAATCATTATGTTTTACTTTATATAAAGCTTTATATATTATATAAAACATACCTCAATTCTTTTAGCCAAAAATCAAGAATGTGCTCTTGAGCAAGTGTCACAATAAGATATCGTCCTAGGGGCTTCAGTACCCTAAAATCTGGATGAACATGTTTCTATGACAAACTATTCGAACCGTGCAACTTCGGAAAACATTTTTGAAACCATTTCTTTTTGTTCATCAGTGGCTTTCGGCGGAAACATAGCATCGAGAGTTCCTTTATCAAGCACAACATCGAAGGTCAAATCGGCAAGCGTCAACTAAATATTCCAGTCATCATTCAATAGTTGAATAAATAGAATAGATAGAGATAAAGATTTGTTACCTTTGTGGCATCATCAACAGAAAATGCGAGTCCCGAACGGTTTCGATTCTTTGTCGACTGTTGCTTGATCACTTTCGCATTTGTATCAATTGAATGGATCTGGTGAAATCCATTATCATACATCTAAATGTAACAAATGCAATGCTTATATTTTAAAAAGTCAAACCTCAGTGGCAAGTTCTGAATTACCACATCCAATCTGCAATACGCAATTTTTTGGTGTCACATACTGCTCGATAATCACTGATAAGTCGTCATAACCACCATACCTACAAAGGAGAACATATTCAAGTCTGCTAGAATTAGTTACCATTCAAATGGAGTGCCCCTTTCTGCAAAGAATTTCTTCCAAAATTCGGGACTCGTGAAATCATGCGCCTCAAACGACTTTTCGACCGATTTCATCTGTAAAAAATTTAGAACTCCACAAATAGTGTAATTTATAGGCCCAGACATTTTAAAAAATATGAATTACATCAAATGAATGTTTGTAGATAGACTCAAAACAAAGATAAAAAAGATTTATTTTCTGCACAAAATAAAAAATAACACTTTAAAACTTTTTTTTTTTGCTATGTTGGCCTTGTCATTCGGGGATCTTTGTGCGAAGGTGTCGGTCGAGAAGTGGCAGGAGGAACACCATCCCGTGCGCGAGGTTGGGCGGTCGTCTAAAATTATCATGCACTTTAATTGAAATAGAATCAAAGTCAAAGACAAAAAAAATGAAAGATTACCTGTTGTGGAGTGGCACGTTCAGAAACGACTCTTCGTGGATCTTTGGGCATGGCGGGACGATCAGCATTAGCATCTGATCTTTCGGGTCTTTCTCTAGATACTCAGCAGATTAGAAAAAAAAATTTGTTCCAACTTTTGATAAATTGCGTATTCCGGGTTAGATTCACTCATGTCAGGCGTCTCCGAGAACAAAAACTGGAAGTCGCCAATTCTCGCCAATTCCGAGTACTTTCCACAATAAACTTTCATTTTAGTCTGAAAGTATATGTACATATACAATAATTTATTGAGATATTACCCGATAAACACTAGGAATGACGTTGCGAAACCGCAAAATGTCTCCGACTCGAATTACACTAAAACCATTTTTTTTTTGCAGATTTGACGAATTCTGAGCCTAGTTATGAACAAAAACACTTACTCAAAATAGTCAGCAGTAGAAATCTCGACGGTTACACTTCCTGAGTGATCTGCGACCCGGGTTCCATGAACTTTATCCCCTCCCATACGAGATCTTATGTAACCTAAACCTTTTATCACTCTCCTTTGTTTTGATTTATCCTTTTAGGATAATGAAAGAATTACTTATTTCACTCTTATAACTCATTCTTTAACACAAGCTTTGCGTTTAATCTATGCTTGAATTTAAAATATCAGGAACTACAGTCATGTGCAAAAGTCTTTTCACATTCAATTTTCTTTGATAAAGTTCATGACGCTCTTTAAGCTAGTAGTAGTTTTAGTTACATAAATATATGTACAATTTATTTACACAAACGTTGTCGCTATACAACACTTATTCATCGAGAGAAAAATATCATTGTCAAAACACCCCTAAAAATCGTCTTTTCACATTTGCAAAAATTTTTATTATTTCCGTTCGCTTCGTATTTACTGGTACTAATAGTAACAGTTATTTTTTTTAGATGCCAGAAACGTACTTGCCAACTCCGGATAAAGAAAGGATCGTCGAGGCAAGGAAGCAAGGAATGCCACGACAAGACATTGCTCGCCTCTTAGAATGTATGCCCACAACAGTTTCTCTTGTCACGGCAAAAATTAATGCGGCTGGAAATGTGCACAGATGTAAGAAAAAGGGACGACCGAGGATTACAACAAAGAATGAAGACCGATTCCTTACGAGAGCTTTCAAGAAGGAACGTTGAGAGAATTTGACGTTGGACGACGGAGTCATTCTTTTCAAGCAAACTTCAAACAAGAATATTTCCCGCTGGACCTTGCATCGACGCTTGCTTCAAGCAGCATCGTATACTAGAAGACCTGCCCTCAAGCCTATGATGGCAGCCAAACACAGGAGGCAGCGTCTTCAATTTGCTCGAACATATTCAAGTTGAATAGTCGATGATTGGGCCCGAGTGATTTTCGTTGATGAAACAAAAGTTGATATTTTTCCTTCAAATCGAAATCACCTGATCCGACGCCCAGTCCGAAAGCGATATCAACTCAAATAATTGCGACCTACGGTGAAAACAGGCGTAGGATCAATTATGCATTCCGGTAACGATAATTTTCTTTTTATGCAGCACAACGTGATTTCTGCATTTTTGCATCGTTTAATTGTTATCGTTTATTGTTGTTGGCCATGTTATTTTTAAATAAATTATCAAAATTAAAAGCTGCTAATAAAAAAATGAATTGTACATTATAAAAGAAAAAAATTTTGTTTTGCATTGGCGCTGTTTTGGGATAGACCCACTAAAACTATTAATAGCTTGAAGAGCGCCATGAACTTTATCAAAGAAAATTGAGTGCTAAAAGACTTTTGCACATGACTTTAGCTAAAAAGTTGAACACACCCTTGTCAATGACGATAGCGACGAAGGTGAATTTGCTCAACGTCGGCGTTATTTGTCCGATTGTGATCTGTTTATCCATTTAAAAGAACTAAAATTAAACATTAATTACAGTCAAACTTCGATACAACGATCCCTATTTTTGGTCCAACGAAAGGGTTTTTTTTACCTTAAAATGACTTTCGATACAACGAACACTTCGATATAACGAACTTTTTTGGCCAATCCTTTGAGGTTCGCTACATCGAAGTTCGACTGTATCAAGTACCTAACCTAGTAGAACTAAACTACATTAATTTAGTGTTTTTTGTCTAGACACAGTTGCTTTCGTAAAATACACATGACAAGTGTTTTGATATTTGAATGTTTTTACTTTAACCGGTCCATATTTTTAATAATACAATGTTTATTCAAACCGGATATACAAAAGAAACACTAAGGCAGGCACAAAATTCAACCAATAAATACATGTATTCAATTCGAGCATAAAGTTTAAGTCAAAGTCATGCCAAATAATCATTGGCCGAAGGCTCATCAGAAACAAGTTATGAGGATCACACAAAATGGGCAGCAAGAAAAAGATTTAAGAGATCTAGGGGGCAAACAAGAGATCAAAAAAAAAATGAAACGATACAATGAGAAAGGAAATATACTAACTTAGGGCATCCAATTTTTCTTTCCGAACGGAGCCTTCGTACGCTTTGCCGGCGAAGGACATGGTGATGAACACATCGGTGGTGGTCGCTTTGAGGTTTTGGGCGAAGAAGTTTTTGGACCAGGCTAAAGGAATTATAATATAAAAGTTAGCTAAATGAAAAACCCACCGTAACTGCTTGACATGGGCCAATTACACTCAAATCGGGTATCGCTGGTGAGACGGCCATGGGTATTCGTTTCAGATTTCCCGGCGTTTGGGCTTTCATCATTTTGACATGGCGAGCTTCAAAATCCTTGTTTTCGTCGTGAGTTGTTTTCTTCCAGCGGATCCACTCGACCGGTTGGACACCATCAATGAAAAAGCCTTCTGGATATTTCTAAATAAACGAATACATGTTTTTATAATTTTATTTAAATCCTACTAGCTTGTAGCTTTCATAAGCGGTGGCCACATCGTGTTCCATTTGGGGTAAAAGTTTTCGATTGACGAGACGATCACGGTTGAGCCGTTTCTCCAACTCTCCTCCGCGGTTTGTGAAACGATCGGGGGCTCGTTCAAAATCTTCGTGTGCCAGCTTTTCTTCCCATAACGCTCTCCATTCTTCCAATTTGCCAAGGACCTGAAAAAGATTTATTGTTTCAGGCAATAAGACCAAACATACCTCCTTTCTGCGTTCGTAGTCAGACAATAGACGAGCAATCTCTTCTTCCATACGCTTCAGGGTCCGTCTGTCGTGTAAATCTGCAAAGAAAATTTCAATACAAAATAAAAAACATCAAACCTGCGGAAAATTCTTCTTGGAAGCGAGCTTCCCCAGAGCTGATTCCACATTTCACCCAAAGATCCTTGAGGGCAATCCATTTCTCGGTGTACTCAAATTCTAACGTCGTGATGAAGTCATTAACCTCGAGTTGAAGCTAAAGTTAAAAAATAGTTTCACAGAAAACAACAAAAAAAACTTACAGCAGCGTTTGCCTCTTTGTATGAATGAATTAACTCGTCACTTAGCACTAGATGCTCGTCGTCAATCTCCAAATCGAGTAGTTGCGAGAGCGCTTTGTCAATCTCACATTCTTTCTTGTCTAAAAATATTTAGCGTCATTACCCAAAGTCTAAAATTACCCAAAATTTTCAGCGCTCTTTGTGTAGCTTGTTGAGCATCTCGCAGTGTTTCCATTCGCTCTCTTACTTGGCTCTCCATTTCCTCACACTTTGCCGTCAGCGTTGCAAATTCGTCCATCGAGAGCAGACTCTCCTCGTCCAACGACAATGATTCTGATTGATCAGCCACGCGGACGCACAAATTGTTAAATTTCTAAACAAAACAAAGTTATTTTTACAAACTGAAAATTCGAACTGACTTCGATGACGACTCTCTGATCATGGTTGCGTATTGCAAACTCCTCTTCGAGTGCAGCAATTTCGGACTTCACTAATTTCAACTAAAAAGGCTTTAAAACCTAAAACAAAATTTGCAGACCATGACAAGGCTAGACAGCGAATGTTTCGGCCGCGTCCACATCTCGAGCTCCAATTGTTCACGTCGTTTTTCGATTGTGTCGATGCCGATTTTGATGTTTTCCTCGACACTCTCGACCATTTTTGTTTCTCCTTCAATCTAAAATTAAAAATTGACCAATTTATCGATTAGAAGCCTTACCATTTCTGCAAGTAAGTCTTTGGTGACTTTAAAAGCCGTCTCGATTCGTTGGCATCTTTTCTCGTCGTCCATCTCGACTTGATCCCACAATTCGTTGAGTTTCTCGAACGTCCCGCGCAGCTCTACGAACAAGTTGTTGAAACCATCTGTGCAGGTGAGCCTAAAATTATAAAAATTAATTATTGTTTAAGAAATTTCTATATACCTTCGTGCTTTCTTCTTTGGCGTCGATGCTCGTGATTGCTCAAATCCCGAGTCCATCTGAAAAGAAAAAGCATTAGAAATTTTAAAAAAAAGGAAACAAAAAACAAATAGAAAAAAAAGAAATTATTTAATACTAGTGCCAACAATGTGAATAGCTCCTATTTGAATAGCGTTCTTTCACCGGGCTTTCCTCTAAACGCCCCTTTCTCTAGTTGAGTGTTAATAGATTCGTCCCGTTGTGCAAGAAGCGAAAGTATAAGGACGTCAAAATATTAGAATCGATGACAAAGAAGCAAAAGATTACCGTTACTAAAAAGACTTGAATTTAGTATTTTATTTGAAAAGGCAAATAGCAAAATACAGGGGTAATTTATCGCGTAATGAACTTAAGGCAAAAAGTGTAATGAACGCTGGAGAGACGCAAATGACGGAAAGTGGTGCAAAAACGGTCGCCGAGACATTTTAAAAGCAGTATTCAGCTAAAGTACGGTACTCAATAGATTAAATCTAATTCTAAAGGAGGGAGGTTCTCTCTCAGGTAGTGTTTTGCTTCTTGAAATTTTGATACGTAATTTTAAACCTTTTTCATTTTTGCTTTTGTTGACAAATTTTTGTATCCTCAAGCACATCCCTATACAGCATTTAGTAAAACGTTTTTTTCAGAACATTATGCTTGAATAAAGACTACAGAAATGCGAATCACAGCAAAAGCCCGTATATGGCAAAAATATTGATATGCACAAAATCGGAAATAAATCACAACGATTTTGAGAGATTTCAGCTAATTGAAGAGTTGAGAAGGCATATGAATTGGAAGGAGTTAATAATTAGATATCCTCATCACTCGTATCAACTGCCTCAAGAAGGCCACCTTTCTGAAAACGATTCTTCTTATACGGACTAAACTTGGCTTACAGACAAGTCTAAAAAAATAGAAACAACTTCAACATTTCTATGTTTTTATCAAAATGGCGGTAAACAATGTTTTGCTGAACCTTTTTCTTCGTCTTCTTCGTAGTAAGATTTACGTGTCCTTCTCCAGTCGGATCATCTCGTCGAGAGAAACTAACACCGATTTGAGACTCCTGCAGTTTGTTTTTAAAAAGTCATTTCTATTTTACAGATATAGTAAACATCTCGTTTCCTTGTCACCTCGTTTACCTCGTCATTATCATCATCGTTCTCCAAATTCAATGGTCGATATCCTCTTATTCTCTCTGGTCTTGCCCAATTCGGATCATTTTTCAAGATCATATTTTTCCACATCATCCCAAAGATAAGCACAACGATGCAAATTGAAGGTACGAGGAAGACGAGAAAACCAAGCGAATCCTGGGTTTTCGGTTGTTTATTAACGATAAGCTGTTGTCATGTTAGTTTTATTTTACATTAATGTACAATAGCAATTGGTCGTTGTACAATAGCAATTGGTTGTTCCGTTACTATCAGGTTTATCAGTACCAATAAGTACATGATTAATTCACCGTGAAAAGCCAATAGAAAGTCGAATGATGGTTTTGATCGAATGATTTTGGTGGTTGTTTCGTTTGATCTTCATCAGAATAAGTCTCGCTTTGAAGGGCATCCTTCAAAAGCGAGATTGATCCATTATTGGGAGACGGTGGAACCTGTAAATCGATATTTTTCTCAAAAACTGAATACTGTACATTTAGTAGATGACAGAGAAATGGATATAAATCGATGTTGTTCGGGATTTGAGAGATCTAAAGTGATGCTTTGCAAGGTTGGTCAGAATTCCGTAAAACCATAGTCCTTTGTTTAAAAGCCGGTCCATTCATAGCAAGAAGGGCTCTCATTTCAGGTGTGTTTGGATCCATTCCATGAGTTGATTGATGATATTTTTCTTTACCAACTGGGCCTAAATACATATATTAATATAAATAGAACTTATTGGTCATGTTTAGATAAGCTTATTGTTACCGTAAATACTGTAATAGTACCTTACCCCCATAATGACGGTGCGGAGTGTTGCGTAGTCTAGCTTTGAACGAGTTTTACTCGATACTGGCTTATGCTACAATGCACGCTTAGGTATCAAAAAATAGCCCTGAATTTCAGCTATTTTTTGATACCAAAGACGCATTTTTTGAAAGTACGGACGCTTTGAAAAAAATGAAATACTAAAAAACTTTTGCGACTACGCGACTGTACGAGGGGAATAGATTACAGTATTTACGGTAAGCTTATTGTTAGGTATTTCCATCAAAACAGTAATTTATCTTTACTGAATCTATTCCAGTCCGGACTTTACAAAGTACGAGCTAGATTTCGTCTGTCTTATCAAAGAGTACCATAGAGTTTCTCCAAATCCTTTTGTCGACACGAAAACGAAAGCCCTGAACCAATCTGAAAATCTTTCAGCTTTCAGTTAACCTCAAAAATCGATCAACTTTTGGATTCAAAATGATCTGTCCAACTCGCGTTGAATTAGCATAATGCCAATTGATGGGTATATCCTTCTTCCAAATCACTTCCATTTCAAATCCATCATTGATTGCTCGAGTCAAATTCTCGAACACCTGCTGTCCGTGTGCTTCATCCTAAAGAAATCCTTTTTAAAAATCTATTCCAATACTCAACTAATGGATATATCATATGATCTCCCATTTCAAAGCCTCCTCCCAATACATAGTCGCGAATACAGAATAGCGATTTGTAGTCTTTAATCTGAAAAAGATTAGCGGTTTTGGAGAGTTGGGGCTAAGTTATACGTAAGTTAAGTTATAGAGTTATACGGCACTGAATGTAACAATTTTCTTTTCAAAGCAACACTTACAATTAGGGTAACCCAAAGCAATATATTATACATATATTATTACTAAAAACATTACAAACCTGTGCATGTCCATGATCAGCCGTCAAAATAATATTCAATTTATCGCTCAAATTCAGAGCTTTAGTGCTTTCCACCAAATAACCGAAAGCTTCGTCAAGGGTTTTCATCTAGAAATGTTTTCTCTTTCTCAAATTTTGCAACACAAGCACAAACGATTTTCTCGAATTCTCCATCATAAAATCCGTGTAGATGGAGGACGGTGTCTGGTTGAGATAAATATCTAAGAAGTTTTCGATAAAGATAAATATCTGCCGTAAATACTGTAATAGTACCCCACCCCCCTCGTACAGTCGCGTAGTCGCAAAAGTTTTTTAGTATTTCATTTTTTTCAAAGCGCCCGTACTTTCAAAAAATGCGTCTTTGGTATCAAAAAATAGCCCTGAATTTCAGCTATTTTTTGATACCTAAGCGCGCATTGTAGCATAAACCAGTGTCGAGAAAAACGCGTCCAAAGCTAGACTACGCAACGCTCCGCACCGTCATTACGGGGGTGGGGTACTATTACAGTATTTACGGTAATAAGTTTTCGATAAAGATAAATATCTAATAAGATTTCAAATCAATCTCTCACAGCATTCCCAAATTGACTGGTGTTTTTTGATCAATGAATTGTTCAAGAAGTCGATTGACACTCTCCTTCCATGACGGTAAATCACCATCCGAGCTCCAGGCTCTAAATTTGTCTACAATATACTGCAAGATTACGGTAGCTTTTGAACATTTCGCTGCATATCAAAAGTTCCTACAGCAGCTTCTCTCAAAATCTCACCGAAACCAGTGCGGTTTATGGGGAGGATGCGAATAATTTGCTTCAACCATTGGCCAATCCATAACTGCTGATCGGCCACCATTTCGATCATTCGTCAACCAAACTTTATTTGAAATTTTCTAGAGATTACTTCTCGAAATACTTACTTGGATCTCCCAGATACCACCTCGACGAAAGTTCCATTTCACTTTTTCTGCCCGTATAGTTGAAATAATCAAATCTAGAAAAAAAATATTGATTTGTTGAATGAATGGATAAACAAACACAGTATCATCTTTGTGATCGAAGAAGAAATTGGAGACAATTCCGTGACTTTCTTCGTATAAACCGGTGGCAATACTCATATGATTCGGGGCTGTATAGGTGACATATTGTGACTGAAAAGGATTCTTTTGCGGTCCTTGGTCACAGCCCGTCTTTTTTGCCATTGACAATCTAGCATTGACGTTGAATTTCTTTGCGTACAATTGTTTGATTAAAATAATTTTGGTATGCTTGAATTTGTGACGTCTTCCTCTGTTGATCGATACCAAAAAAGTTTCAATCGGACAATTGTACGCGAAGAAATTCAAGATCAAAGTTAGATTGTCAATGGTAAAAAAGAGCGGACGGGCATTTACTTTTGCTGTTGAACAGATAAACTTATTTACTTACTAGTTACTAGTTACTAGTTACTAGTTAGTCCATTTTCACAAACAAATCCCCACCTTTGTCCCATTCACAAACCATGTGCCCCCTTTTGCCCATTTGTAGATGTTAGGCACCTAGATTTGCGTTTGAAATTTGAGATTTCCATATCATTTTACTGTAGTCTCATTGAGAAGAGAGTGCCGAAAACCATCAAATGAAACTAATAATACGAGTGATTTCTCTTTTCCAATGGTTTTCTCAAAAAAACAAAGTAGAATCACCAAAAATCTCGCGAGAGTCACCGCATTTTTGTGCATAAGTAAGCACTAAAAGTGTTTTGGATCAAAAAAATATTGACAAAATATGAAGCAAGCTTATCGGTAAATTAGTCAAAGGTATATCAAAAGTAAAAGTCAAAATTATATCAAAAGTATAGCAAACAGTTTGGATGATTGGATTGAATGGATGAAATTTGTAGTCATTTATTCATTTATTCGGGAGTGGGAAAATCCCTTTTTTGCGCACCCGGACATTGCGCCCTTTCCGCACCTGGCCATTAGCGCACCCTTTCGCGTTTAAAAAGCCTAAAAGCTAATATTAACCAATTTCTTTCCAAATGTTGTTTTTCTAGGTAATTTTAGGGTGTAGAATCGTTTTGACATTCAGGCTTGTGGAACCAATTTGCACGGCTGATCAAATTACAGAAATTGTCATTTTTCTCTTTTCTCCCTCGTTTCTTGTCTGGGGTTTGATCGATTTGAGAGATCACAAAGAGATAAATGTGGTGTTCAATTTGTCAAAAGAAAAGAAAAGGAAAGAAAGAGAAAAAGAAAAAGAGGGAGTGTAATGGAGAATATAAAGAGAATGGAATTAAAGGCCCAATGACAAGAATCGAATGATTTTCGATCTTTTTGGGGTGGGGAAATGCTCCTTTTTCCCCCCCCCCCTTTTCGCGTTTAAAAGCCTAAAAGCTAATTTTAACCAATTTCTATTCAAATGTTGTTTTCGGTAATTTTAGGGCGTAGAATCGAAATTTTGACATATCAGAGCTCGTGGAAACAAACGGACGGAGTCATAGAAAGAGAAAAATCGACAATTTTCTGTAATTTGATCTAGCCGTTTTGTCTTTCAAATTGGTTCCACACGCTCTGATATGTCAAAATTTGAATTCGACACCCTTAAATTACCTAGAAAAACAACTGGATAGAATTGGTTTGCTTTTAGAGCTTTTTAAAACGCGAGTCCGGGCGCAAAAAAGGTCGCATTTTCCCTCCTTTTTTTCTATTTGCATCATCTGTAGTATTTATTTTCTATTTCTATTTCAACAAGCAAGTCTAGTCGATGATCGACTAGACTATCAGCTGATAGATCTTTCCCAGGGTTCAATTTAAGAAGCGCTGAATTTTCGATGGATTCTATAAAATGGAAAAATGGTGGAAAGAGGACGAAGAAATAGTAGAAAGAGTTGTAATTAAGATGAGAAAGAAAAGGGAAAGAGATGAGAGATCTAAGAGAAATGAGAGAAGATAAAGAAAAGAAGGGAAGGATGAAAGAGGGAGGCCCTATAGGGGAGCAGGGATCAGCTGGATGGAGGCAGAGGGGAACCCCTATGGGCCCTCCCTCTCCCTCCCTCTCCCTCCCTCCCTCTCCCTCCCTTTCCCCACCCCATCCGATAGGACTCAAGCTTTGTTATTCCCCATCTTTTCCATCCTGTTTCATCCAATCTTTTTCATCTTCTTTTCCCCAGGATTCCATTTTCATTCATCCTTTCAACCATTTTCCCCTCGACTTTTGACTCATCGTTTTTCCTGTCTTCAACATTTCAACCACTTTTCTGTAGTTGATGCATCGATTTTTTGATACTTAGATATTGTCATCTTTGTAAAAATCTCCTTTGTAAGTATTGTGAAATCTAATTAAATATACTTAATGATAACTCTTTAAATTCTTTTATGTCTCAAGTATCGATTTCTTTTATTCAAGAATAAACAAAACAATTTCAGATAGTTTCCACAAATGTGAAGAAAAAAAAAGTGAAGAAAGGAATTGAAAAAAGATGTGGATTATACTAGCAACGTGAGTTCATTCATTGCTTGTTTTCAATAACCAAATGGAAATGATTGACATGTAAAAGGGAAAGAGTGATCGAGATGTAGAATTGATTTGTACAATGGAACTGATCGTAGTTTGAAAAGGGGAAGGGAAAGGGGAAGGGGAAGGGGAAGGGAAAGGGGAAGAGGAAGGGAGTGAAGTGAAGACTGAAGACTTTAGACAAGAATGTATAACAATAATGTACATTTGAAGATATTCAAGTTTAGAAAAGGATTCCATTTAAGCTAAAATAACAAGAAATTAACGATCCGACCATTTTGCCTTTCAGTTTTCTCTTCTTAAAAGCAACAAAAGCCTATCGAGAGTGTGATCAATCCGATTTTCGATATGAATACACACAGGTGAGAATAAAAATTTCATCTACTTACAAAGGTTTTCATTTTTTTGTTTGATTCTACATTTTACTCATCAACATTCATTTTAAAGTAAAAAAACAAAGAAAAAACAAATTTTGTTCCGTAAACATGCAATATAACCAGATAAGCCTCAAAAAAAGATCAATTTTAGTGTTCGGAAACGGGTGAAAGATGGAGAGTTGGTATACCAAGAGAGAAATCGGATTGCCGAGGAGGAGTTCCACAACCGGAAAAGGGATTGAATTGTTGTAAGAGTTTTGAAAGATTCAAGAATATTAGAAATTGTACGAGAATGTTGGATGCTCTGCCTTTCTATTTCTATTTTCTATTTCTTTAGCTTTCTCCTGTCGTCCGGGCAGTTATCTCGATTTGGAGACGCAAAAGTGTCGGCCATGTAATGCAGGTAGAGAAACAAGAAAATTTTAGGCTATATTAAGCTTTATTCAGTTAATATCTAGTAGCTACCTTAACAATTAATATTGTTAGATATTCAATTAATAAGCCAAACGTATCGTTTTCCCATTCAGGCAGCTATTCACTGGGTGGTGGGGCTCGTTTCGAGGAATTCACCCATTTCCCGGCCGGTTTCTCCGTCGAAAATATCGATTCGATGGCGGATTTGGTGATGCAAACGAGTACACAAACGACGACAATTCAATGTCCTGAAGAGTGGGGAAGAAGAGGAATTCTAAAAGAAATGTAATAATATTTAGAGCCGGATGGTTAGTGAAGGACACAGAGTTGCTTTATGTTCCATCACCGTGCCTCTCGAAACTTTCCTTTACAACGACACTTGTTCGACCCGGTTATGTGGAATATGTGTACAGGTATATTTATAGCGTTTTCACAAGTAATTTACCTAAAAATTTTCAGAATGCCGAAGAACAGCCGAGGCCTTGCGATGAATGTGGTGGTTAAAAACGAACAATGTCAAAGCTATAGGTTTTTTTTTGAAGAAAAGCTTAAGAAAAAGGATTAAAAGAGATGAGTGTCATGTTTTGTGAAAAAAAAGAACGAGTTAAGAGATGAAGTGAAATCGATGTTGATGAATGGAGCACAAAGACAAGATGAAAGAAGAGAAGGACACCATGATGAGACAACAAATGGAGATTGGCAAAGAAAGGTTGGTAAAAAAGGATTGGAATCAGAAGCAAGCGGAAAAAAGGCGGAAAATTTAATATCTTTTGATTTCAAAACAAAATCCAACGAATGGGGCAGCTACGCACTGCGACGAAAAAAACGGAAAAACGTAGCTGCCCCATTTGTTGGTTTTTTCTTTGAAAATTAAAAGATATTCAATTTTCCGCCTGCAAGCCTGATTGAGATGATCAGTTTGAGAGAGGCTGCTTTGCGCCAATTTTTTTTGCGCAACTCGCCATAACTTTCTTCTAAGTCGGCCAATCTTTATGACTTTGGTGCCATTTTGGTACACTTATTGATAATACAAAATGAAACCAAAATCATAAAGATTAGCTTACTTAGAAGAAGGTTATGGCGAGTTGCGCAAACGACCCAGTTGCGCAAATAAAATGGCGGAAATTAGTCTTCCCCTCAGATTTAACAAGTTGTAAGCTATTTCAAAGATTTCTGATTTTGTTTTTTTATATTTTATTCTAGAGACTCGAGCTGCGCAGTGGTCAAAATGTAATTAGTTGGACAGTCGTAAACAATCGAGAACTTTCTTCACAAAAAGAACCAATTCGAATGGCGAGAATCGATGTTGTTGGTCAGTTAGATTATATTGATAAGCTTTGACACAAGTATATTTCTTTTTTTAGGTATCGCATTTACTCGTGAATGCCCTTTATGCCCATCAGGTACCTTTTCTCCCTCAGGATCAGCTGAATGTCAACCATGTAAACCGGGAACATTTTCATCAAAAGGCAGTGAACAATGTGGGATATGTCCACAATCACAATACTCAGGTTTTTGATTAAAAAAATATTGATTCGATAACTGAAAGATTTAGGTTATAAATCCTCTCGTTGTTTGGATCGACCAGCCTGTCAGCAAACCGATTTCTACCCAGTGCACGAGCCGTGTTTGAAGGGGAAAACAAAAGTTGCCTACAAGAAAGTGATGCCCGCTTTGTGTAGAGATGATCTCCCCGGAGCTGCTAAGGTATTGAGAATTTTTGGTTTACATATTAAATTGGTGGGTAAGTCTTTTCATTTCCTTTTCGTAATTTCGTTGAAAAATAACAAATTTACCAATAAACCAATGGTTTGCGTGCTTTACATGCTAAGCTTTCTAGAATTTTCTAGTTTTCTTTCTTTCTTTCTAAGCTTTCTAGAACCTAAAAAATTTTCTAACTTTCCAGGTTCCCCCAGACGAACCCGAGAAGTCTTGTCCTCGTTGTAATCCTGGAATGGCTGTCAATTCGAGTGGATTATGCGCGTTTTGTGGAAAGGATGAATTTTCTGATGGAGATGGTTTTGTTTTCATTATTTTCTTTAAATCTTCAACCAATTACAGATTGCAAAAAGTGCCCAACATCAACAATTCCCAATTATGGATATCATTATGTGCAATGGACGGCGATTCCGCCAAACATTGAGACTAAATGCGAGTACATATCTGAAGGTGGGTGCACAACGAGAATTTTTTTTGGTAAATCAAAAATCATGATTGCAACAAGTTTTAGTGTGCACTCTAGATAAGATTAAACCAAAATATCTTTAAAATCGTTTCTTTGTACTCGTTTCTCCTTTTTACAGAAGTGCTCGCTCGATGTGATATCGGTGCCACATGGTTGGCTGATGGATCGGCTCTTGTCACGGCTCCATCACTCCAAACGGGGATCGCTCTTGAGCTCGTTCTTTCTGTCAATGAAGGTTAGCTGAATGTTTGGATCAGATCAATCAAAGTATTTTCCCTAGGTTTCACGAATCCATTACTACCGCGAAACGTGATCCCATCATCCACAAATCCCATTGCTCATCTCACGATTGTCTTCGAAACACATTGCGCCGATGATTCGTGTGTCATCTACTTTATTGAGGTAAGCTTATTTATAAAGTATTCAACAACAAGACTAGAAACTTGAAACTATTCAGCTGTAGCTAGAAATACCGTAAATACTGTATCTTGTATCATTTTCAAAGCTGACAATAGTTATTGTCAGTCATCATCGTCAGTCTTGGCGTAATGCTTCAAATTCTTCACGGTATCTTTTCGTTTTAAAACCCTCTAATATATTCTTTCAAAGGATCTCCAGTCAATACAATTCCAGAACGCTACCCCATTGGGTCCATCTCCTCTCTATCGTTTCCTCGGCGCTTTCAATGGGCCTCAAGAAAAAAGAGTTTGGACTCATCCAATCGCAAAGAGAACACCCATGAAATATCTGGTAGATGATAGAAAAACAAATAGAGTGATAAGTTCATTTCCAATTTTTCCCAGGTTGCTTTCATTCGATCTCGTGCGGTGAATGGGGAAGATTCGGTGACCGATCAAGCGCGAGTTTTCTCGATAAATGTCACCAATGTTGGTGGGTAATGAAATGGAAAGAGAATTCAAGCTTCTGTGATTGTTTTGAAAAGGAATTGAAAAAGAAAATGTCTAACTATAAGCATCATCAAGGTCATCGAGACGGTGTGCAGGGTGGAGGGGCATCTGAATGTGTCGCTTGTCCATCAATGTCCTCCGGGGATTGTATTCCATGTCCAAAAGGACATTACATGACAAGTCCGGTTAGTGAGCTTGATATCTATACATCTAGAAGTTGATAATAAAACATAGGTATTCTACTTAGGCCTCCGTAAAACAGACAAATTAGCGTATCCTTCTTTTGCCATAGATCGAAGCCTAAGCCATTAATGGAGAAGAAAAAAAAGTAAAGAGTACGAAAACAAATAATTGTTCGAATTCAGGATCACAAATGCATCAAATGTCCTGAAGGAACCTATCTCAATATCTCATCATCGAGGATCGGCATTGAGAATTGTGTCAAGGTGGGAGAGGTTTAAATGCTAGTCTGGCTTGTACTTTGTGACACCAAAAACGCACACTTAGCACATCAAAACGTTCATGCAAAACAAACATTAAGCACAAAGTACACGCCAAAATATCCCGAAAGGCTGTAAGTATCGAAATTTTTATTTAAATTAGTTACAAGCAAAAATTCAATTTTCAGTGCGGTCCGAATCTCGAAAGTGACGGTGATTCATGTATCTCAACAGGGAAATTTGAGATAAATCTCCAAGGAAACAAGACAAGATCCTATGATTTGAGTAGTCTCAAAAATAAGTTCGTTTTCATAAATTTTTTCATATTTCAAATGTTTTTTCTCACGAATTGACCATCTGTCAAGTTTTTTTTCTTTTCGTAAAAAGAGAAAAACGTCAAGATTTTTCTTTTCTTTATCGTCCACCAGCTGTGAGCAGATAGACTGGTTTAGGAAAGACATTTCTCTAGATTGTCTAGATTGCCTAAATTTCTAATTTTAAAAAAAAAATCAACATATTTTTTAAATTTCAATTGATTTTTTAGAGCTCTTGTCGTCGAGGGAGTGAAAGTGTTTGCAAGAGAAGGGACATCATATTTTCATACATTTAATGTTTCTCTTTTGGGTGGAAATGTTCAGTGTCGAGAAGATTTCGAGCAAAAAGATCAATTGATGTTATATGGAAATATATACGGAAATGTGAGTTGGGAAAAAGAATGACACCTAGAAAACAACTACCGTATTTCTTCGAATAGAAGACCGGGTAAATAGTATCGTCGCGTACTCCTGCGTAGCAGCCCTTTTTTAAAATTTCTTTTCTGCATAAAAGCTTTCAATGAAGTGCTATAGGGCTGGAAAATGACTCAAAAATCTGTTAGCTCATGTGGTATTTTTGAGCCATTTTCCAGCTCTATAGCACTTGATTGAAAGTTTTTATGCAGAAAAGAAATTTTAAAAAGGGCTGCTACGCAGGAGTACGCGACGATACTCTTTACCCGGTCTTCTATTCGAAGAAATACGGTAAATCATTCTCTTAAGTCTCTTAAACTATCATAATAATTTTTTGAATTTTTGAATTGAAATTTAGGTATAAGATAGCTCATTAGTTGCGTAGTTATGTAGAGAATTTTGCCAAAAAAAAAACTTTAGAATCTCGAAACGGTTGACGGGGCAGCTTGTCGCATCACAGCGATTCCTCTAATCGGAAATGGGACCAATAAAATCGCCCATATTTCACCATTACTGTAAGCAATGAATAGAATATTTTTGATATATGCAAAATTTTTAGTTTGGGAATTCAATTGGAAGCGATTACAATGGAAAAAGAATGGAATGGATGGAAATTAAGCGATAAATTGCTTGATTTGGGTAAGGCTTAGAAAAAAATGAAGCTTTGAAAGGAGATGTATTTCAGCTTTCGTTTCGAATGGATCAAAGATGAGTCCCGATTTGCATTTCTTTTTCTCAACTCCATCAATCGGTTCGGATATTTGCCCGCGTGGATCGGCCATTGTCGTCACGGCTCGTTGTGATCCACAACAGAATAAAGCTGAAGTAATCTTTGTATTTGATTTTATTGATTTCATAGATTTCATAGATTTCATATTCGATTTGTTTTTTTTTACATGAATCAAACAAATCAAACAAATTGATTCAAATCAAAGACAAATCTTTCAGTTACATCTTCCTCGTTCATGTCCAGACGGCACTTGTGATGGTTGCCTCTATCATGCAATGCTCGAATCATCAATTTCTTGCCCTTTATGCACTCCTAGTGATTACACGGTGATCAATGGTGAATGCATTGATGGACAACAAACTGTGCATACAATACCTGATAAGTGAGTGATGCAGAAATATTACAATGGACAATGTTTAGACAATGTGTTCTCTCTGGAGCTGCTTTACAAGAACGGAAACAGCATTGTTCGGTTTTGTCGGCTCATCTAAAATTACTCATCACTGCCGGCACATTGGCTCTTTTTGGATTGGCCTTAATTCTTATTTGTATATGTCAAAAAAATAGAAGGTTTGCAGAAAAATGGGTAGCGTTAATACTGTAATAGTACCCCACCTCCCTCGTACAGTCGCGTAGTCGCAAAAGTTTTTTAGTATTTCATTTTTTCAAAGCGCCTGTACTTTCAAAAAATGCGTCTTTGGTATCAAAAAATAGCTGAAATTCAGGGCTATTTTTTGATACCCAAGTGCGCATTGTAGCATAAATCAGTGTCGAGAAAAACTCGTTCAAAGCTAGCCTACGCAACACTCCGCACCGTCATTATGGGGGTAGGGTACTATTACAGTATTTACGGTAAGTGATTATAAAAGAAAGATTTCAGATTAGAATACAAATATATGAAATTGATTGAGTCGAAGGGTGGAGGTTTTGAATTGCCGATTGCTGAGACATGTGGATTGGAATCTGATGAAGAAGATGATGAGGTGAGGAAAGGGAAAAGAATGGCAACAAATGGCAAACAAACAAACAAACAAACAAATAGCACGCTAAAAATTGACCACTATTTGTACTTGTTATCTAATTTAAGTATTTGGCTGTCCAAAAATCTTTTCATTCCTTTTCATACTTTCATTTAAAATCAATAAATGCACCAATTAAACTACGGTTTTTATTTGAAAGGCCAATTATTTTTCTGCAAAATAACATTAAAACGAGTTTAAAATGATCGATTAAAATGATTTTTGAGGGCATGAAGTCGGGTAGTCAAAAATGTGACTCAATGATTCGGTTTAAACACTTTAGCTAAAGGAAATCTATCTTGGTGTCAATAGAAAAACGATAGAGCACAAAGAGTTAGGTATATAGCCAAATTTTCTAAGAGATTCATTAAGTCAATTTCTTCGTAGAGGTTTTTATAGAGTTTTTTTTTGCGAAAAATACGTTTAAATTCTCGAATTTGCTTGTAAGTGAAAAGGAATTGACTTAAAAAGATGGAAATTGATCAATAAACAGTTTTTCTTTAGAGTAAACGATAGTTTTCATTGATGAATTTTGATTTTGATAGATCTATTTGATAGATTTTGATAGATTTTGATAGATATTGGATAGATATTTGATAGATTTTGATAGATTTTGATAGATTTTGATGGATTTTGATAGATTTTGATAGATTTTGATAGATATTGGATAGATATTGGATAGATTTTGATAGATTTTGATAGATTTTGATAGATTTTGATAGATTTTGATAGATTTTGATAGATATTGGATAGATATTGGATAGATTTTGATAGATTTTGATAGATTTTGATAGATATTTGATAGATTTTGATGGATTTTGATAGATTTTGATGGATTTTGATAGATATTTGATAGATTTTGATAGATTTTGATAGATTTTGATGGATTTTGATAGATATTTGATCTATTTTTATAGATTTCTATAGATTTTGATAGATAGAGGTAGTTTTTTGATAGTAAACCGTAGTTATTTTTTTTCTTTTTGTTATAACGAAAGTATGAAAAGATTTCCTGAACATCTTAATAAAAGAAATGAAAATGAAATGAAAAGAAATATATATATATATGCTTTATTCAGTTGAATAGCGACGAAACAAAATCACAATAATTACCCGGGACACCACTCAAAAAACACACCCAAAAGATAAATAGATACCTCAAGAAAGAATCACAATGAAAAAAATGGCATGAAGCATGAAATTGGGTAGATTAAAAAGGTCAAAAAGACAAGTTAAATACTTTTTTTCCTTTTCAGCAACAAGAAGATCGAGTAATTTTCTCAAAAGGACGAAAAGGTTTCTTTGGAAAAACGAAACAAAAAACGACAATGGCCGGTGGAAATGGAGTGAATGCTCCATTTGTGGCGCTTGATGATAGTGCTGAGGATTGATTGAAGTTAAGAAATGCTGTCATAAGTTGACTGTACGTTGACTGTACGTTGATTATAAGTTGTGTGTAAGTTGTTTGTAATCAAAATTTGGGTTTCTTTTTTCAACTTTTCAATTTTTCATCTCTAAAATCGCATATCAATGAGCGCTTTTTCTTCCCAAAAAAAAAAAATCAAAGCTGGGTATTTTACTTGTGGTGTTTGTTTGTTTTGTGTCAAAAATGTGTCAAAATTTGTTTCTTTTCCGTGAACATCATCTTCAGCCAAGCTCTTCCTTATGTACTTTGTGTTTAGAAATTAAAAACCCACCCTTTCTGGCACGCTTAAGCGTTCTTTGCTTTTATTATGACACTAAGTCGGTTTGAAGCAAATGATGAAGAAAACGAAGAAAACGAAGAAAATGAAGAAAATGAAGAAAATGGCCTAAGCCTAAGCCTAAGCCTTTTCGACTGCACCAGAAAGAGATGTGTTTCCATTTTGAGAGCTCAAAGTACACTAAGTTTTCCTCTTTCTTGAATTGTTTAAATGAAATCTATTGCACTTTTCATTCATTTATTTGATCTCCGGTACTTTTGCTTTAAAGTGTACATAGAAGTTTCTCGTAGCTCTTCTTTTTTTTTGTTTCTTTTTTTTTTTATTCACTTTTTTGTAAAGTTAAGTGATGAAATTTTTATTAAAGCTTTTCAAAAAATAGCATAAAGTTTAACGTTTCTAAAGGTCAGAAATAGAATTTCATCGCATTTTTATGTAATCCGGTTTCGTTTTTTGGTTTGCCGAAGATTTTGATACAAAATTTGGCCAAGAATAAATGATTTTTAAAAAAATACATCAATTTAGATGATTTAACAGAAAAAAAGGGACAAATGCGTCCTTTTTTTGCGCACCTGGACATTTGCGCACCTTTTTTTTGCTGGAAAAGGCCTTAGGCAAGGCCGTAGAGCTTCGAAAATATTTCCATATAAGGGAATCGTATGCGTAGATTCAGAATTTCGACAAATCAGACCTCGCTGACACGTCAAATTTGGGCTAAAAGGCAAAGACTGCGGAAAAGCGTTAAGTTGCGTAGTTTTTGCCTTTTAGCTCAAATTTAACGTGTCAGCGAGGTCTGATTTGCTTTGATTTGTCGAAATTCGGAATCTACGCATACGATTCCCTTCTACGAAAACATTTTTGAAGCTCTACGACCTTTCCTAAGGCCTTTTCCAGCAAAAAAAGGTGCGCAAATGTCCAGGTGCGCAAAAAAAGGTCGCATTTGTCCCACCCCCAAAAAAAACACTTTGCTTTGGATTTGCTTATCGATTAACTAGTGCAAAATAGAAAAACGAATGTTACGCTAAAAGATAAAGACGAATTTTCAGAATATCAATCTGTCATTTCTATTTGACACTAATATGACCGATAAGAAACTCTAAAAAAAATAGAAAATACAACATTGCACTTTCTAAACGATAGGAAACTTCGAAACCTATCGTATTCAGATTTTCAGATTTTGTTCAATCTATGGCAGACTGGCTAAGAGTCTTGTATCTTAGCCGAAGTTCAAGGGTTTAATCCCGTCGACTAGATCGGTTCTTTTGATTGTCTTGGCTATCTTTTAGAAAACGCATTACATTCAAAAAAAACTCTAGGCACAAGCGTCGAGAAAAGATTTTAGTTAAAAAGCTTCTTAAAGGAGTCACACGTTTTCTTTCAATAATTGCGAGTGGAAAATTTGAGGCACTCAAGTCGAGAAAATGTTGAGCTGGAGGTCACGAAGGTGATGAGTAGAAGGATGGGGGAAAGATGGGGAATGAGTGCAGCGAATGAGTGCCTTGGTTGTCTCATCTTTGGCAGATACAACACTCAGCCCCAAGCAGCACTATGGAGAGGAGGAGAAGAAGAAGGAGAGGAAGAAGGAGAGGAAGAAGGAGAAGAAGAAGAAGCTACTTGTATATTTGGTGAAAAGAGAAGAGTATCTCCTGTTGCTCCTTATGCTTTCAAGAATTCTTTTTTCTGTAAAGGGCACACTGTTGGAAGACCTTGAGGGTGAGGAATGGAGTGAGAAAAAAGGGGAAAAACTCGCTCGAATTCTTCTCTCTTTTTGAGGGGTCTGAAGGGTATTTGAGGCTGATCCTCCACAGATTCGCTCCTTTCTTTCCTTCAAGCATTTCCCTTTTCTTTCAAAACCATCGCAAACGTCTAAACGTCGAAGTTTTTTCTTACAATAGATTAACCTTTTGTCTTGCAAGCTCATTATGAGATTCTTGTACACTATGAGATTCTTGTACATATGAGGTTCTTGTACATATGAGATTCTTGTACATTATGAGACTCCTGTACATTATGAGACTCTGGTACATTATGAGATCCTTGTACATTATGAGATCCTTGTACATTATGAGATCCTTGTACATTATGAGATTCTTGTACATTATGAGACTCTTGTACATTATGAGACTCTTGTACATTATGAGACTCTTGTACCTTATGAGACTGTACATTATGAGACTTCTGTACTTATGAGACCTGGTACTTATGAGTCCTTGTCATTATGGTCCTTGTACTTTGGTCCTTGTCATTTGGTTCTTGTACTTTGAGACTCTTGTACATTATGAGACTCTTGTACATTATGAGACTCTTGTACCTTATGAGACTGTACATTATGAGACTTCTGTACATTATGAGACTCTGGTACATTATGAGATCTTGTACATTATGAGATCCTTGTACATTATGAGACTCTTGTACCTTATGAGACTGTACATTATGAGACTCTTGTACCTTATGAGACTGTACATTATGAGACTCTTGTACCTTATGAGACTGTACATTATGAGACCTTGTCCTATGGCTGACATTAGGCCTGCCTATGGCTGTCATTATGAGACCTGTCCTTGGCGTCTAGGCCCTTGTACCTTATGAGACTGCATTATGAGCCTTGTCCTTATGAGACTGTACATTATGAGACTCTTGTACCTTATGAGACTGTACATTATGAGACTCTTGTACCTTATGAGACTGTACATTATGAGACTCCTGTACATTATGAGATTCTACTACATAATATTTGTTCTGGTTTAACTATAAAATTTCTGCATATTGCATTTCCCTTTTTTTGGTAGCTTCCTTTTAAATGTAAATCAAGATTGATTAGTTATTTGGTAGTCATTAAATGCAAATAATGATATTCAGTATTGGTTATCTTTATTAGATTTTTTTGATTTTCAAAATGTGCCACCTTTGAAAGCTGATCTTTTCTTGACCATATTATACTTTGCACTATTATATTTACAAATTCTATCAACTATCAAGTGATTTATATTTTTCAACAAAAGTTAGATTTGATTGTTGGTTGGTTTTGCTGTTGAACGAACGAACAAACGGAGAAACCAGAATTGAATGAAAAAGGAAAAGAGAAGGAAAAGAGAAGTAAAAGAGAAGGAAAAGAGAAGGAATAGGGTGTGAAAGCATTCATCCAAATACAAGAAAGGAGAACTTTCCCTTTTAGATGAGAAAAGGAGAAAGTATTGTAAGAATTGTATTGTAAAAAAAACTACGTATTTTCCCAGTGTTCTCTTTGTTAGCCTTGTTTCTTTGGCACCTTCTCATTTCCATTATGAATGGGTAATTCTCCAGGTTGTGATTACAGTAAGGATTATAAATGGAGGTATTTTTGTTCGATCGGATCATTTCTTATAAATCATTTCTTGTTTTGCAAAATTTTTGCTGTTTTTGATACATTAATTCGGATTGATGTGTCTTTTTTGAGTGCAGCAATTTGCATTTAAACTAACTGTTAAAAAGTAGAGATAATATTGAAATTGCACCTCGATAAGTACCGTAATCTTTTGTTTCATTTTTGTTCTAGCTTTTTCTATAGCATACATCTATTTAGATATCCCGCTGTCTCCACAAGAAAAGCCATGTTATCGGCTCATTCAGCCGGTCAACTGGCTATCATTTGTTCAATTGGTGCTGTTGTTACCGTCTTTCTCTATGTACCCGCTCTAATCATGAAGATCAATGCTATCAATGAGAGGGTTTGTACAAGGAATAACTCTATGATTCTATGATTCTATGATTCTATGATTCTATGATTCTATGATTCTATGATTAGTCAGAACGGGATGTTTTCTGGCTAGACATTCCTGTCTAGCCAGAAAGTTTGGGGTGCGAAAACCTTATCAACGAGGATGATTCTGCTTAAGAATGGCCGAATAGCAAAAAAGGTTTAAAGGGTTTCCCCAAAAGCGCTTACAACGTAACAAGAACACGTAGTATCCAACAAATAGGTTAATACTCTTGAGAAGAGTACAGATCGAATTGATACTACGTCGATGGTGACACAAATGTTAGTAAAATCAGTCTCTCTACAATGTTAAACCAGTTATCTAAACAGGATTTAAAACCTGAAGGGTAGCATAAAGTAAAGTGAATTTATAACGTTACTGTTTATTAGTACAGAACCGAAATGCAACAATACCCACTACAAAAACAGTATGCGCATCAAAAATGAAACAAAAACACTGGATACAGAGTTTTCTCTTGTATTTCCAGTTCGTAATGATTCAGCTTATTGATTCAGTTAGTTCTTTTGGTTCTGAAAGTAGATTTCTCAGCTGAAAATTGACTCTGACGAGTTTCGCGTGATGGCTGATGCAACTTGGGGCCAATTGGTGAACACGAGAAGAATGCCAAGATCGAGAAGACAGGTATACTAAGAATTTAATCAAAAAAAAAATCAAAAAGAATCAAAAATGTCGATTTTTTCAGTCTTACGACAATCCCCGTGTCTATCCACTTCATACAGCCTATGTGAACAATGACGCTTTCGTTGAAAGCCCATCGAGCACTTGCAGTGAGTTTATTGAATAGTGAAATGAGAAAAGTTGATTTTCAGGCTGTCAAGCTCAGAACTCGTGCCCTGCCGGCCCACCGGGATCTCCGGGAAAAGCGGGAATGGATGGACAACCAGGTTTAGCAGGAGAAATGGGTTCACCTGGATTGGCTGGGATTGCACCACCTGTCACCATTGATCCGGTTTATTTTTATAGTTGATTTGTACGCTAGAAATTACAGAATCAAGGATGTCGCGTGTGTCCAAATGGACCTCGAGGAATGCCTGGACCACCTGGGGAATCAGGCCCACCGGGACAAGACGGACAACCAGGAAATCCGGGTAGACCAGGAGAGCAAGGAAGAGAAGGATATGGAGGAAATCCGGGAATACCTGGAGAAGCCGGGAAATCTGGAAAGGTGAGTGAGTGAAATGGATTGAGAAATGGAGGAGAGCTTAGGTGGGAGAACAAGGGCCACCAGGTAGAGATGGGACAAGAGGAGCAAAGGGACCACAAGGACCGAAAGGAGACTCGGGACCACTTGGGCAAAAGGGACCAGAGGGGTAGGAGATGATTAGAAAAGGGAATCATAAAATTGATTGATAGATATCCGGGTCCAGACGGGCAACGAGGTCAAGATGGAGATGCGGGACCTGTGGGGCCACCGGGAATCCCTGGAATGCCTGGAGAAGGCGGACAACCAGGAATGCCTGGAACACCGGGTAGGAAATCCAAGCTGTGAGATGAGTGCAACGACTTTAGGTCTACCCGGCTCCGATGGTCAATACTGTAAGTGTCCACCGAGAAGCGCGGGCGTCAATAAACCGGCCACATACGAGACACAGCCGGCTCCATACGATAACCCATCAGCCGGAGTGGTGAGTAGTAAGCCATAAGCTTAAGCGGATTTTATGACTCGGTTTAAAGTCGTGAACATTTGCAGCAAGCTGCCTCCTCTCCACCCTCATATGCTCCAAATCCGTATGATGCTGGTGTTGAAGCGGCACCGAGAAATCCCTACCGAAAATGGAAATGGCATTAAAGAAAAGAATTTTAAACAAAACAAAACAAAACACTTTTTTCTAATTTCACCAATAAAGAGATTATTAGGCGAGGAGTATTTTTTTTTAATTTGTTCAAATACAACAACAACAACAACAACAACAACAACAACAACAACAACAACAACAACAACAATAACAACAATAACAACAACAATAACAATAACAACAATAACATCAACATCAACAACAACAACAACAACAAAAACATTATTTTCTTTTCCATTTGTCAATTCATCCTTGGATGTTGAAGTTGTTGTTGAAGTATATTGAAGAATAATTGTTGAAGTAAAGTCAAATTAGAGTGATTTCTAAATGAAGGAAATGGGAAATTTCATTAGATTAAGGGATTGGAAAAGGAAAATGAACGAGGTAAAGGGGAAAAATAAAGTGAGGCAATTGAAATTACGCTTCGGGATTGTTGATGGGATGAAAGAGATCAAAAGTCAAGCTTTCATTTGATAACAACAGAAGATTTTAGAAAAGAAAAGCTTTACGTAAGCATTTTAGAATGTTATTTAAATTGGAAATTAGCATTCCTGTTTCTAGGAATGCTAATTTCCATCAGCTATCATGTACTAGTTTACTTTCAGGCTAAGTTCAATAATATGTTTCTCGGAGTATTACCTGTCGTTACAGTATACCAGAGGGGTATAATGACTACTACTGTGTTGACTACTACTGTACAGACTACTACTGTATCTCTGTACAAAACCCTGAGCTTCTCCGAGATAAATATTTACTCTATTTTTGGCTTTTTCTTGAAATGTTTGTGTGACACTTCTGATGTCAATAGGGTTTTTTTTCGATCAAATTAAATTTATCTCGCTGATGGATTTGAATGGGGTTGAAGTTTGATCAGTGATCAAAATTTGATTGCATTTTGATTTGATTTGCATTTTGAATTTGATTCAGTGTATTGGGTGAAGTTTCAGATTCAAATCTTCAATCAAAATTTGCGGAATCATTTCCGTATATTGTTCGCCAAGTTCTAGATATGGATTATAATGGATTTGTCTAACTGTGAAGCAAGGATTTGATCTTGTCTTGGGATTTGAATTGAAATCTGTTTATCAGCGTTTAATTATCAGACTGATCTTGCTCTCATTGTCGAAATGCTCTCATTGTCGAAAAGGAATGATAAATTCAAATTTCATTCTAACTTTTGCAAGGTGCAAAAATAGAAATGATATGGAATAGAAAGGGATTTAGACTATTTGAATGGGGTTGAAGTTTGATCAGTGATCAAAATTTTGAATTTGATGTGTCTTGGGTCAAGTTTCAGATTCAAATCTTCAATCAAAATCTGTGGAATCATTTCCGTATATTGTTCGCGAAGTTCTAGATATGGATTATAATGGATTTGTCTAACTATGAAGCAAGGATTTGATCTTGAATCTTGGGATTTGAATTGAAATCTGTTTATCAGCGTTTAATTAGCAGACTGATCTTAGTGCTCTCATTGCTCTCATTGTCTTCAAACGTCATTCTAACTTTTCCAAGATGCAAAAATAGAAATTTTATGGAATAGAAAGGGATTTAGACTAAGAAGAAGCCATTCAAATGCAAAAAAAGAGGAGGAGAGTGAAGAAGACAAAGAAGAAGTCGATGAGGGGTGAAGATTCAATTATTTTCTACTTCTTCTTTTTCGATTTTCTTCGTCTCATCTCTTTTTTCTTCTTTTATCGAATCTTTCCTCAACAGACAATCCCCTTCTTTTTTTAATCGTCATCATTTCGAAGGATTCCTTTCGTTGGGTAAGATTTTCATTTCAGTTTCATTGACGTTTCATTGACGTTCATTGATTTTTCATTGCTGAAGGTTTCTTTTTAATTTAAGCTATCAAAATTTAAGCTGTACCAGTTTACTTTCAGTAAAATTGGTACATAAAACGAAGCTAAAGATTCGTAAGTTGATATGAAAAGAAGATCTATGAGCTGAGAAGAGAATCCTCTAGAGATTTTGGAAGCTATTTTGGTTGATTAGATAGAACTTTGGCATCTTTTGTGAGTAGAAAACTTTTAAAAGAAAGATTTAATTTCAACATTTCATTTTTTTGTCTGTTTTTTGTTGAGATTTATCACCTCTTCCAGATCCTTTTTTCTAAAGGTTAGAATAGATAAATGAATGTTTTATCGTTGAAAAGATTGATGGAATTGGATCGAGGGAATGTCTCTAGAGGGGAATTGAGGAAATCTCGTGAATGTCTATTTTATGTAAATGTCAATTGTTTAGTAGAAGAAGATGCTAGTGTTTTTGTGACAAATAATAATCCAATAATCTTACCATATCCATCATCATTTCATAGAAAATTATCATCTAAAAACCTTGCTTGTTTTGCTTTGCTTTTGCTTTGCTTTTGCTTTGCTTTTGCTTTGCTTTTGCTTTGCTTTTGCTTTGCTTTTGCTTTGCTTTTGCAAGCAAGCAAAAAACTTTTACTTTGATTCAATTTTTGAAATTTTTAAAAAGCTTTATAAAAATTTTATTAAAGCTGGTTTTTCTAAAGGAAAACCCATAGAAACCAAAGAATTTTTAGTGTTTTTGATGGGCTTCTAGATCAGGAAGAAAAGAGTTGAATAAACATCTTCTTTTTCGTTTTCTTTTCCCTTTCAGATTTGATATTTTGCAATTTTACGAAAGAAAAAGGCCAAAATAGGTTATTCAGAATGTTTTTGAGAGTTTTTCATCAAAGAAAATGTTTCTATGTTCTTTCGATAAAATGAATGATGACTATGAATTGTTGAGGAGATCATTCTTAATCTTTTTTTCCATTCATAAATAACTTTTTATCATTCTCAACAAGTTAAACACAATTTTGATGACTCTGTTGATGTGTTTGTTGTTTAAATATTCAAATCGATTTCTTTTTAAGATCTTTGATTTCTGCATTGATTTCTAGCCAATTTTACCTTAACAAAACGATTTTTAGCGAATTTACGTTACCTAAATCGTCAATCGAATTAAAATCAGTGTGTCAGATGGACTGGTAGACTGTCAGATGGACTGGTAGACTGTCAGATGGACTGATAGACTGTCAGATGGACTGGTAGACTGTCAGATGGACTGATAGACTGTCAGATGGACTGGTAGACTGTCAGATGGACTGGTAGACTGTCAGATGGACTGGTAGACTGTCAGATGGACTGGTAGACTGTCAGATGGACTGGTAGACTGTCAGATGGACTGGTAGACTGTCAGATGGACTCACAACTTTTAGCTTATCAACTTAGCAACTTCACTATGAAAATAGCTATATAACTATAAAATATGTTTTATCGAATCTTTCCTCAACAGACAATCCCCTTCTTTTCTAATCGTCATCATTTCAAAGGATTCCTTTCATTGGGTAAGATTTTCATTGACGTTTCATTGACGTTTCATTGATGTTCATTGATTTTTCATTGCTGAAGGTTTCTTTTTAATTTAAGCTATCAAAATTTAAGCTGTACTAGTTTACTTTCAGTAAAACTAGTACATAAAATGAAGCTAAAGATTCGTAAGTTGATATGAAAAGAAGATCTATGAGCTGAGAAGAGAAGCCTCTAGAGATTTTGGAAGCTTTCGGTTTAAACTTGTCTACAGTTTTCCTATGAAAATCGAAATCTTTTTAATCATTAATCCCAACTTGTTAAAGAAATCGATTCAGAAAAAAAAAGAATTCTTTCAAATAAAATTATTCTTTTTCTATCTAAGATGGACATTCTTCTCTATGAATTCAAATGTATCGAATAATTTCCCATTCCATTCCCCCCATCCAACTGAGTATCTTTTTTTGATGGTCTCCCTTCTTTTTCTTTTCTTTTTCTCTTCTTTTTCTCTTTCTTTTCTCTTCTTTTTCTCTTCTTTTTCTTTTCTTTCCCTTTTTTTCGTCATTTAATGGCAATTTTCCACGAAAAAAGTCCTCTTTTCATTTAAAAATACCCACTTTTTTTTCCCAAAGTCTACTAACCTAAATGGACTTGAAGGGGAAACCGGAAGAAATTCTCGGGAAACAATAAATGTTCACTGAATAAATGAATATTTGACTTTTTTTCCCTGAAGAGCTTTGCGCGGATTCGACCGGAAGTTTATGAAAAAGACTTTTCTAGTCGGCAATTTTAGCGATTCTAGCGATTCTCAGCCGTTCGCTTCAACTCCGAAACATCAAAGTTCCATTATATTTTGATATTTGATAATACTTTTTCTATTTTTCTTTTCCTTTTTCTTTCTTTTTTTTTCTTTTTTTCTTTTTCTTTTCTATAAAAATCTTTCTCTTTATTCATTTTCTTTATTCAAATTGATCGAGTAGTAGTGATTGTTAACTTTTTTTTTGAACAAATCATGTTTACTGTTTACTTTATAACTGAATTGATGGCTAAAGAATGAATCTAAAGTGAGGGGAAAGAATGGTAGCTTTAAAAAGGACATTTTTTAAACAGCAGTTTGTTTTTGAAAGTTCTCAAAAGCTGTCTGTTTCTTTAAATGTTTTGCTTAATTCCTTTAGCTTTTGTTAAATATCTGAAAGACAGAAAAAACAAGGAGTTAACTCGCTTTTCATGGATTTTTTTTTGTGGGAAAAAAGAAAGTGTAGAGAATCTTTGGTCTTAAATCGTTTTTGTCTAGGGAAAGAAAGAAGAAAGAGAAAGAAGAAGAAAGAGAAAGAAGAAGAAAGAGAAAGAAGAAAGAAGAGATCAAAAAACATTGGCTTTTGGCAAAAGATTCTGTTTTTTTTAAAGCTGTGAATTTTTGAGAGTCTTTAAATACTTTAAAAGTTACCGTAACCGTAAATGTCTCATAAATCAGACAACAATAATTTTCATAATTCATTTCATTTCTTTTATAAAAGAAATGAAATGAATTATGAAAATTATTGTTGTCTGATTTATGAGACATTTACGGTTACGGTAACTTTTAAAGTATTTAAAGACTCTCAAAAATCGAAAAATCATTCGATTCTTGTCATTGGGCTTCTTTAATTCTTAATTAAATCACATTTTTT